TACTCACTATGAGTACCACCTCTAAGAAAAAGGCAAACTCTTCATCGAGTCACCGCCGTTTGATTTGGTCGGTAGCTTCGAGGAATCCAATGCGGGAACACCGATCATCTTCGTGCTGTCAGCGGGTGCCGATCCAACGGCTTACCTGTTGAAGTTAGCAGAGGATAACGATTATGGGGAACGGCTGCACTTCATTAGTCTCGGACAAGGACAGGGACCAAAGGCGGAGAAGTTGATCGACATGGCGAGGGAAGCAGGTGTTTACGATTCATTGTTATCTGTATTCCTGTAGTAAAGTTTTTTCGTGGATATCAACAATCACTATCACGACTTATCTCTAAACTGCTTACATCAAACTTTACCAACCTCTACCCAATTTCTTACTTCTCTCTACTCAGGTGACTGGGCTTGTCTCCAGAACTGTCACTTGGCTGGTAGCTGGATGCCGACCTTGGAGAGAATACAAGAATTGCAAGACTTAGAAAAAATTGATCCGGACTATCGACTCTGGCTGACTAGTATGCCGACGCCGATTTTCCCGGTGCCGGTTTTGCAGAGTGGTACTGTTTATGACTTCTAGGCACGTGGTTCTGCTCATGTCCTCACAGACCCATTTCGCTTTCTGTAGAGATATCAAAGTGAAAGTCACTGCATGACAATCTTCTTCCATACTGCATGACAGTCTTCTTCCATCCTGTAATACGTAACCGTCTGCGCTGCATTTGCCACAGGTAGTTCACAGCCTTTTCATCCACGACCAACAACCAGGTATCAAAATCACCAACGAGCCACCAAAAGGTGTCAAGGCCAATATGTTGCGAACGTTTGAAGACCTCGGAGAAGAAAAGTACATGTCCATGGATGAAACCATGGCTGAGAAGTCGACCGCTTACAAGAGGCTCGTCTTTGCATTAGCCTTCTTCCACGCAGTCATCCTTCAAAGGAGGAAGTTCGGTCCGATTGGTTGGAATATTCCCTATGAATGGATGGACTCCGACTTTCAGACCAGTCGAGAACAAACCTACATGTACCTAGTGGATCAGCCAGGAGTACCTCTGAAGACACTGAACTACATGATCGCAGAATGTAACTACGGTGGACGAGTGACGGATGATAAGGTAGTTCTTGTGATGTTTACATACACATAATTTTGCTTTTTGGTTGTTGCTTCACGTATGCCAGTCGGACAGTAGTACCTGCGTTGTTACAATTCTTTGCAGTGGGTGTTGATGCTTCAGTTGTAGAATCAATGCAGACCAGTACGTAAAAAAAAGTGGGAAGCATCTCATCAAGAAGTTGGAGGATCCTTTACCCCAACGGAAATGTTCCGACCCCTTCACAGGACGTCCGACTTATCTGCGCAGTCCTCCAGCGATATTATGCGGAGGACATCGTCAATGAGGAACAGGCTAAATTGTCCTCATTGGATACCTACTACGTGCCAAAAGCTGAGACGTTTGACGGGGTCAAGGACTATATCAAGAGCCTGCCGCTCGACGAAGATCCGCGCGTCTTCGGTCTACATCCGAATGCGCTGATTTTATGATTTGTGATGTTTCTAAGTTCTTAGTTTAGAAGCACCTCCACCTCCACGCGATAATTATATCCTATGGGGCTGACAGGACGACGATAGCGCCGGCGCTTAATTAGTTTTAGCAAATAGGAGGATACTTGACGATAGTCCCCCTTTTCTCTTTTCTATCTTCCTCTGGTCTTTCTTTTTTCTAGTTAGGTCGGCTCCACGCGATAATTATCTGCGGCGCGTTTTCAAAAAACTTAAACTTCGAACCACTAAAAAAAAAATTTGCAATTACCGATACCGGGCGTGGTCGTTGGCTCATTACTTATTAATCACTCCATCATGACTCGTCTAATCTCCACGGCCCAAGTAACCGCCTCAAGACACTTCTTGTCCACAGTAGAATCAGTGCAGCCGCGACTAGCGAGTGGTGGAGGCGGCAAGAAGCCGGAAGACATTGTTAGCGACATGGCCAAAGAATACTACGAGATGATCCCCGATCCGATGAAGGCCAAATATGCACACGAAGAGACATATAGGTACTTACACCTACTTCCAGGATCACGTTATGTGGTGGAGGCGGAATTAGTTCTAGGCTAGGACGAGGTGGTTCTTTGATTTGTAAATGTAAAAACTTGATTAACTTTCTCTATGTAGTAAGATGTTAAAGGAGCATAGAAATACGACAACGAATTTGTTCCAAGCGAAAACTATCTTCTAGTGGGGTTTCTTTTTAGGTACCAAGCAATAAAAATACCTTAAGAACTCGACCGACCTCACAGGAAAACCGCGGACGGTGGGATAGTATCGCTCGGTGTCTTCCACGGCCAGGAAATGGAGCAGTTCAACAAGTTGTCCTCCATGATCAAGAGCAACATGTTTACTCTCGGGCAGGCGATTAAAGGCTTAGTGGTCATGTCTGCGCAATTCGAGGACATGTACAACTGTTTCTTGATACAGAAGTTATGGTGAGAACTAAGTACGCTTAAAGCACTATAAAGTAAAACAACCGGTTAGAAGTTTTCACCTCTATCCCTAGGCTTATCCCTTCAAACAATACGAATACATTAACCAAACTAATGAGCAGTTGCCTCTTTTTCCCCTACCCTTTCTTCTCTCTAATCCCGGTTCCTGCTTCTTGGGGTAAGGCGTCCTACATCTGTTTGAAGCCATTGAGCAGCTATATGGCGGATATGATGCGACGATTGGAGTTCTACGAGAACTGGCTCAGGAATGGACCACCAGCAACATTCTGGATTTATGGTTTGGATGTGCGCATAACGGTTTCAATAAGTACTTCTTGCAAGAATCTGAATCAGTCAATCAATCAATCTAATGAGTCCTGGAATGTACTTACAATTCATAGAAGTACAAGGAGAGACTTACCAAAAAAATATGGAATAGGCTCATATTTTGGATCAGTATTTTTGATTAGGCTCCAGTTTGGATTACTAGATGTAGGTTAGAAGACATTCTTACCACGTCTCTAATCTCTCAGTAGTATGTTCTTTCCGCAGGGTTTTATGACCGCAGCAATGCAGACATATGCGAGGAAGACGCAAATTGCGATTGATGGCATCAAATTCCTGACATTAGCAAGTGACAAGATGGCAGACGAAGTGACGGAACCCAGAGAAATCGGCGTCAACGTCCACGGATTGTTCTTGCAGGTATAATAAAGTGTTTTTGTTTTCTTTCTTGCTCTGGCCCTCTACACGAACTTCCTCTACAAGGACATAAGATCAGGGACTTCGACGGACAACTTCCTAAACTGCATTCTTTCTTTTCTACCTTGTTATTTTAACACGTTCACGTTTTTTCATCAAACAATTGGTCTTCTCCCACCACTTACTAGGGCTGCGGTTTCGACAAGAAAGGAGTGCAATTGTGCGAGAGTGCTAAGGGTGTCTTATTCGTCGAAATGCCGGTCTTGTGGTTGAAACCTGTCTTGGTCGGAGAGTGGGATGCGCACCACAAAGGCTTGGCGATGCCACAGTACAATTGCCCGGTTTACAAAACTTATGATGAGAAATTATTGAAGAGTACTAAAAATACGTGAAGGTGAATTTTTGAGCTAGAAGTACGTCGCTTCTTTTAGGTGAAGAGAAGCAGATAAACCTCAACTGTCACATAGGTCGTGTGGTCCTTCTTGTCCTCTTCACACCAGCATACCAAATTTCTTGTTCTAATCTCCGAGCGAGCGACGTGGTGTGCTATCGACAACGGGTCACTCGACCAACTTCGTCATGTACATGCAGGTGGGCTACGACAGCGCTGACCCATCGCATTGGACACGACTGGGAACAGCATTGCTGTGCATGTTGGACGATTAGGCGACTAGGCGTAGGGGTCGTACGGGTAAGGATAAGGCTAAGGCTATTAGTGTGGTTGGGGGAGCCTAGTCTAACTCTAAGGTGGTACTTTTTTTCAGAACTTTTGTAGTTATACTAGTACAGCTTCTGTCCTACAAGAAGCAAGAGATAAGACAGAGTGTTCTGATATTTCGATGTCAGGAAATCACAAAAAACTTTACAGTCGATGTACAGTTTTCTATTATGTTGATGTTGTTACGATTCCTGTTGATTCCCACTAAAAACTAAAACTATTTATTGTTGAACTTGAACTCCTAAACAGATTATCATTGAACTTCTACTACGGTACTACAGGATGCAATTTACCAATACTGCTCAGTGTATATGTGTATGAATTTGAATTGGAAATATGATCTTTAGAATGACAGAGGATATGGATGTAGACTATTCACAACGAGCTTTTTCAAACCTAGCGATACAAGCCACTCGTTAGGAATGCGATGATCATGATACAACTAGCCAGATTTTTAGATAGACAACATTGGATAGACAAGATTCGTTAGTTGCTTTTCTCCTTTGACAGTTCAAAATAGACCTAAAAATTGCAGATTAAATTTGAAATGAAAATGATTAAAGTAAGATCGAGTGCTTATATTTATTGCTGTTTTAATATTCCAAAACTAAGAATTGATTCAGGTAAAAAGTAGTATGATTGATAGTGGTTGAAAAGATCGAGAAACCAAAACGAATCATTTTTGAATTCGAACGACATGAAAAATGAACAGATTCAGGGCTCGACTACTACCCGCCTCCAGCAAAGTCGAGTCCTGTAAAGAATCTATGACCTGGAAAAAAGATTATACTTAGGTGTATTGGCTCTTCAGCAGCCAACAATGTCCGCGAGAACACGCAGCGGGCCCTAACCTAACCTAAAAACATACTTAGTCTCTATTAGTACGCAAATCCAAATCCATGAAAACGAACTAGATATGGCATTCCTTGAAACAACGATTGAAAGAAAAACGTTGGTTGCATTTTTCACAATGAAAATCTTCATGCTCGGACGACAATGAGTCGAAGAACAACAAAAAGCAATCAGGTAGAATTAGAAATATCTGCCCGTCGTGCTGATGTTGCCTTGCTGATACTATTTTTCGTATTTTCCTCCTCGTCGAGTGAAGTGTGATGTTGAGACCAGGGCTTCTTGAAAGGTTTTCATCTGTCAGACAGAGCGTACACCCAAAGGTAAACAGCCTCCTTGACCAAGTTAGTTACATCGAGGGATAAACGAGACCGTGCTCAGAGTTACGTCGAGGGATAAACGAGACCGTGCTGGAACGCATTGATAGTAGTCCTCCTCATCCTCTATCATGAAGCGTTGGATGATGGTGATGCTTCGAGAAATTTGCAAAAAGACAGAAATGCGCAGCTGAGAGAAGATTGCGTGGCTGTGCATGAGAGTGAGTGAGTGATTGATTGCATCAGACTTGCTTGAGGCAGAAGATAAGAGGTAGGAGTAGGTCGAAGATGAAACGGAAGTGTAGCAGTGGAATAGACAAAGCAAGAAAGTGATCCATCCCCATGTTCTCTCTAGTGCGACCGGTTCACTGAGGCAACAAGACCGACGGCCGCGACGAGTTTCATTTTTTGCACAAGAAATACGACCACCGCAGAGTAAGAGACATTATAACACCAGGTGCACCGCAAGGATCATGGTCTCATAGCGACGTCCTTGTTACAACTCAATGAAACACACCAGAAGGCCCCGACACCACGCGCCTTTTCAAATGTCCTCTCTACCCATCTTGATTTTATTGTGATTTTATTATGCCCGTCTAAAAAGAGTTGGTGTTGGTCTCTCCAATGAATGCCAATCGTGAATCACTTACTTAGTCAGTCGTGATTGTCGTTGATTCATGCTACTAAAGAAATACGCAACACTTGCTATTTCTTCAATCATCGTCTCACTAAAATATCAAGTTAAAACAAAAAGTCGTTGACAAGAACAACAACATGAATCATGTGAAATCTACTATCCATTCTGCTTGATACCAAAAGCAAAACCATGACCGAGCAGTTACGTTCGAGCGCAGCGCAAGCTAGAGACTGGCTAGTGGGTCCGGAGAGTCGGCAACCGATGATGAATCTAGACCTAGAATCCGGGACGTCCAACTCCTCGACTTCTTTGCGAGAGAGTCTAAGTACTCTCTCAACCTCATTACGAGAGCGTGTTAGTGGCGAAGAAGAGAATGAGGTACTGGAAGCCTGCTGTCCACGGTTTATGGAGGAAACATGCAGCTTGTAATTGTTGTCTCAGGAGGACTACTGTTCTCTAACAAGCATAACTACGCATACGTTCTTACAAACCGGGCTTAGAAGTTGTTGTCTCTCCACTGACAAACTTCGATAAAAACTAGCGCTACAAGCAGGCTACGGACGACAGCTTGTTTTGATGTCGCAGCAAGCTTCAACAAACCCTTAACCCTTCTAATTCCCTAAAGCACTTCTTCTAATTCCCTAAGCTACAAGCAGAGATTGACAGGTTGGGCTGCATGCTTTGCGGCTGGCACGTTGTTGTCTTTGGCAGCAAGCAGACAATTCAAGCGAGATCCTGGTCATTTCGCAAGACTCTACACTTTGGGAAATTTTTATGATGAAATGATGCATGGCTTTATTACCTTTAGCTTGATTGTAACTACTACTACAAACATGTACATGAAAGATTCTTCAAGTCTTTCGGAAGAATGATGCAAGGAGAAACTGATATTGTGAATACTGTTTTCAATCATAAAAGACAGGGACACGACTGCAGAGTTCATTTATTCTTTCTTGACCCGGTGGTCTCCCCTACATATATTCCTCATTCCATGATCTTCATATCCCAGTGTCCCTTTCCGCGAGTTTTTTCCTGATGGGACCGGCAGCCCAGCTTAAAAGACTTCTAGACCAAACCCGCAGGTGGACGGTTTTAGTTCTGCTCATTCTCTTCGTAGCGACAATAATGAGCAGTGTATTCATTGATCAAGTTATGATACATATTAGAAATTCAGTTTCCGGTAATATTTTATTCGAGCAACTCTTCGAATTCTTTACAAGATATATAGGAGCACTCACTCTCGAGAATTCTTATTCACAAAGCATGAAGGAGAAATAGTGCTTTAAAAACTCAATGTTTCGTAGTTCTTCTTCAATACCCTCTACTAATACTCGAATGACCCTAATCAAAATTTTGACTTTTCTCTAATCAAAACAGCGAAGAGCCTACTCTGAAGAATCGCGTAGTGATTTTACTCCTCGTTTGTGCGCAGTATGCGGCGATGCTCTGGTACACACTGAGTTACATACCCTATGGCCGCTCTGTCGTCCGTTCATGTCTCACGAGATGTTTCAAAGGAGTATGCTGTTGACCTCGCAAGATCTTCAAACATGACAATCTGAATTCGTTTTCCTAACGTCGACTTTACTGACGATAGACACTCCCAGAGCTAGCGCGGGAAAGCAAAAGCTATCGCAAGAAACTAGAGGCTTTGCGCTTGCAAGACAACGATGCCTATAATCAAGAGTCTTGTGACAAGTACAGGGATCCCTGGAGTTTGTACCTTGAATTTTGTTCAACAAAAACATTCCAAGAAGAGAGCTAGATGTACTAGGCTTGAAAAGTGCGCGGCCTGAAAAGATGAAAACGGAAAGAAAGGATGGAGGAAGGAGAGTAGCGGATACGAGTACTAGTTAGGCCTACTTTATAGCTTTACTTTTCCGAGACACAACACCGAGAGGGAAAAGTAAAAGACTACACTGTCTCAAGACAAAGCATGTACTATTAACGAGAGAACAAGTCGATGAACAAAGGAATAGATTTTTTATGACCTTGACCACAAGGACGCTCCTCGCACCTGCGCGTCTGAGAAGAACCTGTAGCTGGAGGCTCTGAAACCGCGGTCTTTTATAAGAAGGAAGATTGCCGTTATCTTCGCACCTTCTTTTACTTTGAAGCGCAACATGGGGTCAACGTAGCCGAAGAAGCCTGCGGTGAAGAGCATCCTGGTCTCCGATCCTGGTCTCCGATCGTATACTAGAATTGACCTAATATCGGACAGAAGTACCTCGGAGAACAACTGGCTGCCTCCTGGAGTAGCAGATGGTAGAAATCCCTCCTACAACATCAACAACTAGTGAGAACGAGCCAAACAGTAGTTTTTACAACGACTCAACATACCTTGACCTTCTGAAAATGGATGCTATAGCCTCCCAATTTGGTCGGGGGTTAGTCGACCTAGCCGAACTCGTAGAAAGCCGCGCTATCACGTCTACCGAGAACCTAATAACGGAAAGATTGACGCAGCAGTCGAAAGTTCTAGAGGAACAGTTATGTTGATGGTCGTAGAAGTACTTTAGCAAGTTTTTAAAATCTGGTGGTGGCCGACTAATAGCCTAGGACCTTATCTTCACAATAAACTTCGAAGTGGTTACATACATACCATGATTTCTTGTTCACTTTCTAATCTATGCACGTGCATTACAGTCTGGTCTCCAACAGCAGATCCAGGAGGCACATGCTGGGCAGGAAAGCAAACAAAGACAGGAACGGGAAGGAGCGGAGAGGGACCTCTTACATTATGTTTGGATCATGCTTTGAATCTGAACCATCAATATGGTTGCTTTGATGATGAAAATGTTGACGAGGAGCTACGGGTAGGGCTAGGGGTACAACGGATGCTTTCCATTATAAGTATGCTCTGATATTACTTTTTAGAGCAGACGGTGACGGCGATCTACAACAAATTCATCTGATGTGGTCTTCTTGGAGGAAGAACAAGTTCTCGATGAGAGGGTCTCGATGAGACGATGTTGCAACATTCTAATCAGAACAAGTCAGCACCAGATTGCAGGAGTCGCAACAGGATGCACTAGCGGCGTTGGAAGCCCGACTACAGGAGGCCCAGCAGACGACGCTACTCGCTTTAGATAAGTCGTTGGAATTCAGGGAGGCAAAGATTAGTGGAAACTTAGACGTGCGGTTACAAAAGTTTGAGGACCTTATAGTGGCAAGACTGGAAGAAACGGCGAAGCAGGAGCAGAAGAATTTATTGGCTAAGGTACTGAAGTGCGGATCTTCTTCTGTGAGTAGGTGGTGCATGCTACTTCACTCACCGGCGTCGGCAATAGACACATCTATAGTTTATTCCGGCGTTTTCCTAATGCTGATCAAACGTGAATTACAGTTGTCTTGTCTCGAAGAGCATTACTGTCGGCTGTTCTCACCTTGTAGCTTGTTACCTACATAATGCCCCTGCAACAGGTCGACGCCCGCCTGGACGAATGGGCTCAATCTTTGGGCGGAACGCTGACACAAAGGGTGTCTGTGGAAATATCCCAAGAGGTTGATGGGCAGATGGCCCAAATCAAAACGGACATTGCTGAAAAAGCAGCTGCGATAGAAAGAACGAAGGAGTTTCTGAAGAAGGAAAGTTAAGCATCGTGAGGTAGTTCGTGCACATCGAGTTGTATCTGGAGGATTTAGAATAACAATAATATTGATAGCCTCTAACCTACTGCTTTGGTTGTCGAGGGTGTATGCATGAAACTGGAGGAAGTGGAAGGCACAGTGCAACGCCTCTCGGCAGAGCAGCAAGACCAGAAAATCGACGCTGACGCATTGGGCAAGATAAAAGGGGAGATACTCGCTTCCACGTCATCAGAAGTACAGAAGATGTCGAGTCTGCTCGGATTAGAATTTCAGCAGAACCTAGGAAAAGTCAAATCCACGATCGAAGAGGGTATCGAGACGGATATTGCAATGCAGAAGAACAGAGTGGATGCGTTGGAGAGGTTGGTGAAAGAGGTAACATCTTTACATACTACTCCATTTACTAATATTTTTACTGCTTTTACATACACTCGAAATTAGTTATGGTAGATTGTTACGAAGAAAACTTGAATGATATGACCTTGTTGTAGTTGTGACAAGCATGATTCTATGTACGGAAGGAGTAGTCAGATGTCTAGGTGTATCTATGCGTTGTATCATCAATAATAATCAGTTCATCTTCGTTGACAAGAGCAAAACCACATGTTGATATCAGAATATTCTCGTAGTGTTCGATTTCAGGTTTCCGCAAGTCCTCTGCCCTCTGCTTCATCTGGTAATGAACCTTCTGCGCAAAGGGGAGGCAGCGTCCAAGATGCGAAGGCGTTAGTCGAGTCAGCACTAGCCGTCCAAAGTGCAAAGTCAGCGTTGCAGAGTGAGGGAGCGAGAATGAGTATATTTGAACTTAGCTATTTAGTAGAAACCTTCTAATCACAGTGGAGAAAACATAGTACTTGATGGCAGCACCAAATTTTGTGAACGGATTATTTGTGTACTACCTGATATATAATATGTGGACTTCACTCATTTAGACGCCCGCCTGGTGGAGATTAGCGAGAAGGAAACCCGGTTATCCAAAGAAGTGGACGCTTTGAGAGTCGAAATGCGCACCCTGCAGAAACAGTCGGAGGAGATGGGTAGAACTGTCGGTGACTTGCAGAGTCTAGGCAAACAAACGATGAAGGCGTTGCAGGACTACCAAGGGCCACCAGGACCAGCAAGCGCTCAAGGAGGGCCGATAGATCAGCTTGCGTTGTCGACCAACGGGGCCGTTGTGTCAACCACACCTGTTTTTCCAGTGGTACTGCTAGTCTTCGTAATCTTCTTTTTACGTAGTAAACCTAAACACCAAAAAACGCCACAAACATCAGATGTCTATTTCCCCAATCTTTATGCACTTAGGTACTCACAAGGATATCGTGGTCACAGATTCCTGTTCTCCATACCTCGATAAAAACCACCCATAAAACAGCGAGTGCCTGCCCAACATCAGTCAAGTGGGACAGCTAACGTGACACCAGGCATCCAGAGAATAGTGCAGACGACAACTTTCACCTCAACTTCCTCAACAGCCGATGCTTTCATTAAGGCGTCAGGTAAAAATTGATCTTCAGAGGGATCTTGGGACCTTCCTCTAAGGGAAGAAGAAGCCCAAGATGACTATCGAGATGGATTCCAGGAAGGTCTAACTTCAGTAGTGACGCTTTTCCGGGATTGCAGCATTTGGATCCTTATGCTGGCACACGCCTGTCAGATGCCGACTATCTACGCCACATCTACAAGAGCCTAGACGTGAGCACCAACGGAACGAACACCATTCCGGCACTAGAGATGCCAAACTATGAAGAGGTTGGGCCAACAGGAAGCCGATCTGTAGCTGGTAATGGAGCAGTATCTTCTTCTTCTGCAGCTGCTGTGACCGGACCTGGCGTAGTCGGAGGAGGCGCAACAATATCTTCCGCTTCAACATCACCATCGGTGGGAACAACAACAAATGTAGGCACAAGTAGTAACAGCAAGCCGAATGCAAATTATAGTGTTGGAGGTGCAACGTCAACTGGATCTGGAACTGCAATTGCTCGTCCAGGATCAGGAACTGTTCTGAGCAAAGGAACACAACATTAAGGCTTTTAGTACTATCAATCCATGGACCGTTTGATTGTCGCTTCTACCATTAGACTTTCACTCCATTTGATTCTCGCTTCTACCATTAGACTTTCAATCCATTTGATTGTTCTCATCTTTGCTTTGTTTGACAAACTGCTTCAGTCCATGTTGTTTCGCATGTCTACTTCACATTTTCAACAGGTGGGAAGTAGAGCTAAGAAGCTTTTACGTCAACGGAATATCGACGACTGCACTGCTTCTCCCACTACTGCTACTAGTACTACTCTAATAAAAGATAACCAGTGCTGTAGGAGGTCAACTCCCAGGCGCGCGAATTGGGATGCCACCACCGACAGTGGTACTACATCGAGGTCCTGGAGAGGCAGCATCTTCGCCACAAGCTTCACCACAACAATACACTAGAAACACGCCTTCGGTTATGGTCAGCTTTCTTTTCTCCATCTTTCTCAGCGAAAAGGAAATGTTGGTACTTAACCTGTTCCCATCAAATACAAGGGAAAAGGTGCAATAAATATGAGGGCGCCGAGATGAATAGAGAATGGTGACTCGTCTAATTTGGACCAACTCTATGGTGGAGGGGGACCTGCTACAGGAGTAGCGGCGTTCAACTACGCAGCTCCATTTATGGCTTGAAGTATCTTGCAGTGAAGTGGTGACCTATACAACCTTGAACTGGCTTTTAACAAGACCATAAGCACTTGTCCTTCTAAGTGTTCAATTTCGATGGAGTAGAGTAAGTTTCTTTCTAGGCAGCTTTTGCTTGAGTCTATTTCTATTGAAGACCTCAAAATGAATGCTATGTATTTAATGTATGTGTGAAATAATAGAAAATCTTGAAGTGTTGACAGTGACTCCTGTAACAGGAAATTGGTTTCCGCCCACAGGGATGCAAACACTCATGCTCTAACCCCTACACAACTACCACGCAGCCACCTACTGGTTCCGGCATAGCGGTAGTTAGTCCAGTGAATCCAGCCTTGGTGGCAGGAGCAAGAACAGAGAGCGCTGCGGCGGTCGTCAGTCCAGGACCTAAAGGACGAGGAGGAGACCAAGATCAAGGATGTGGGGTGCAGTGAGATAGAAGAACAAGAGCTAGTATAATGATCTATAAAAGCACTAGTGATGAGGATGATCAACATTCATATTTTTCGTGCTACCATTTGATTTTTAAGAAACACATCATAGCCCATGATTGGGCACACTACGACACAATATTAGGCTCCTGTGGTGCTACAACACGCATGATTTTCCGCAATTTTCAGTTTGGTCAATTGAAGCTCGTTTCGTATAATTCACACACAACTCACACACACCAGCAAGTAATGAAACTTTTGAGAATATGAACCTTAGAATGCACTGCACTAAACACTATTCCACGCATTGACATTGAGTTATCTTTCGCCATATATTTTTTTGTGATAGAAGGCGCCTGTTTTTCAGACGCGCTTGACACTTACATGTAGTTTTTGACCATTTCCCATTCACAACACAATTCATCAACAGCTCACGCAAGTAGACTTACAATGTATAGAAGACTGCACAGAAAAATCTGTTGTCAGATATTTCTTATCGCTCTACTTCACATCACTAGTGCGTTTTATATTCCGTGACTCACGTTCATGCAAAGCTGTGGTTGTGCTGTAGAACACGAGAATGCAAGAATAGAAAACACTTCTGAGTGCGTCTCCCAGGTGGCTTCGCAAGATACCTATCGATGTTGGACAGGGGTGAGATCTTTAACTTGGAGCTTTTTATCACATTGCAAGGAAGCCTTCGTGGAAATGCTGTTGTAGTACAGCATCTAGTACACAAAGACGTGGTTTTCGGAAGGAATAAGAAATGTCTTTTATACAATATAAGGAGCATTTGAGGGCCAAAATTTTGTTACTCCTATTTTATATACCTCTTCCTTTTTCCTATCCTTCCTAGGTAGGTTGGCTCCACCACAAATATAAGGAGCATTTGGAGAGCAGATATTTGAATTTGCAAAGCGTGTACGAGGAAAGCTCTTACACAGGAGCAAAGTCAGCTGCTAAGAATTTGAGGAAAGATGTGGAATTTCTTATAGAAGAAGAACAAGACGTTAGAAATAAGAAACAGGTGAAAGATATAACAAACTTCAACACCATGATGTCTGCGAGTTTTGCTAGTGGACCCACACCTAACCTAACCTAACCTAACCTAGCCTACACGTGTCCTCTTACACCAGCATTAGAAGTGTCCATTTCGACGTACATGATAAATGTTCGACCGTCTATGATAAAATGTTCGACGATTTGACCCTGATAAAGGGGAGTCCGATTCCGGCTTTCGTTTCGCATCAGGAGGCCGCTTTTGCGGTATCCGATGATGCTGTTGTCGCCTGCGCCGGGTCGAATGTTCTCTATACATCGGCGAAAACAGACCTGACACATGTTGTGCACGCCAGCGATTCTTTCCGGGGCTCCTTTGGGTGCATCTTATGGCGGAGACGTTGATATTTGAAATTAGAAATTACTTCCTTTGTTTAATGAAATATCCTGTCTTTCTTGGTCTTTCTCGGTTCATCAACAGTACTACTTGTGGTCAGGTGGGTATAAATATCATCATCACGACCATCGTCTTCATCACCATCATCTTCGTCATCATTCATTCACACATTCATCACACAGCACGCAAACCGCGTTTTTGTTCTAATTCTAGACATTCTCAGCGCTTGGATCGCAGTTGGTGAGAGTGCTCCCGCTTCACGAGTGCCTCCAGATGTACCTCCAGCAGTACAAATCCTGAAAGTTTTTACGGAGAACAAGAATGGAGAAGGACGAGATGTTGACCATCATAACGGAGAAGGAAATATTGACCACCACGGAGAAGGAAATATGGAGAACAAGAATGGAGAAGGACGAGATGTTGACCACCATAACAACTGCTTGCCACGATGCTCACTCCTGCATTCGCTACGACACCCAGGCTGGCGTGGCATCAGTACAGTACGCTTCGTTCACGAAGGGTCGCAGGTTTTGGTCGTAGTGTTAAGGTTGGCTTTGGCGAGGAGTCTCAATGTGGATAGTATCATACCATATTAAGTAGAAGGTAGTACATACAGTTATATTTTTATAATCTTTCGTGGATAAGGATCGATATGTTCTCTACTAAAAATAATCGAAGACAACTATACAGCCGCCACAGCGAGTGCAAGTGGAAGCAACAGCTCCACGACCGGAAAAAAGCACCCGACGACACCTTCTTTGGCAGTATGGAGGGTGTCAGAAGCCACTGCAGACCGAATTTACCTTGGCAATGCACTACAACTCGGTGGAGAGAATGCTATGAGTAGAAGTTGTCTACGGTGACTAAAAATTTTCGGAGAGGCCTACCTTTAAAAATAGCTTTAAATTTCTTGTTTTTTTCAGGTTTAGGTCCTGCGGCGCTCAAAGCACTAAGTAAGTTTCTAGCCGGTTAGTTTATTTCACCTCGACAATATTAGGCTTATCCCGTGCAGCAGTGTTTTTTTCCTAGTTGGCGCTCGACCACAACTAAAAAATACAGCAACGAACAGAGCCTAACTTCTCTAAATCGAGAGCAGCCAGCTTTGTCCGAGTAGTTCCCGGTCGCTTTGGAAGCTTTTTCACCTTCTGCGAAAAACCTGGGACAGTTCAAGTTTGGGAGTCTAGTACGAATGCAAGGAACAAAATAATGAAGAGTCCTTTTACAACTTCGATAGTAGTAACGGGAGACATGCTAGCAAAATTGAGTGCAGGAACAAAGCCTTCTTCGACGGGCACTGCTTATGACATTCAATTTCAGCACAGCGAAGCGTAAAAGCATTCCAGCGTGCAATAGCTTTACAACTTGTTAAGCATTCCGGAGCTTCGACTCTCCTGGCAATTACACCATGTATCTTCATGTAGAGGAACCGAGTTTCTGTCTCAGCTTCCATTCCTTTCCGATTCCTTCCCTTTTCTAAGCAATCCCTCAGCACCAGCTCCCGGCCACCCAGCACCTAGTCGCAGTCACCTGCCAGGAGAATGCCAAATCCGCTGACTCACAGCGGCTGTATTGCCTTGGAGTCCAAGGGTTGCTGCTTAGTTCCTTGAAGGGCAAAGTGGACCGATATACGAGAGTCGCGAAAGGAACCAAGTCCAGGGCCCCGATCGCGTACGCTGTATTACAGTATCTATTACATATAGGATACGTAGACCAAGAAAATAAGTACTCGTTCAAAAATTCATATCTTTTTTGGAGACAGAAGTTAGTGGTCAAGAACCAACAACACTCTCTCTACAAACAGATCGCTCACATTCCGACATCATCGTCCGCTTCATCCTCTAGTTTATTTTGCAAAAATATACCCGAACAATCCGGTACAAATGCTACTACTTCACCTAGTGGGAGGACTGGTGCTTCTAGCACAACAGCTTCTAGTACTGGCGTAGTTGCAGTCGCGGTTCAAGGCAAAGTGAAGCTCTTTTGCGATACAACGTTACAATGGAAATGCGCAATTTCGCTTTCTACGCACCCTAGTGTTAGGGCAGCTATCTTGCAGTGGTCCTTAGTTGACGAGCCTTCCTTGAAATATTCCCTTGTGCCTTTCGCTTTCTTCGGAATCCCTTGTTCTTCGACGACTCATCAGGGTCAGGAGAGATAGAGCCTGATTAGTAACGTTTCAAAGGGAGATATATCCCATCGTCCCCTTTTTCTGATCGAATTTCAATTTGATACCCACCTCTATCTTCCTTTAAGTACACGACCAGCGGAGCATCTTGTTCAATGATATCCTCTATACGATGCCAAGAAGAGCGGCTCCTTTTCGTCGACTCCTATGGTGGTATCAGTTTTTTCGAGAAGGAGGTTTTGGTTCCAGAGGTGGAAGCTGAAGCGTACAGTTCTACAGAGATCCAAGCATCGAGACCAACTACAACACGACCAGCACCATCTTCTCAGCACCAGGTTGGTAGCAGTGCAGTGACAGCAGCCACTACGATCGGCAGCGTAACTCCTCTTTTCCCGCTGCATCACAATCCAATAGGGATTAGTTCATGTGTTGCGGGATTTGGACATGGCCTTTACCATCTAGATACCTATGCGAGGATGCTGCCGATTTTTATGAAACAAGTGAGCCTAAGTATTTTTTTTTCAACCGGTCCGCATCGATGACGAAAAATGAACTCCCAAAATACACGGTGACTTTTGCCCTTGGACACCGGAGTTATTAACACACAGCAATATTCTCGGTCGTCGGTCCTTGGTAATTCCTAACTTTCAATTGTGGCTATGCTGAGAGAACAACTACTTCATCTACCCTGGTTGTAGCCATGTTCTTCTACTTCTTCTACTCTGCTAGTTAGAGCCATCTAAGAGGTCATCACCTTCATCCGCCCCTTCTACAAGCGGGTGCGTACTCTCCAGCAGTGCCGCCTCTACCTGCAGCACCAATACGACGCCTTCATCAGCTGCCCTACCTCCCTCATTTACTCCAGTGTCCTCTTCTACGGCACCTACACCTCGCGGCGTTTTCTCACCAGGAGGACGAGCTATTTCTTCAGCGTCATCTTCCTCCTGTGGAGTAGGAGTATTAAGGCTTCTTGCCGCAATTCATCTGAAGGGGCATCTACTTTGGACACGATTTTTTCAAAAGGAATTCGCGTCAAGGATGCACTTTAAGATGAGAATATCGCCGATAAGGTCTAAGAGTGGCATCTGGATCATCGGCAGCTGTCAAGAGCAGTGTCACAACCTCTACTGTCTCAACATGCGCCTCCTTTTCTTCGTGTTCTAAGAATTCGAACAACTTCAACTTGTCTGAAACAACCACTAGTTGTACTTCGACATCCACTAGTTCGTCAGGTCCCTCTCATAAAGTCAACAAGAGTACCACAACTACTGCTCGAGGGCCGATGAAGGATGCGAAAACTACATCAACACAGGTTGCAGCAGTAGTAGCCAAGATAATTGCTTTTGGTGTTGATGTTAGGATGCTTTGATCAAATCGAGGCCCCAGAAACTCAAACTGAATATTAGACTCCGGTCCATCGTCATTATAAGTAGAAGTTGTAGAAGATCCTGATTTCGATCATGACTACATTCAGACTTTGTCTCTACGGGGGGCCGAATGTACGGCCTCTTCGATAGATGTAGATTTGTGGCCGATTGTACGGTCTTATGCGCGCCCAGTATGTAATTTGGATGATCTTATAAGTACGGGGTAAATAATTGATTGAAAGGGTGGCAGCATATAGTCCTAACGCAAAAAAAAAAAAAATCTACGGGTGTCAGGAACGACACTATCAGGGGCATACACATGACATATGAAAATACTCTTGCTCTAGCTCTTCCATTAGAAATAGAATCCTCTAAGTACAAAATTGCAAACGTGGCGGCTGCAGCTGACGAAGTTGGCCGCATTCGGCTTTACGCTTTAGACGATGGCAGGGAACTTGAAGGGGAGAAAATTCAAGTCCCTGCTTCTGCTTCAAACTCAACAAATATTCTTGGAAGTTCGACGAGCGTAGCTTCATCGTGTTCATCAAATAGTACTATTAGTAGTGGTGCCAGCGTTAGCAGTAGTAATGCTCCTACTGCTTCTACGGCTAACAGTACTAAAATCATAACTGTACGCGTTGCAACGTGGGAGGAAGAGAGGAGTACGGTGACCGTTTTGGCCTGTTGTACAGTAGAGGGAAGCCTCCACTGTTGGAAAATATGGGCGGATGAGGAGCGCGCTTACTGCTATTTGACGCAAAAGTACGCGTCCGGGTCCGCGGCAGCCCTTGGGATATATAGTTATGACTGCCAGGACTGGCTATACGAGACAGGCTTTGTTACCCATTTTTAGAGGAAAGGACTTTACTACTCATTTGAACCACAAAAATGTTCTGAAGGACACTAACATGCTTGAGGTCGTTAGAGAAAGTGTCATCGAACGACTTTCGAACGACTTTAGCATTCATTTGAATTCGATGATCTACCTTTTGTAGGAGCTCCTGTAGTAATTGTTCTTCTTAGTTATGACTCTTGTTACCAGGACTTGCTATACGAGACAGACTTTGTTACCAGGTCGTAGGAATGGCACAGATACAGGTCTCGCCTTACCAGGATGTCGTGGGGAACAGGCTTTTTAGCTGAGCTTTGGTAGTTACTGTGGTGACTCACTACGATAGACATATTATGTCTCTGTGGATAATTAGAAACATCACACACTAGTGTAACCGTTTGTTGCTGATTTTTCTAATCTCTTCCGACTCCACCCACATGCAGTGGTCTTGCATTATGTTCGCCATTGTCGCTTTGGGTTTGCTCGGACAAGAATTCAGCTCATTGCCTCTTGGAAAAACCACAAGATGGGCCAAAATATACGAATGGCGTTTCGTCTTCTAGGATAAAGCAGAGAGGTGGAGGTGCTAAAGCAGTTGTTGTTGATGTTCTTACGGCGGGTGCTAGTGAAATAAGTAGGTCAAAGTCAATATTAGATAAGATGGAACTTCTCGACTGAAAAAAACATATTTATACAGCGTCCGTGGTTTTCTTTCTCTAAGATGGACTCCATCTTCTTTCTCTAAAATAATCCATCTCCTTTCTCTAGATGAGTACAACAGGAGCTACCAACTTTTAAGGGTAGAAGGTTAACGGTGTTCGCGTTGCCGTTTGCTTTGCCTCTCCTAAGGGAGAAAAGCATAACAGACAACGGCTACAAACGCCAAAATCCTGCCGCTAAGCCAAGTTCAACCTTATCATCTCCGGCGTCATCATGCCAGCACCAGTCTCCAGTTGTGTTGCAAGTGCGTGTGAAGAGCCAAGAGGCGCCTCCTCGAGGATCAACCTGGGCTGGACTACACACTGCACCATGCGACACCTACGCAGTACACAGTACTCTTGATTCGTGCACGCCAGCAGCTCCAGGTCGTGGAGTGGTTTTGGTGGTTCGTCACACAACAGAAAGGCGCATCGTAGCCCATTTTGAGGAAGCAGAGACAGGACTGACGTATTCTGGTGCCACGGTGGCGACATTCGGCAAAAGCCAAGTGGGAGCCAAGTTTGGAACCGCCGCCAGTCTGTCACCAGACGGCAAAATCTACGCAGTCGACTCTCCAACTTTCGGCGTATTGCTCTTTGGGATACACGCCCACAATCAGGAAACAAGTGCAGGTGGACCGATGATTGAACCCACAATTTAGGACTACTTGTCGCGCTTTGTGTTACTATTACTTAGCATAGCTCATAATTTCATAATCATGTGTTGCATAATTTCATAACTAATCATATTGCCCTAAAGAATCCACCTTATTCGCAGAATCGCTTCTCTTGGGTCTTTGCCTGTCCACAGTCTTGCCTGTGAAGATGACAGATTACTGGTGTTATCGAAATCCGGCATAGTCTTCTGCTTCTTCGACAGAGAACAAGGGCAAGAACAACGTCAAGAGGAAGGTCGAGAACATGATGTGCTTCTTGGCACAACAGCCAGAGCAGAGACAGGAGGAAATGGTGTAAAAGTAGGTCCACAAGGAGAAGTTTTGGATGAAAAAGTGCAGATGAGTAATGCTAGGGCAGTTGTAGCGGCTTCGCCTTTGGCATTTGAAAGCGGATTGCTTCCTCGGTGGTTACGTTCACGAGGAGGGTCATCTTATGGTTTTAGATCAGGGTTGAGTTGGAGTCATAGTTTTCATGATATTTTTACGCAAAAGACTTCCTCACTTTTTTAGAGGAGTTGATTCTTGAATTTTGAGGCCTACGAGATGCCTACCTTGCCCTTGTCCACCGCCTTCACCTTCTTCTTCGCTGATAAATCGCTCCTCTCCGAGGAATTGTAAGTAAGTACGACCTTCTTGTTATCGAAATAGAGCTGTAAACCTAAATAGGAATAAGTAAATGTTGATAACCCACCGTCACCAGTAAAGCTATCGCATCATGTTCACGATGAGTAGATAGATCTATAGATTCCTGTTCTAAAAAGTCCTGGTTCTTGTAATGATAAAGATTCTTTTATGTCCAGCAAGTTCAGCGTATTATTTCCTTAGGTCGTTGGAATGATAAAGATTAAGATTTAGTCTTAGCTTCCTGTTCTAAGTTGATCAAGTTCGGCGTACGTCTTTGGGTAGAAATTGGGGACGTCAGACGCTGGTTGGTCGTCCAGTATTGGATAGTGGTGAGCTGGCTCTGAGCCTGACATCGAGTCATGTGAACCTCACTGGGTCACTGCATTTAAATGCGGGCAGTTTGGCGCCGCAGCATGTAGAGGACATCACTGGCTCTAGTACTACGCACCATCTTGTAGACATCACGACTGGCACACTTGTATCTGAAGCTGCCCTCCACAAAAGGACGACGCCGCCGCCTACCCAGAGTTGTGGGAGTCACACCAGCGCAAAACCCTTGATAGAGCAGCCTGGAGGTGGTCTCCCGGATATCAGTGAGGATCCAGTAAAACGTCTAGAGTTTTCTGACCTTCAAGAAGTACAACTGGAAGATAGAGATCAGATTCAGAACGAAAGAGAGGATCATCAGAATAGCCAAGTAGACTTGCCGTCCTTGTTGCCTTCGCACGGTGGTAACAAGACACAGCAGGAGAACAAAGCGAACAAGTTGGGGAATCCAAATCCTTTTCTTGCTGGTAGAAATAGTAGGGAAGGAAATAGTAACGAACGTGGGGAGAGCAGCACTATGTCTTGTGCCGAAACAGCAGGTCTAATCCGCAACGGTTCGAAAGAGCTAAAGTTACGGACTCCCAAAGTGGTTTTTGATCAAAAAGTTGTCCAAGAGAGAAAGACAGTTACTTAGAAGCTAGTCCGCTAGAACTTCTATGTAGTGCGGCCTCTTAGGTAGGTGAGTCCTGCTGAAGATTATTCTGCTTCTGCTAATATGTTCACGTGACGCGCAGGGAAGTAAAGAGGATCCTGTACTAGGTCCGCAGCATAACAGCGCTACTGTGCTGTCACCAGGAGGAGCGACAACAAGTACAGCAACTAGAGGGTACAATAGTACTGTGGCACGACCATCTTCAAAGTCAACATTACAAGTTCTGGCTGTCGCGGATGGTCTCCGTAATCTTGTGAGGGACGCTGACCAACTCCTAACCTGCGAGGATCCGGACGTTGTAGCAGGACTCCTCACTTGCCTCGAAGAAGCTGAGAATTTGAAGAAAAAACTCTATCCTCCGCATCCTGTGTTGCAAGGATTTTTCAATTTGTGTAGGGATCGCGATATTGTTGACAAAGAACAATCATAGATGGAACATTTGCCAGTACATCACCTACTCCACGACGACGACTTACGCAATCAAGAACGACATATAAGTAGCTCGCTGGGTAGTTTGGCATAGATACTACAACCTCTAGTTTGTGCGTGACAGATAAGATTTCCATTCAAAGCCTCGGAATGATCCCTACGTTTCCCTTCTCGGCTTCATGAGGGGGGAAGGTTTTCACTTTTCCACTGCTTGTCTTCAAGACGAAACCCAAAATACAAGTGTAGTTCATAGCCGCCATTTTTATACGACCGGACTTGGAAGAAGAATGAATTAATAACGTCAAAGGAGGACGACGCACGCTCAACGTACTGGAAAAGGTAAAATACGACTGCTCTTCAGCATCGCCACTCATGCATGAGAGGGAGTTGAGAGAGTCCAAAAGGATCAAAACGGATGCAGATTGATAATGATGGGGGAAACAGACTAAGAGTGTAGAGAGAGGCTAAGTTGCAAAAAAGCCGTGATCATCCAGTCGCAGATTTGCGTTAGTTTCGTGGTGTTGGACGAGGTGATGGAAAAGTCAATGCGTCGTGTAAACTATTGAAGTCTGTAGCTTCTTGTAGGTAAAAGATTGAAGTCTTCTATTTTTAATAAGATCATGGCTTCCGACGACACTACGAAATCGGTGGCGAACGGCCGGTTCGCTAAATGGAATCGACGTGGAAATTTATGGCGCATTATTCTTTACACATAATCTATCGACTACGTCATGACGTTGGTAGTAAGTAGTTACCAAGCCTTAGATCTATTGATAACTCTGGCAATAATTAAGTATCCTCCTCCCATAGCAGGACTGTTATGAGTTTTCCCCCTTTCTCTGAGGTGTGCTGCAAATCTAGACTGGCTTCTTCCTTTACATGAGGTTGAGGCTTAGGCCCAGCGGCGCTCAAAGCACTAAATAAAACAACCGGTTAGTTTTTGCCTCTAGCGTTTAGCCCTTCCAGCAATTAATAATTCTTCGTTCCTCTTGACACATAAAAATCTTCTTGACAGCACATAATCCTCATCAACCTCTCTTGCCACCAGGCACATCAATCAGTCGATCAGTCTTATCAGCCTCCTCATCTAACAAACGGAGCAGCCGAAGAAGAGAAGGAGCCGCTTGTGAAGTCTGGCGACCAGATTATAGATCCCTTCGCAGGTAGAGAAAACGAAACAAAATGTTGCTTAAGAATATTAAATAATATAAGTTAGAAGATGTTGAAATGGAATTCGGAGGCTCAAATCCATTAGACCATATGGATAAGGAGGGCACATGACATGACATGACGCCAAGAACTCAACTTTCGTAGATTGGTAAACTGTAGCATTAATTACAACTTCAACTTGGCACAAGAACTTTTAGAACAGTCGTGGTTCTCTCTCTTTCTTATTCTAGATTTTATCTTGATGAGAGAACACAACAACAGGAACAGGTCGAACGATCGAGTACTTCATGTGACAGATGAACAAGATTACTCTTTATTCCTTTCTCTCTTTCTTATTCTGTAGATTTTATGAAAAGGAGAAGGAACACAACAACACGGGAGTCCATCTAGTTAAATAAGATACGAGAGAGCTGCAAGGCCACCACCCTCTCTACCTCTCATTCTACATAAGTGTGAGAGAATACAAATCAGCGATAGTGTGAATGAGCATGGATGGTTTTCTTTCTCGCTCTCTCTAATTCTGAATTTTCTTTTTCTGTGTTCTACAATAGCTGCAAGGAAGAAGACACTCTCTCTGTCTCGTTCTAAACTTTTTTCCTATAGGTAGCCAGTCATATTGACTGACATAGATTATACTTGAAGAAGATATAATACAACATATACCTTGCAAGAATAGCAAGACCTTCTGTCGGTCTCCCTTTCCTATTTCTCACCTCCGATTTTTCGTCTCCCCTTCTTTCTTAGAGCCTATCAACTTAACATTATTACCTGAAGGTTGCGGTGCAGCGACAGCGTCCGATAAGAAGGAGGATGGCCTACGCGGTTGTCGCAGGCTTGTGCCAGTCTTCGCGTGCCTTGCCGTTGGTGTCTTATGTTGTGTATTTTTAGCTTATTTCCACGGGTCACAAAGGAGCCAGGCAGTTACTCGTAGCTGCTACGTGGTTCGAATGAGTGAGTCAATGTTCTTTCCCTGTCTCTTCATTCATCTTCTCCTTTCCTCTTTTTAACTCTGGCACTCTCATCCAAACTTCACTGAAGAGTCCTCTATAACAGTTTCCTAGCGCTACCTACTAATATGCTGTTCCTGTTAGCTTCTTTCGTCTTTTCATAGCGAAGCTGTTAGCTAATCTTGAAGTATTGGAATAGTAAAAATATTAATATTATGTATTTTTATTTTTCTACTAGACTCGGTTATATTCGCTGACCTTACCTAGGTCACCCATCATCCTCGAAGGCGAGCATGTGCCCGTGAGGCTCGCTGAGAAGGATTCACAACCTAACCTAACCTAGACTCGTTAATAACCAAGTCTGATTTATAAGTAATCAAGACTAGAAGATGACTAATGGTATCAATGCGCGCCCTACAACCTTCATCTTTCTCAGATATACCTTAGTCCACCTTCCACCAGGACATTAAACAACGACCTCCTCTCCTCTTTGTTGGACTGACCCCCAGAATGGGGGTATCTATACTACTATCTAATACAACTCCTGCTGCTACTATTTAGTCTCAAAATGGAAGGGTGGTCCTCAATTCTCTAAGCCGGTCTCGTCTTGCCGGTAGTTTAGGATGACTACTTCTTGAGACGTGTAGTCGAAGATGATTAGCCTGTCATAACTGTTTTTTCCTGCCTGCATGAGGCTAGTAGTACTGAATGGGACAGGTCGCAGTCTTCTTTTCTGGCTGTTCAGTAGCCAACGATGTCTGCTAGTTTTCCTAGTGGGCCCACACCTAACCTAACCTGGGACACCGTGAGCATGATGACAACCTTAACCTCAAGCCTATTGTTACTGCTCTAATGCTAATCGGGATCGGTCATTTCCTTTTTTATGGTTGGTCTGGACTCCCGAATCCGAGGACGAGTTTTGGCACTGATGTCAAAGAAAGTTATGGCTTGCGCTACTTGGCGTTCATATTCACTGAAGACTAAAGAAATTAAGAGAGTCTGAAAGTAAGAGAAGGACTAAATGGTTAAAGTTTGGGTTTCCTTTTCTTATTTCTCTCAGCGATTCTTACTATAGAAGGTGCAAGGGAAAAGAACTCGGCTAAGTACTAGTAGCTCTTCTGACTATGTATAGGCGTTAAGTCAACTAAGAACTGCACAAAAACGGCCACTATTGTCGCCTCCTCGTCCTGGAAGTGCTCCGCTTAGCGGCTTTTGCAACTTGCTTCCTCTTGGTTTTTCTGTCTTTTGGTTTCGTTTCATGTGATTCCCCGCGCCCCTCCAGAGTCCACCGCACCAGCCTGCAAATGTATGCTGGGGGATTCTGGAGGGGCGCGGGGATTTGGAGGGCGCCCGAGGTTCTTGGCTCGCAATTGGGTGAGGGTTTTCCAGAAGGGAGCGCAGTAGGCGGCGAGTGTTCTGCGGATTCGTATCATGCCCGAGAAGATTGAATTTTGTCCGGATTTTTGCAGTCCTTAGTTGAATTTTCTCCATTCTAACTCCACTTGTCTGTGGTCGAATTTTTCGCCATAATCGGAAAGGTTTGAGACACTCCGCCCGAGGTTCTTCGTTCTTGGGTCTTTTCATGTTGTTAAGTGTTGGACTTTTGACCACCCGGCGCCCCGAAGCTCTCGCGCCGGGTGGGATTAGTTACAAAGAGAAGCGACGCGCTGCCGCCTTCAAATGGTCAGACCACTCACGCGCGCCGCCGTTTGTGCGCAGATTGTCGGGGGGGTTTGCTGGCGTTGTTCGCACTCTTTTGAAGTATTTCAGCGGGGAAGTTTGCGGGGGTTTCGCCAGAATTGAATAAACCTCTCTATTGTTTGCCGCTTTCCTGCTCGCTAGGCCATTTTTGATGAAAAAAGTGAAAAGATGTCTTCAGATTTTTTTCCAAAAATGGCCTTGCGAGCAGGAAAGCGGCAAACAATAGAGAGGTTTATTCAATTTCGTGGCATTTCTCAAGAAGGGCTGGACCGGTTGCCGCTTGAGTTCCAAAGGGCTCGCGCCTCCTCTTTTTGTTAAGTTTCGATGGTGTGGCGTGCTCGCTGTGCCTCTGGTGCTTCCGCAGATGGCTGATTAGAATGGCGCTAAGTCAACTAAGAACTGCACAAAAACGGTCACTATTGTCGCCTCCTCGTCCTGGAAGTGCTCCGCTTAGCGGCTTTTGCAACTTGCTTCCTCTTGGTTTTTCTGTCTTTTGGTTTCGTTTCATGTGATTCCCCGCGCCCCTCCAGAGTCCACCGCACCAGCCTGCAAATGTATGCTGGGGGATTCTGGAGGGGCGCGGGGATTTGGAGGGCGCCCGAGGTTCTTGGCTCGCAATTGGGTGAGGGTTTTCCAGAAGGGAGCGCAGTAGGCGGCGAGTGTTCTGCGGATTCGTATCATGCCCGAGAAGATTGAATTTTGTCCGGATTTTTGCAGTCCTTAGTTGAATTTTCTCCATTCTAACTCCACTTGTCTGTGGTCGAATTTTTCGCCATAATCGGAAAGGTTTGAGACACTCCGCCCGAGGTTCTTCGTTCTTGGGTCTTTTCATGTTGTTAAGTGTTGGACTTTTGACCACCCGGCGCCCCGAAGCTCTCGCGCCGGGTGGGATTAGTTACAAAGAGAAGCGACGCGCTGCCGCCTTCAAATGGTCAGACCACTCACGCGCGCCGCCGTTTGTGCGCAGATTGTCGGGGGGGTTTGCTGGCGTTGTTCGCACTCTTTTGAAGTATTTCAGCGGGGAAGTTTGCGGGGGTTTCGCCAGAATTGAATAAACCTCTCTATTGTTTGCCGCTTTCCTGCTCGCTAGGCCATTTTTGATGAAAAAAGTGAAAAGATGTCTTCAGATTTTTTTCCAAAAATGGCCTTGCGAGCAGGAAAGCGGCAAACAATAGAGAGGTTTATTCAATTTCGTGGCATTTCTCAAGAAGGGCTGGACCGGTTGCCGCTTGAGTTCCAAAGGGCTCGCGCCTCCTCTTTTTGTTAAGTTTCGATGGTGTGGCGTGCTCGCTGTGCCTCTGGTGCTTCCGCAGATGGCTGATTAGAATGGCGCTAAGTCAACTAAGAACTGCACAAAAACGGTCACTATTGTCGCCTCCTCGTCCTGGAAGTGCTCCGCTTAGCGGCTTTTGCAACTTGCTTCCTCTTGGTTTTTCTGTCTTTTGGTTTCGTTTCATGTGATTCCCCGCGCCCCTCCAGAGTCCACCGCACCAGCCTGCAAATGTATGCTGGGGGATTCTGGAGGGGCGCGGGGATTTGGAGGGCGCCCGAGGTTCTTGGCTCGCAATTGGGTGAGGGTTTTCCAGAAGGGAGCGCAGTAGGCGGCGAGTGTTCTGCGGATTCGTATCATGCCCGAGAAGATTGAATTTTGTCCGGATTTTTGCAGTCCTTAGTTGAATTTTCTCCATTCTAACTCCACTTGTCTGTGGTCGAATTTTTCGCCATAATCGGAAAGGTTTGAGACACTCCGCCCGAGGTTCTTCGTTCTTGGGTCTTTTCATGTTGTTAAGTGTTGGACTTTTGACCACCCGGCGCCCCGAAGCTCTCGCGCCGGGTGGGATTAGTTACAAAGAGAAGCGACGCGCTGCCGCCTTCAAATGGTCAGACCACTCACGCGCGCCGCCGTTTGTGCGCAGATTGTCGGGGGGGTTTGCTGGCGTTGTTCGCACTCTTTTGAAGTATTTCAGCGGGGAAGTTTGCGGGGGTTTCGCCAGAATTGAATAAACCTCTCTATTGTTTGCCGCTTTCCTGCTCGCTAGGCCATTTTTGATGAAAAAAGTGAAAAGATGTCTTCAGATTTTTTTCCAAAAATGGCCTTGCGAGCAGGAAAGCGGCAAACAATAGAGAGGTTTATTCAATTTCGTGGCATTTCTCAAGAAGGGCTGGACCGGTTGCCGCTTGAGTTCCAAAGGGCTCGCGCCTCCTCTTTTTGTTAAGTTTCGATGGTGTGGCGTGCTCGCTGTGCCTCTGGTGCTTCCGCAGATGGCTGATTAGAATGGCGCTAAGTCAACTAAGAACTGCACAAAAACGGTCACTATTGTCGCCTCCTCGTCCTGGAAGTGCTCCGCTTAGCGGCTTTTGCAACTTGCTTCCTCTTGGTTTTTCTGTCTTTTGGTTTCGTTTCATGTGATTCCCCGCGCCCCTCCAGAGTCCACCGCACCAGCCTGCAAATGTATGCTGGGGGATTCTGGAGGGGCGCGGGGATTTGGAGGGCGCCCGAGGTTCTTGGCTCGCAATTGGGTGAGGGTTTTCCAGAAGGGAGCGCAGTAGGCGGCGAGTGTTCTGCGGATTCGTATCATGCCCGAGAAGATTGAATTTTGTCCGGATTTTTGCAGTCCTTAGTTGAATTTTCTCCATTCTAACTCCACTTGTCTGTGGTCGAATTTTTCGCCATAATCGGAAAGGTTTGAGACACTCCGCCCGAGGTTCTTCGTTCTTGGGTCTTTTCATGTTGTTAAGTGTTGGACTTTTGACCACCCGGCGCCCCGAAGCTCTCGCGCCGGGTGGGATTAGTTACAAAGAGAAGCGACGCGCTGCCGCCTTCAAATGGTCAGACCACTCACGCGCGCCGCCGTTTGTGCGCAGATTGTCGGGGGGGTTTGCTGGCGTTGTTCGCACTCTTTTGAAGTATTTCAGCGGGGAAGTTTGCGGGGGTTTCGCCAGAATTGAATAAACCTCTCTATTGTTTGCCGCTTTCCTGCTCGCTAGGCCATTTTTGATGAAAAAAGTGAAAAGATGTCTTCAGATTTTTTTCCAAAAATGGCCTTGCGAGCAGGAAAGCGGCAAACAATAGAGAGGTTTATTCAATTTCGTGGCATTTCTCAAGAAGGGCTGGACCGGTTGCCGCTTGAGTTCCAAAGGGCTCGCGCCTCCTCTTTTTGTTAAGTTTCGATGGTGTGGCGTGCTCGCTGTGCCTCTGGTGCTTCCGCAGATGGCTGATTAGAATGGCGCTAAGTCAACTAAGAACTGCACAAAAACGGTCACTATTGTCGCCTCCTCGTCCTGGAAGTGCTCCGCTTAGCGGCTTTTGCAACTTGCTTCCTCTTGGTTTTTCTGTCTTTTGGTTTCGTTTCATGTGATTCCCCGCGCCCCTCCAGAGTCCACCGCACCAGCCTGCAAATGTATGCTGGGGGATTCTGGAGGGGCGCGGGGATTTGGAGGGCGCCCGAGGTTCTTGGCTCGCAATTGGGTGAGGGTTTTCCAGAAGGGAGCGCAGTAGGCGGCGAGTGTTCTGCGGATTCGTATCATGCCCGAGAAGATTGAATTTTGTCCGGATTTTTGCAGTCCTTAGTTGAATTTTCTCCATTCTAACTCCACTTGTCTGTGGTCGAATTTTTCGCCATAATCGGAAAGGTTTGAGACACTCCGCCCGAGGTTCTTCGTTCTTGGGTCTTTTCATGTTGTTAAGTGTTGGACTTTTGACCACCCGGCGCCCCGAAGCTCTCGCGCCGGGTGGGATTAGTTACAAAGAGAAGCGACGCGCTGCCGCCTTCAAATGGTCAGACCACTCACGCGCGCCGCCGTTTGTGCGCAGATTGTCGGGGGGGTTTGCTGGCGTTGTTCGCACTCTTTTGAAGTATTTCAGCGGGGAAGTTTGCGGGGGTTTCGCCAGAATTGAATAAACCTCTCTATTGTTTGCCGCTTTCCTGCTCGCTAGGCCATTTTTGATGAAAAAAGTGAAAAGATGTCTTCAGATTTTTTTCCAAAAATGGCCTTGCGAGCAGGAAAGCGGCAAACAATAGAGAGGTTTATTCAATTTCGTGGCATTTCTCAAGAAGGGCTGGACCGGTTGCCGCTTGAGTTCCAAAGGGCTCGCGCCTCCTCTTTTTGTTAAGTTTCGATGGTGTGGCGTGCTCGCTGTGCCTCTGGTGCTTCCGCAGATGGCTGATTAGAATGGCGCTAAGTCAACTAAGAACTGCACAAAAACGGTCACTATTGTCGCCTCCTCGTCCTGGAAGTGCTCCGCTTAGCGGCTTTTGCAACTTGCTTCCTCTTGGTTTTTCTGTCTTTTGGTTTCGTTTCATGTGATTCCCCGCGCCCCTCCAGAGTCCACCGCACCAGCCTGCAAATGTATGCTGGGGGATTCTGGAGGGGCGCGGGGATTTGGAGGGCGCCCGAGGTTCTTGGCTCGCAATTGGGTGAGGGTTTTCCAGAAGGGAGCGCAGTAGGCGGCGAGTGTTCTGCGGATTCGTATCATGCCCGAGAAGATTGAACTTTGTCCGGATTTTTGCAGTCCTTAGTTGAATTTTCTCCATAATTTAGAGAAATCTATTAGTTAGTATATTTATGTTGAGACAAAATAAAACAGATAAGCATCGCGTTTGTTGTTGCCAGCGTCATCAGCTAGAGAGCCTCACTCAGCCAGAGAATAGAGGAACATCTTGGCATGGGGGGGGAATCAAATACATTGTTGCATTTAATATTGAACAAAGACTGACAATGACTAGTACGCACCAAGATGCTTACATTTTTTTCAGGAAAGTCGATGGGTTCGTCAGTTTATGGCAATCGTAAGGCTCTTTTCGGGAACAGATGAGTTCTGATCGTGAGTAGCTCTAAACGATGCAGTTGGCTAAAGAAGCCTCGTCCACGTTTAACGAGGATGCATCCAATAGCTTCCAAGAGATGCATGCGGCAACCACAAACGATACAAATAGTACTACAGGGGATGTTCTTATTAATCTTATCTCGTCTCGCGTTGTAACAGTGACTATGTTCTCTCTCATCCTACAGGTAAGACAGTGACTATGGTCTTTAATACCCCTCATGCGCATTTCTCTGCTTGTTGACGCAATTCCTTATATAATTCAAATTCTCTTATTCAAAAAATACATGAATATTCCAAAAGTGAGCAAGGGAGAGACTTGGACAGCCAACTTGTTATACGTTGCCGCGTACAACTTGGCTGTGAACGTACAACTTGGCTGTGCTTGATCGACAACATAACCTATGGTCGTCAATCACAGAAACAGACAAAAGAAGAGCTTCTACGACCACATAGTTTTCATTTTTCAGAAAGGGGAAGTAATAAAATACAGTCAAGGGCGTCTCTCGATATATTACATCATCATTTTGGACCTAGAGGGGCGGCAGTAGCAGCTGCAGGGAGGTCGGTGCCCTGCGGAGGCGATCTGATTGATTGTGTGGCTGGACCTACTCTACCACAAAAAATAGATCGTTGTTAGAAACGAAGTGTAGTACTAGTATGCGGTTCATCTGTGCTAGAGGTTGACTCCAACGTTACCTATCCCAGCGACAATGAATATTACAAAGAAAACGAAGGGGTAGCGCCCCTCTTTTTTCTTTGCAATATTCAACCGATCCTTGATGCTCTAACTACGGACCGTACCACGTAATTAGAGCATCAAGGCTAGATTTAGATTTTTTCATTTACCATTCTTTCAAGGATGACCGATTCTTTTTCTCAAGAAGGATTGATCCGTGACCATGATGACCTTCTTTGAAAAGGGCAAGGACGACATCTGATTCTTTCTTACCTAGTTGGTTTGTTACACTCTGGAATGTCAGACTTCGTTCCTATGGTCATTCAGAATATTTGCATGAGGGACGCACGCGTGACATCTGAAGAGTGCTGTGCTGTGCCCTTTATCAGCTTAGTCACTTTCTATCTTGAAATCTAGATGGGCTAGCAAACGATAACTTCCCGAGGTAGCAGTACAAATAATTTTGAAATAAGTCCTCTTATTCGCAGGGGGAGAAATGATGAGCCGATACGTCGTGAAGATAGCAGTTGCATAAACCAGGTCACGAGGTTACATAACATCGTTAGCTGACATACCCCCGGAATGGGTGCATTCGTTCACTCATTCACCATCACTCATAGTATGAAGATCTTAAGCTAAAGTGTGACACTTTTTGATCCTCGCGCTGATTCCTGTGGCTTCTATCCTAGTGTCTCGCTCACTCAGGTAGTTCTGTCATACCATGGAGACGGAGTTCGTTTCGCGGGACCAGGAAGAGAAATTTGGAGAACGAGCCTGCCTGTCCATATGTTACGAGTCATATATATTGATTCCAATTCGTAGACTGCGGTCGCCACTGAGGCATCAATATCAAATTATCCTCTGGGGTCTGCGTCTGGTCTGTGTATTTTTTATTTTTGCGTTGGTCCCTCTGAAGATTCGTTCCTTGATCTTTGTCACTAATTCGGACTGCCACTGCCTTTACCGGATTTATGCAGGGTGCTTGATAAAGTTTAGTAATGGGCGGGCTTTGCTTTTTGATTGTTATACCAATGTAGTAGAAGTTGACAAGATTACACTAGTTTGCTCTTGGTGTTGGTATCCAAAGGGTCAGGCTCGCTAGGATCTACATCCATTGTTGTTTGTTCTTAAGTAGGGCCTTTCGTTCCCAAGGAGGTATCGTTCGTAGATAACCGAGAACTAATCGCCGTCTTTCTTAAAGTGTTCTAGTACTCCAAGAGGGCCTCACGCCATGGGCAAGGGGCTTAGTAGTTTGTCATCGTCCTACTTATAGATCGACAATCTCTGTCCCGATGTCGTCCTCGTACAAAGGAAACCTCTCAACCACTAAGTATCCTTTTTTGCGTGTTGGTGTTACTTAGCTATTCTGAAGAGACCAGATGTCCTCTGCAGACATGAGGACCGTGAGGAAGATCGATATCCTCAAAAAAGTGGGATTCTGGATGATCATACAGGGCGCGATGTGCGGGATCCGTATGAGCCTGACCTTATTCCCCTAATACTACTTATCCAAAAGCGGAGGACTTACTAGAAGTCATCTAACTTCATCTAACTTCAACCGGAGCGCTGAGCTGGAGCAGTGCCGCACGGAGCTGAACAAATCGAGCACAAGTTTGGCACAGACTACGCATCAGCTGAAGGATTACGGCTCCTTTCCCCAATTCACCTTTTCTATTGAAAGCATCTTCCCGAATTCATCTTTGGCGAGGTTTCCAATGAATGACTGACGCATATTCGCCGGGGGATACAGGTTCGCTTATACAGGATCGCTTACCCTGTGAAAGTTAGGCCTATTTCTATCCTATCTCAAAGCATTTTATTTCGTAAAAGATTTGTGAAAACCAACACTTTAAACTAGTGAGTGTTAGAATCCGCATCAGCGTGGATGAGAACAATAATCAATGATAATAATTCAGATGAGTACCTCAAAGATGCGCATATGAATAACCAAGGTGCGAATATGAGTAACACATACACAGGCCTCATGTTCTCAAGTGCAACGGGAGGAAGAATGACGCATGAAGATCTCCCAACTAGAATAGCACCTCTACCCCGTGACTGGGTACACCACTACTACTGCAACTACTACTACGAGTGAGGCCCTCTAAGGAAAGTGCGAAGCAACTCTGAATGCGACGAAGCTACAGGGTAGAATGGGCTTGATGAACACGACGCCGCGACTTGGTGCGCGACATAATCAGGAGTCCGGTTGGAACGCGACCGCGCGAATTTTATTGCCACGGATATGTAAATAAATTCACACTTTGCTAGGCACATGTATGCGAACCAGACAACTAGCAGTGTTCATATTGAGCCCATACATGCCTCAGTTTGTAATTGAGGAAGCGACTCCTGATGATAAATGTTGTCAATTTTTTTGAAATGTCAGATTCATCCCGTGGTCGCGTGGCCTGTGGCCCTAAGTGGATAGAGGTAGCTCCTACTGCTCCCCCTATGTTGTATCATCTAAGTAGGCACTTCTAAAGGTGCTGGAGATTGACGTGATCAGCTTACTACAAGTAGAGATCATGATGACCCAAGCACCACTTCTACGATAGGGAAACTATACCGCAGAGTAGCTCCACGTAACAGTACGTAGTTGCCCCTTCATGTTGTCCCTTCCCCTCCCTTGAACTATCTGACGCTAGACTTATTGCTAGTGAGGAGACCACTTTCTTAATCTCACACGAAAACAAATAGGCTATTTCTACTAAGCCACTTACTTGTCCTTATTTTACTGCGTTTTCTTATCAGACCTGAAGCTAATGTACAAGATGACCATGATATACTTTTAGTGATTGTCGTGGTAAATCGTGCAGCTTCATGCCTCTCATACCAGGAAGGGTGAGGGCCTATACTTCTACGGAGATCCTCTGTCTTCACTTTCAAGAACATAATGATGGCAAAGTTGACAGTGAAAGAGGATTTCAATAGAGTATCTTAACCCGCCTCAAGGATGCTATTCCTAAGCAGCCACTATGTGATGGCCACTTAACTCTCTTACCTCAAGGAAGTGTAGTGCCATACTCTTGCTTTTCCTGCTGAATGTGTCCGAAGCCTGCTCCATCCCATTTCTGTAGTTGCAGTAGTTCAACAGTTCAGCCCGGGAAGATGGGATAGAAAAGCTTCAGAAGGGCGGGGATGTGTCAGGATTGACGCTTCAGCCCAGTCCTGCTTCGCGCGGGTGTGCCGCGTGCCGGTCGGTGCCGTCAAGCCAGTCTGCCTTGCGCAGCGAGTAGAGCTCGCGCTGCGTGGGTGGGTAAGCCGAGTGTGCTCAGTGCGGGCGAGTGTCTCCGCGTGGGTGTGTTGCGCGATTGCGCGGGCGCAAGGCTAGGCGCGCAACCGAGTCGAGCCCGAGCTGCGAGGCTGAATCTCCGCCGCGCGGATATTTCTGCACTGCGCGAGCCAGTGAGCAGCCCATCCCCGCGTGTGTGTTGTGCTAGCGAGTCTGCGCCGCGTGGGCGAGTCTGCGCTGCGTGAGTGCGGCCGCGTTGCGTGCGTGAGTTTGCGCAGCGCGAGCGATGCCGCCCCGCGCGAGTGGGTCTGTCTGGGTCGAGAAGCTTGCGCGGCGCGGGTGAGTCTGCGCTCCGTTGGCTGGTTCACGTTGTACGCCGTGAGCGAGTGGCGCTGTGTAGTGTCGCGTGAGTATATCTGCGCCACGCGTGTGGGTTTGTGACTTGTTAAGACGCGTGGGGAAGTCTTCGCTTCTATTGCCCTGCGTGAGTGAGAGCGCCTGCGCCGTGCGAACAGCGAGTAGCGCCGGTCGAGCTTGTGTTGCGCGAGGGCGTCTGTGTTGTGCGACCGGGGGGGAGCGAGTCTGCCTTGTGTGGCCGGGTGAGTCAGTGGGGGGGTCCATCGCACCTGCGTTGCGCGAGCGTGTCTGTCGGTCTGCTCTGCGTAGTCCAGTCTCTCTGTGCTGCGTATGCCTGGCCAGTCTGCTCGCCGCGCTCGCTGGGGATTGCGGCTCTGCGTTGTGCTGCGCCCGCCATCTATCTCAGGCGGGGAGAGTCGAGTACATAGATATGATAGATACCGCCGTTGTCGACAGATGGTTCTCCCGCTTGAGGTTGAGATGGCTTATCGCTTAACCAAGTCTGGCTGGAGCTCTTGCTGAAGTCGCCATCGCTCAGCCATGAACGCCTAATAATTTAGAGCTGGCTTACCCACGCGTCGTTCCCGGGTCAATTATAGAATGTGTGCCCTCACTCTAACATTGGATCGGGGCGCGCCCTCTGTTGATGAACTGATGGACCGGCTTGAGGAGGCGGGCTTCGACAAATTCGTGCAGAAGCTAAGGCTAGCGCACAAGCACTTCCCTGCGACACCATGTGCGACCCTTGGCTCTCTCTACCTCTTTCTCTACATCTTCAGAACGAAGGAGCGCACAAGGGTCATGGTATCGAGGAAGGCGCGACCGTGGTAGCGCTAATTTTGGCTGTGGCGGAGACGGTGGGGCTCGTGGGTCTAAGCGGCTTGGAGTCTGTCGTCTCAACATTGATGAACGCAACCTTGCTTGCGTCAGCTGCTCTGGTGAACACGACCGTAATCGCGTCCGAAGCTGGTGGGCCGAGTTCCTTATGGGCTATCGACAACCGTGCGAGTTCTTTCAATATTTGATAGGGGCTATCGCTCGTTCTAGTATGATTGATGGTAGTCGTTTTGCTATACTGATCCGGACGATTCCTCTGGCGTATCATTCATCAGGGACAGACAAGACTCTACTTAGAATGAGATGGTTGGATGCAACTGGGATCATTTCGTGAGCCTCTGAGCACCATTCACTCTAAACGGAGGAAAGCCCATTTGTGTTCCCCTTTGTCAGTTTCAAGAAAGAAGAAAATGCTAACCGGGTGACATGCCATCGTCTTACTCCTGTCGCCCATTGAGTCGCCCTGTTAATGATAGATATTTATTTGCTTCATTTGTTATCGATGTTGTCCGTACTTGTTACGACGTTCTTTGTGCCTCAGTTTCTGAGGAAGGATCTCCAGGTGCCACAAGGGCCTTGTCCAACTAGAGGCCCTTGCTCCGCTACAAGGTTGCGCGGTAGCTCTAATGAACGCGGCCGCGTCAAGCTTTCAGCAGATGGACGCGCTATTACGAGTAGTGTCTAGGTGTGCAATTCGTGTCCATCAGTGGCAGCGCAGTCGCAATATATTTATAAATACGTGCTTGGACGAAGATAACTCGCAGCATTCCGAATCTTTCCAGGGCTACTTTATTGTCTAGAAAATAGCTACGCTCACCTTCGTTCTTCCAAGTGAAAAAACGCAGCGACAGTAATACGAATACACGAAGACAGTTTTTGAGCCGGTCACATTTTTCTTTTTGCTTTAGTTGGCTGCTCAATTGACTGCGAACTTGCTATGGCTGTGGTAGTAGTCGTCGTCTAGTGAGCCGGGGCCCTTCCCCTTGCAGTGCTACCACAGTCCTTACCGTAGTACACTGCGAGCGCCTTTCTCGTTGTCCTTTCACTAGAGAAGGGCCACGGGGGCTGAAGCAGTCTCGAGCATGCGCGTATTAGTATGAAAGGGCCCTGGTATGTAACTGGCTCAGACCTCTCCTACCCAGTCACCACCTGCACCTTTAGGGCCTCTCTTGTTTTGCTATCTCAAGCTACCGCCTTGGGGGCTGAATCTTTGAAGGAAACACAAGAAAAATGGCCACACGATTTACGGGGCGAAGCTTCTTCGCTGAAGTTGCAAGGAAGCTACTCACTTTATCAACATGAGAAGACAGGCCTCGAAGGTTCTAAGACAGCTACAAGACTGCTCCAGCTTGGTGGCCTCTCCAGTGACTGAAGCAGAAACGAAGAGCGCCGAACCCCCTGCACAGATACAGGACGCCTTTTGTCTTCTAAAGAAGAGTCGCTCCTTAAATTCTAAGGCGCTCGAGCTTGCTTGAGTTGGGTGACGCGTTCGGGCCAATTTACTGACACGGCTGGCCGGAGCCCGGCCAGCTTGAGGCAGGAACCACCCTAGTCCGGGTGGGCCCGCCCAGCTCGTCGCACCACCACCCACTCAAACCCGCTGGAGACTATCCGCCCCAACTCGCGCTGGCCTCTCACTTTGCTGCGTGTGTTATGCAGAGTGATTTGGTGGAAAGGCGAAGAAGTGTGGTCTTAGATCAGAGCTGCCATGGTGGGTCAGCTTTAGCCCTTGGGCAGCTGTGCTGAGGCGCTTGACTCGGCTATGCTGAGAAAATTACGCGGCGCTTCACAATGGGGGGCCACTGCTATCGCCACTGGGCTGGCCAGCGTTTCCCCACCTCCAGTGGTCAGCCGCACGCAGTGGCCTTCAGAAGGGCGCTCTCGTTTGGGTTCGTTTTTGTTTGATGGCGACCGGTCGCCCAGAATAGTGGCTCCTCTTGAGGGGTCTCTTGTCTCGATGCTGAGTGGCCTCGCAGCACTCTGTTGCGCGGCCGGCCAGCACTGTGCTGCGTGCTTTTTTTTGCAAGTCGGCGACCCGTAGGCGTGCTGGGCGACCTTATTCGCGGGCAATTCTCTTTTGTCACATGGAGCCCAAAAAGTGTCGCCGGCTTCCGGTTTTGGCAAAAAGTTTTCCGCCTGTGATTGAGTATAAGCCTTGTAGCCGATTTCTGCGAGGCTGCTCTTTCGGTGTGTTTTCAGGATGGAGCGCACGCACCCACTTTGTTTCCCTGTGTTGCGCTCGCCATTCTACTCTCACTCACGTTGGCACACATAGCGGAAAACGAGCGCTAACCCACGGCTGGGCCTGCCCCGGTCTCGGCTTGCTAAAGCCAGGCCCATCGACCCACCCCAAGCAATGAACTGCCACCCATGCTTGGGAACCGACCTCGACCCATTTCAACCAAGGCCAGTTTAGTTATCTCTATGCACCTCCATGCTGCCCATGCAGTACTACCCACCTGTGCCGGCCATGGGCTTAAAATAGAATATCCCACGACCCAGTCGACCACCGGCTCCCACCCACTTCGGGCCCCCGCGTCCACCGCAACGGACCCACCGCGGCCAGCCTACTGCAATCAACCCGCCGCAAGCTGCAACCGACCCACCCACCCACCGCAACCAACCCACGTGGCCTCGTCTCACACGCCTCAACGTATCTCAACCAACACACGGCGGCCCTGACTGACCCCCGACCCACCTCGGCACGACACACACTTCTGACCACCCACCTGGACCCACCCCCGGCACGCCTCGGCCCATAACCTCGCTCAGCGAACCCACCGCAGCCAAGGCGCCCACCCCATGCAACGAGCCTCAGCGCTTGATTGAAGCTTGCTCGAAGCCTTCTGGGCCCCCCATGCCTGCCTGATTCTTATTACTTGGCATGAAGATAGCCAAAGCCAGCCCCACGCTACGGCGCCTCCCCAGGCTAGGCTAGGCACAGCGGCAGCAAATTGTTACCTGCGCTTTTGAATGCGCCGCCGCCGCATGCTTTCGCTGGTCAGTTTCTTTTCCTCGGAGGGATGACCCGCGTGAGCTGGTTTGTCTGTGATCGAGGAGCGCAATAAAGTTAAAGGGCGGCCAAGGAGGTGAGCTGCCTTTGCTTGATCGCTCTTTCTTGATCATGCATCTTCTGGCCCCTTGTCATGTTTGTCGAAAAAGCTTGCAGCCAGAAGACGTGCCTCCTCGCCCCAAGAATGCGGCGCCGCCATTGGGGCACGCGTTGATGTTCATTGAATTCTTGGGCAGTACTCTTGCAGAGCCGAGGGGACGCGGCATCCGCGTGGGCCATCAGGATTCGGGAATTATTCAAGTGACTAGCTCTAACAGTAGGCGTAGGCCCCGGCCAACTCGTAAACCAAAGTCCAAGCGCTCGGGAAGCGCAAGCGGGAGGCTTGTTGAGTATCTATTGTTTCATTAGTGGGATCCCCTTTTCCTCTTTTTTCTCGCTCCTGATCTGATGATCAAGCCATCTTTAACTCTTCTCATAGTAGTTCGTTATTGTGATAAGCAACTACCACAGATCCTAGATTTGTTTGCTCGTGCCTTGATTAGTGGGCTTCTGCGTGTACTAGCGATGCCAGTTTGGATCTTCGGGTTTGCAGTATTCATAATGGCTGGATGCCTATCTGGGCCCCCGTTCTGTGGTTTTCAGGCTGGAGCAAGGAGGGCCGACGCAAACTAAAACTTGGCACGCTTTCTCCACAAGTTGTGCTTCTGCACTACTCCCCAGTGCCAGGTGAAGGCCCCCTGGGCGACGTCGCAGAAAGTGTTTTTTTTGCGCAGAGGAGGTTTCTCATATCCTAGTGTCGCGCCAGTTGGGCCTTATTGTTCCGCGCTCGTTCTCCGGCTTGCTTTCGTGTTCTCCGTTGTGTATTCGTCGCTTTATGTTTGTTTTTGAGGGGGGTCAAAAAAAATGAACACGAGGAGAAAAATTCCAAAAACAAGAATTTTGGACGAAGGGGCAAAAAGTAGATTTTTGAACGTGCAGGCGCGGGGCAGCTTGCGTCTTGCAAGTCGTGCCGCACGAACTAAGTTGCGGAAGCGCGCCGCCAGGTGAGTCAGTCTAGTCTGCCGCTGCGGGAGCGAGTCGTCTGCGCTGCGCGAGCGAGTCGTCTACTGCGCTGCGTGCGCGCTGCGCGGGCTGGTGCGCTGCGCGAGCGAGCGAGTCTGAGCCTGCTGCGCGAGCGAGTCTGCACTGCGCGGACTGGTCTGCGCTGCCCGAGCGAGTCCGCGCCGCGCGAGCGGGGGCGAGTCTCTCTGCGCCGCGCGAGTGAGTCGGCGTCGCGTGCTCGAACGCGTCTGCGCTGCGTGCTCGAGTGTGTCTGCGCTGCGCGAGCGTGTCGGCGCTGCGTGGGTGAGCCTGTGCCGCGCGCATGAGTCTGGCCTACGTGGTGTGCGTGGTGTGGGCGAGGGAGTGGGCCAGGCTTGCGCGGCGTGGGGGAGTGAGTCTGCGCTGCGTGAGGGAGCGAGGCAGCGCTGCGCGAGTGAGTCTGTGTTGGCTGCTCGAGCAAGTCAGCGCCGCGCGCGTGGTTCTGCGCTGCGCGAGCAGGTCTGTCGGCGTTGCGCGAGCAGGTCAGGCGAGTCTGCGCTGCAGGAGTGCGGCTGCGTTGCGCGGGTGGGTTTGCGCTGCGCGTGTGAGTCTTGTCTCGTCTGGGATGCGCGGCTGGGTGGAGGAATTGCTCGGCGCGACCGAGCGGGGCTGTGCTGCGCGGACGGAATTTCGCGAGGCAGGTGAGACTGTGCTGCGCGGGTGTGGTGAGGCTGCGTTGTTTGCGTGAGCACAACTGCGCGGGTGGGCGAGGCCGTGCTGCGCGATCGGGGCCGCGTTGTGTTAGCGGGGCTTCGTTGTGCAGGCGGGACTCTGCGGCAAGCCGCGCTCGCTGCGCTGCTTGCCGCGTGACTTGCTGCGCGAGCGAGCGAGCTTGCGACTGCTGCGTGGGTGAGTCTGTATTGCGTGGACTTGTCTGCGCTGCGCGGACTGGTCTGCGCTGCGCGAGCTGGGCTGCGCTGCGCGAGCCGGTCTGCGCGGCGCGAGCAAGTCCGCGCTGCGCGAGTGGGCCTGCGCTGCGCTGCGCGGGTGAGTCTGCGCTGCCCGAGCGAGAACGAGTCTGCGCCGCGCGAGTGTGTCTGCGCTGCGCGAGCGTGTCGGCGCTGCGTGGGCGAGCTTGCGCCGCGTGCATGAGGTGAGCCTGGACGGCGTGGCGTGCGCGGGGGAGTGGGTCAGGCTTGCGCGGCGTGGGGGAGTGAGTCTGCGCTGCGTGGGGGAGCGAGTCAGCCCAGCGCTGCGCGACTGATTCTGCGTTGGCTGCTCGAGCAAGTCAGCGCCGCGCGCGTGGATCTGCGCTGCGCGAGCAGGTCTGTCGGCGTTGCGCGAGCAGGTCAGGCCGGCGCTGCGCGAGCGATTTTGCGCTGCGTGAGGGAGTGAGCCTGCGCTGCGCGGGGGGGCGAGTCTGCGATGCAGGAGTGACGCTCGCTGCGTTGCGCGGGTGGGTCTGCGCTGCGGGTGCGGGTGGGTTTGCGCTGCGCGTGTGAGTCTTGTCTTGTCTTGTCTGGGATGCGCGGCTTGGTGGAGGAATTGCTCGGCGCGACCGAGCGGGACTACGCTGCGCGGGCGGAATGTCGCGAGGCAGGTGAGACTGTACTGCGCGGGTGTGGTGAGGCTGCGTTGTTTGCGGGAGCAAAACTGCGCGGATGAGCGAGGCCGTGCTGCGCGACCGGAGCCGCGTTGTGCTAGCGGGCCTGCGTTGTGCAGGCGGGACTTTGCGACAAGCCGCGCTCGCTGCGCTGGTGGGGCTGCTGCACTGCGCCAGCGGGGCTGTGTTGTGGGGGCGGGGCTGTGTGTGAGGGTGGCTGAGCTCTGTGAGCGGAGCTGAGCTCAGCTCGCACTGCGCGACGTGAGCGGAGCGCGGCTGCTGTCATCAAAAAGCAAAAAATATATTTTCCAAGAATCTGACTTTTGGGGTCAAAAAGCAAATTTTTGAGCTTTTTCTCGATGTTTTCGGAAAAAGTCTGTAGGTTTTTCTTTTGTTGATTCGACAAGTGTGGCACTGAATAGGGGCCGTGCTCGGTAGTATCTAAATTGTTCGCTTTGTCCTTTGTTTCTTGTGCTTCGGCGATCAGTAGACAGTACAGACGAGAGATGGTCGCATCTCGCGGGAGGGTTCGCTAGCTCGGTTTGTTTGTTTTGTGGTCGACCAAAAAAGAGCAAAAGGAGAGGCAGGCGATCTGCTTCTTTGTTTCATTGCTGATGAGAAGAAAATGGGAGAACGCCAAAACGATTCTATCGCCTCGCGTGCCACTTGATGGAGAGCGTGGGTTTAGGCGTGTGAGTCTTCTTGTCATCTTTCCCGGCTCAAGGCCGCAAAAGAGTGAAAGTGTTAGCAGTGCAACCTGATGGGACTTGAGTTCCATGAGAGATCCCTCGTTCCTCTTCAGTGCTGAGAATGAGCAGCGCGATCAAATGCTTCTTGTGAAGCATCGGATGGCCCTTGGTCAGAGTGTGTTTTCCATGATAGAAGGGCCTCTTAGTCGGTTTTGGTCTAGTGGCGCGAGCCCGGCCTCAATTGATTCGCACCACTATCAACACTGTCAAGCATTTGCTTTTTGCTCTTTCTTTCGTGTCGCCTAGGTTCTTGCAGGATTTCCCACACATCCAGGCCCAAAAGCCAAAAAATAATCTTACATACTTCCGCTCCAAAATCAAACTTTTGGTGCGTTCTCTGTCCGGATGTCCCTAACAATTCGCTTCCCGCAGTTCCTCCGGGGTTGTTCCCCTGGTTTTGCTCTAGTTTTTTCATCTTGCAGCTGCTGCCACCTTGCTGCTTTCTTATGTCGTTTCTACTACTTCCAAGCCACGTCGGAGCCCATTGCCTTGGCCTGGGTCATGATGGGGCAGAGAGTCTGCACCCCCGACGGGTCTAGGGCAGTTCGCTGTTTTAAGCGCCCCGAAATTCTTCGGCGTGGCTATTAATTTAGAGGCGCTTGCCAGGGAGTTTGCGTTTGTGAATGGCCGGGTGGCGCGTGGGGTGATGGCCAATTGCTCGGGGCTTTCTGCTGGGCTGAAGGCAGTGGGGGAGGCTTGGTAACAAGGACTGGCAACTGAATGGGGCCTGTCTGAACATTCCCGGGGGCCTTTTCATGTCGGTGGCGCTGCGCTTTAACTGAGGGCGCCTGGGCCAGCAGTGGACGGGCGTTGGCGGGTGGCGCTCCAAGCTCTCCAGGCTTTTTCTGAACGCCATCCAACGCGAGCGCGGGAGACATCGGCCCAGGGGTGACGCTTCGGGGAAGCTCCCTCGGCCTTGGCCCAGCGCGGGGCCCTTGCGTGGTGTTTAGGGAGCAAGCATATAGAGTGCTGCCGGGTTTTGGCTGATTACCTTGAAGAGGGAGAGCGCCAGCAAAGAGAGGAGAGGGGGCGGGCACTTGACTCAGCGGAGGAGCTTGCTGGGGGTGAGAGTGGGAAGGAGCGGCAGGGGAGGGGACACGAAGAGGAAGAAGCCGAAAGGGCTGAAGAACTGGGGGAAATACATAGAAAGAAGCGAAAGAGCGAGAGGGGGCGGGGTGCCACTTGTTAGCTGATGGAGAATGAAACAGGAAAGGGGAGGAAGGCAACAAAGGACGGGGCAAAAAGAGGAGAAGCCCTCGTGGGGAGAGGGGAAGGGGAAAGGCGAGGGGGAGACAGCGAAGAGGAAAACAAGCGAGAAAAAAAGAAGAAACTCCGAGCGGAGTCGGGTGGAGTGTGGCCCAGAGGGGATGGGCCGCTTTGTAAAAGCTTGGAAAAGTTACTCGAGCCAGGGCAAAAGCTTTGCAGGAGTCAGCTGGGGAAGAGTTGGGTCGAGCTTGGTAGAAGCTGGACAAAGCTGGGCAAAATTGGTTAGAAAGTGCCGGGCAGACGCGCCCCCGGCTAGAGTTGGGGCCAGGTTTTGGCAAAAAAGGCTGGCCTTCTGGGATCGCGGGCTGCTTGTCTTGAACTTTTTCCCTCCGCTTAGCTTCGGCGCCTTTATTTGCCCGCCCTCGTGTCGTGCTGGTCGCCGGGGCGTTTGTGAGTGACTGAGCGCGGCCAAGGGTCTGCGGCTTTGGTCTTAAACCTTCTAGCGAGTGCCTGACGACAGGTCTCGGCCTTGGATTAGAGTAAAAAAAAGCCTGGTCGCTTTTTTGGTCGTTTTTTTCCTACTCTGCTGCGGTGCTTTTTGCTCGACCCGGGGCTCGAAGCGTAGTGGCTTGTGTCTATCGGGGGGAGCGTTGGTGGGAGTGCTTAGGGCTACCGACGAAGGCCGGCGGTTTTCGGGTGTCTGTGGTGCTCTGGTCTTCTAGGCGCCCGCGTGTTGCTTTTCAATGGGTTGGGCGTGCTTGTGTCTGCTTTCTGTGGTTATTTTGCTGCTTTCCCCTGATCTGCGGACGCGGTCGACGGAGGGGCCAGGGGTGTCTTTTGGCGTTGTTGTTTCTTCGTGCGGTGCCCACACTAACTGGCGACCAACGTGGTGTGGCGATTGTTGCGGCCTCAGTCTAGCGTGGAAGTGCTTGGCCTCCAATTCGAAGAGGCGTGGAGCGATGTAGGAGCCGCGTTCGATCGTTGTGCGGGTGTGCGCTGACCAGGGCGCGGCCTGGTGAGAAAAGTGCCTAAAAAGTCCCAGCAACATGCCAGCAAAGTGGCGCCAAATTTTGCCACTTTTCCCGCCGTGGTTTTTTTTGTGGTGGTGGTTGGTGTGGTCTTCGGGTTGTTCTTGCAGATTGCTCGGGGCTTGTGGTGGGCCGGGTGTGGTTGTCACCGTTTCGCATGTGGGTGGGGCGTGTTCGCCTCGGGAATTGCCCCCGCCTGAGTGGGGTGGCAGCAGCTCTAGCGCATAGGCCCCCGGCCGTTCGTCGTTTCGTCACTTAGTAGCTCGGCACCGGTGACACGCCCCAAGCGGCGCGGGAGCAGACGCACCCATGTCGGGGGGCTTCTTTTGCGGGTTTCTCTGGGTGTTCAATCCGCAGAAGTGAAGCCCTGGCGCCACAGGCCCTCCCTTGTGGTCGATGTGTCATTTTGTGGCGCCGGTTCTTGGCTTCGTTGGGGTGTTCGTGGGGTGGTCTGTAGACGACCCGTAGGCGCCTCCGCCGACTGCAAAAATAACCCCAGAAAAGGCCCCCGCTACAGGCCTGAAACGGGCCCGCAAAGTTTCAGAAACGGCCCGCAAAAATCCCGGAAAAGTGCCCCGCAAGCTCGGTGCAGGGCCTTTTTCTTCAGAGGTTTGGGCTCGTTTCTGTTTCTTTGCGGGCCGTTTCTGGCCCCTCTTTTCGCGCGTTTCTGCGCGTTTCTGATTTTTTGCGCGCCCTTTGTTTTGGCTGTTTCTGAGGGTGTTGCAGGTCGGGCCGGTTTTTTTGCTGGCACTTTGCAGGGACTTTTCTGGCATTTTGCTGGGGCTTTTCTGTGGTCTCTTGTGGCCCCCGTGAGGTGTTGCGGCTCATTGGGTCGAGGTATTGATTGACGAGACGGGCGCACGCAGATGGGCCACCGAGGTCTTGCGCATGGGGTCCACCCGCTGGGGTTCGGGGGTGTTGCGCCCCCGATGGTGCCTGGGGTTGTTGGTGGGTTTTTTGTGCTGGGCTCTTGCCGTGTTTTTTGCTCGTTTTTCATCCGGATGGCTTGAAGCCGGAGGCAGGTCTGTCCTGCCTCTGTTTTTCGGCTATTTGCAGGGCATTTCTGCACGGGGAGGGATTTTGGGGGGGTCGTTTGCTCGCCGTGTCGGCGCAGAGTCTGCCTTATCTTTGCGAGGTTACCGGCTCCCTCTAGTTTGTTGGTGGGTTCGTCTTTTGGGGCGCGCCTCGAGGAGCCCGCCCCCGTCTGCCCTCAGTCTTGGCAGCGTGTGTGGGGACGTATTCGTGGGGTTTTGCTGCTTAGGGAAAGGGTAGGCTGTGGCTGCTTGTTGAGGCTTCGGGCGGGGCGTTCAGTCTCTCGCCGTTCGTCTGAGGGTTCTATTTGGGTTGGGGGTTGTGGTCTATTTGGGGGTGAAGGGCTGCTTCTTCGGGGTCTATTTTGGTTCTATTTGGGACATTTTTTGTTTTTTTTTTTCGGTTTTCCAGTCCCGTTTTGGACTTGGAAAAAAGTCTACTTAAAAGGCTATTTGGGGTCTATTTGGTTTCTTAGGCTATATTAAACAAAATCGGCCGAGTTGTAAAATTCGGCCGTGGCTTGGCCGCTGACCAGATAGATTCCCAGAGAGCGACCTGAAAGTGAGAAACTTCGAAAGCTTTTCGAAATGGGATAGACCATCTGCAGGTCTCGGGGATGGTGGTCGGGCGGTCGCTCGTCTGACGGTTTGATCTGGCAAATACATAGCCGGACGTCTCACGTCTGGGCATCCGGTGGCGCAGTTGTGTTGGGTCTCGGCTTTTGTGAGGTTCGGCGCTCAGCGTGGGTGGTTTGCTGAGCAGTCTCGGCTCGAGGACCTCCAAACGCTCTCGCGGGCGTTGTGGTGGTTGTTCCGGGCATGCTTGTCGCCCCTTCGGGTCTATTCGTAAAGGGTTGTGGCATGGGAGCCCCTCGCGTGTTCATCAGGGGGCGCCGGTGGTTGCCGTGTGTCTGCCCTCGGTGTTGTCTCTGGTTAGAGCAGGTGGAGCGAAGCGCCCACCAAATGGCCCCGCTATTGGCCGAAAAATAGTTGGCAACTAGTCAGCTGGGGTGCTTCCTTCGGTGGATCCGGATGGCGTTTTTTCTTGGTGGTGTTGTGGGGCGCTCGGGTTGTCGTTCTTTCTTCTTTTTTGTTCACGGAGCAACGCATCGCCGCGGTATTGTTAGTCTTTTCCCCGTGGTGGTTTGAGCTTTCTTTTTGTTTCAGTGTTCGCGGGTGCCGTTGTGTCGGGTCGTTTTCTGTCGCTGAGTCTTCTCCGGGGGTTTTTGCAAGAATTTTGCTCTTTTGGGCTTCATTGGGTGGCGCCCTAGTCAATGTGCGTAGTGTCTGGGCCGGTGGCTCTTCTATCTAAAGCAGTGACGTCGAAAAACCGGCCTAGAGTTAATATTTCTGGCCATTTTTTATTTTTTTGGAAAGGCCCATCCTCTTGCACTCACGGCAGGAGGCCTGAGAGTTGATCGCGGCGACGTGTGTGTCTCGGTGTTGGACGAAAAGGCGAAACGCACATTCGTGGATGGGCTTTATGATTATGTTGCTTTACATCCTCTTTGAGGTCGTTCCAGTCCGTCCCTCTTATTCCCGGTGTGTAGTGCAGGTCAAGTCAACACTCATTGCAAGTATATGCCAATAACGTTCATTCATCTTGTTGTTGTTCACATACACGGGGAGGTAGGGAAGCACTGGCGGCATTTCGCGCCAGCATTGGGACGGAAAGGCTGCGCAACTTTATAACTTTTTACAACTTGCCCTAAGCGTGCGAAGGGTGGCTCTGCTCATGACGGACTACAAGCGTGACCGCGCCACGCCGGAAGACCAGTTGATTCACCAATATTCGCAACGGCACCGAGCTTTCGAGATTATGGGAGATCTTTTTAACGAATCAAAGTGGCGCCGCGCCTTGGATGTTGCTGCCAGGGAAGGTGGCCTGGCATTGACGATCGATCGACCTGATGGCCCCGTGAGGTACGACGCCAAAGACTTATCGCCAGATGGCGCTAAAAGCCCCAACCTCCTGGAGATTATGGCAGGTGTTCGATACTTTGCCGTTAACCCTTGAGCCAAGGCTATGCGCGCTTTGTCTCGGGGGCTATTCCGGTTTTCGCGAAATCGAAATATGAATCTTAACGATCGCTTGCCATAGAGGCGTAGACCTCTTGCGCCCCTAAGGCTTACGCGGTAGTCTCAAGCAATGTAACTGGAGCAGCGGTAGAGATATGGATAGCTCCATTACCATGGAGCCGGGGTAGGTGACTCAGCTGAAGCAGCCGTGGCAACTCGGTTGCTTCAGGTTCTCAACTATTTGACAATCGCTCCGCCCGATCTTGCTCTCCGTCTCTGCGAGTTTCTCTCTTTCATGTGTGTCCAGCCTATATGCACGAGCCGCCTGGTCAGTTCGCGGTCGCTGTTTTGCAATGTGATTTTAGCGTACATGAATGACAGAAGGTGGGAGCAGGACCTCAGTTGCGTGGTTGCTGACGACCAGATCCCGTGTTTTGTGCGAGCCTGGCGCTGCGACGGCGGTGACTGCGTGACAAAATTCAAGGAAGCTCTCTCAACATTATGGGAACAATCAAAGCGGCCGGCCATTTCACCTCCAGCCTCTCTCTGGCAGTTTTCGATCCACCGGGCGTGAAAGTCAAGGCGAAAAAATGTCTCGCGACTGCGTAGTAGATACTTGCTTCATCAGTTTCGTTGTGTTTCTAGCCTACTTAGAACGGCGCGTGCCTTTTCGTTTCACAAGAATACGCGCCCACCGAAAGGAGACACACACACACCGCAGCACGCAAACCAGCCGACAAGAGCCGGGACGGCGCTACGCCGTGCAAACCAGCGCAAGAACCAACACCCAAGCACGGACGCCAGCACGCGCCCACAGCGAGCGCGCGCGCAAGTTGGGTGGCGGAGAGAGGGCGCTCTCGGTGCCTTGGGGGTGGGTGGTTGTCTGGGCTGGCGCCCCGTGTCGTGGTGGTTGCGCGCCGGCTCATGCGGCCGCTTGGAATGGGGGGAGAGCTTGAGGGCGCTCCGGACCTCCGCCACCGCTTAGGCCCTCCCCTCTGGTTTCGGTCGGCTTTTGGTGTCAGGCTCTTGTTGGTTTGCGTCTTGGCGGCTTCGGCCCCACTAGTTTGCGCGGCCCGCCTCGCCCGGTGGCTTCGGTCTTGTTGATAATTACGGCTCGAGTGATTCAGACTTCGGCGGCCTTGGTCTTGGTGGTCAAAGCTTTGACGGGTCAGGCGTTGAGAAATTCATCGGCGAGGCAAAGGGCGATGGGTGAAGGCTTCGGGCCCATGGTGTTAGCCTCAAGGCTTCAGACCATGCGAAGGCCCCAAGTCCAAAGGCTGGAAGAGAGCTCGCATTCTTGCGACCGAATTCAGGCCGAGCGGCACAAAATCGAAGCGCCGCAAGACTACCGGAAAGCGCGCAAGACTAGTAGCGCGAAGCGCTTCGCGCTGTCCTTTTTTAGCCCAGCCATGCAGCCCCCCGTGCGTATGCTGGCAACGTTCACCACCCAAGCGAAGCGCCCAGACTGTTTTTGGTTGCTTACATGCTGGGCCCATTTCTACCGCTGACATGTGTTAGCTTATTGGCTGGCCGCGTGGGCTGTTTGCAGGCTGCTTGGCGTTAATTCATTGATAATTCAGGCCAAACCAACGGGATAGAGCTGCCGCAGCTTCTCGGCCTAAAAAGAAAAAAGCGCCGGCCCTACGCCGGCCTCGTCTGTGTTCTTGTGTCTGTTTGTTTGTGTGTGTGTGTGCTTGTTTGTTTGTGTGTGTGTGTGCTTGTTTGTTTGTGTGTGTGTGCTTGTTTGACTTTGACTGTGTCTGTGTCTGTCTGTCTGCCTGTATCTGTTGTCGGCGTTTTTTTTTCCTACACAGCTTACAGCCAGCATAGTCAGACGCATCGCCCTGCGGGGTCGAGTGGGGGCAGCTTTCTATTTTAAAAAAGGCCGCCCTCTGCTCTGGGGGGAAGAGCTCGCAGATATGCGATATGCCTGCGTCGGCGGGCTTGCGTCATACATCACCAGCGTCGTCGCTTGTCTCTGACCCTGCTTGTCAGTCTTACGAAACAGAATAAGGACATGGCGCGGAGGTTTGTCATCCGCCTTGCCATTCTTTTTTTCGCTAATGTTAATTTCGCTAACCAAGTCGCACGGCCGGGCTTGGGGTAGCTCTCTTGGCCTGTGCTTGTCGTCTTATTGGTCCTCTGTCAATCACGGGAACGAGAGAAGCCGAAGGGCCCAGTCGCGTCGCCTTGTGTGTTCGCAGTCCGTCGCTTCTTGACGGGGTTCAATGTCGCGTCGAATTGAGTGCGCACTTCTTTCCAAGTGTGTGAGAAGCCCCAATGAGTGAAGCCACCGAATTTGGATGCTGAGTGGGCATCTGGGTCCTTTCCATGTTGTCTCGGCTCAAGTCGAATGAGGGCCCAAACGTCAGACACCCATGCATGGGAGTGAGCTTCTCTGGTTTGAGACCCCACGCGATCCGTTTTTTTTCGTGATCGATGCTGATAGCCGTCAGCATACTTTTCTTGTGCAAGAAGCGCCGTGCTGTTCTGCAGTCTCTTTGTTGTCCATCGCACAAAGGTATTAGAATTAGTGTTGCTCGAAGTCGAACCCGGTCCCGGCCACTCGCGCCACGAATAACACTAAGATAGATTCCATAGGCGGTTCTGACCTCGCGCGCATAGTATTTCGTCCCCTCTCTGGTAGCGCCTCTCGGGTAGGTTGTACGTAGATGCATATATCAGTCAAAAATCAATTAGGATTAGGAAGTCCTGCTATGCGAAGACTATAACTCATTGATATTGACTGAGCAGAACAGAAGTCTAATCTCAGAAGTGAACAGCCGGGATGAGAATCCGTTGAAATACCGGGAACTCTCTGAACGACTGGGAAAAAAGTGGAACGCAGTCAAATCGCGTTCTGGAACAGCGCTCAACGACGCTGAAGATGAGTACTATCGATCTTTCTGTTCTGATTTCCTGGGCGTCATACGTCAAAGCCGTTACTCGATATTCAAGCAGGATTCTGGTATCCTGAAGGAACGGCAAGACAAAATCTTCGACGCGGCCACGGCCCTGCTCTGTGACAGCAGGAGTATCGCCGCAGCGATCACGAACGCTATGGGCAAAGATGAGAACCTCTAACCCGAGTAAATCAGCCTTGAAGATTAGTAATCGTTCGATTCTAGTCCAGAACGATATTAATTTTAGTTCTTTGTTTCACCCTTGTTGTATGTACTACAGCTGTTAGTCGTGTGGTGGCCCAACTGAAACAGAAAATTCACTCAATGAATAGGTGCATCAATCAATGTACTAGCTTCATCCAAGTATCCGACACCAACAACATAACAAGAGACCTTTCCTTAGCATTTTTTCTCTGCAAAGATTCCTTTTTGAAGATTTTGACACACACGACAAACATAAAGAAGCGAATTCAGGACCCTAGAAAGACACTGCCACACGACAGACACTCGAAGGCATCGCCAGAAGTAGATGCACACGTAAATGAGGGAACTTTTCGCCAAGAATCCTGGCCATAATCAACACTGCAAATTTTTCGATCAGACTACGTTTCACAAGAACCAAAAAAACAAAAGTTTTTCAATCACGTTACGAAGTTAGTTTTTTAACAAAATGAACAAAACTCGAGTTTTTCAATCATAGCAGGAACTTGGTGACATTTTTCCCCTTTGGCTTAGAGATGTGCTGCAAGTCTTGGCTGGCTTCTTCGTTTGTGTAGGGATTAGGCTTACGTGCAGCGACGCTTAAGGCACTAAAATAAAGCAGCCGGCTAGCTTTCCCTCTATCCTTAGGCCTGTCCCTTCCCGCAAAGAGTTTTTCAATCATATTACATACAACTTCTACGTTGAAAAAGCAGAACAAGCAATCCGCCATTCGTTTCAATCAAGAAGTGCGCCACTGATGCTGCTGACATACTGTCTCTACGTTGGGGGCACGAGTGGCCATATGGGGGACACGCGCATGACATGCCTCAGTCTAGCGACGTTTTCTTGTGTAGGAAAAGGAAAAGCTAACCCTTGCATGCGGTCACGTTTCAAAGGTGAGGAGAGAAACGGAAACGAGCAAGAAACAAATCTCAAAATTCTCGTATCACGTAGGAAGTTGAGCTGTTCCTGTTCCTTTTTGTTGTTATAAGTGCTCACCTCTCCGTAGGCGAGCCCACTGGCTCCTATCCTATCCTATGTAAGGAAATTATCCAGGGATGAAACTCATGTTATGTTACAGGGGGGGCGAAGCTAAAACGTGACGAATTTAGTAGACCGACATATCCCGGGAGTGGGTACATTGATTCACTCACTCAACGTAACAGATGGAAGTAGATGAGAAGGAACAGGAGTTGTACATGAGAAGATGAAACAGATGAAGTAGATGGGCACATTATATGTAGTAGATTGCGATTTGCGCCTCATCCCTGAACTCTCTACTGATGCGTAAGCTAACCTTAATGTCGTCTGCTGTCTTCCGCTATCTCCTGCGAGTAATATGCGAGAAGTGAACATCAAGCACAACGCGCCTGCTGGTGGTGTCCCGACTGACCACCAGCAATAACGATTAGAAGAGATGACAGTGTAGACAGGAACATCTTCAGGAGATCCTAAAGGGGCCAAGCGCGTGCGCGTGGAGGTCTTATCAATCATTATTGTCACTGCCACACCCGAGGAGCGGCGCCCCGAACTCTCACTGCCACACCGGAGGAGCGGCGCCCGGATCTGAGGGATCGCGCAACTGCCGCTACAAACATCCACCTTGTTTCCGTGTTGTGATCTGTTTCCTACTTTCCTTATTAACAACGAAGATCAAGTAGACGAACTAGTGCTACTACCTCCGTGCACTACTTCCAAGACGAACTAGTACTACTACCTCCGTGCACTACTTCCAAGCCGAACTAGTATTATTATTTCCTTGCACGGCTACTTCGAAGACGAACTAGTATTATCATTTCCTCGAAGGAAGAAGATCCACCTCTTCTTGTGTTTCCTCCATAGTACTTCCACAGAAAAAGATGTCGAGTTTGAAGGATTTTCCCTCTCTAGCTCCGAGGCGTACTTCAGGGTTTGACCTCGATCCCTCCATTTTTCTGGATACGCCAGTGGATGACAAGCCGCCGCTTCAGAAGAATAATATTAAAGGAATTGGTGCGCCGGACAAGGGAGGGAGTATGCGTACTACTTGAACAAGAATTTTAATTCCCTGTGCTTCACAACATAATTGTGCTTACTTATTGTGACAATTATTCGCTAAACGCAAATGAAAATAACCGAGTAGCCAGCGTAGAGAATAATCTGAGACGCAACTCTAGGGAAAATTTTCCATGTGAATTCCTCTTTCTACAAGAATTGGAAGTAACACAACATACAACGCACAGCTCTCTCGACAAGGGAGGGAACGTCCCTATTTTCAATGGTTGCCTAGTTAGTTCTTCCACCAGGTTTCTGCTTACTTGCATAATTGATGGTAAAATGTTAAATGGTAAAAATGTTAAAAGTAATTACATAGGAGCAACAACAAAGTAGAACTTTTTAGCAGTAATTCCTGAAACTGAAGCTCTTCATGACCATATGACCATCTTCTACTTCAAGAATCATAGAGTCAGTAGTCTTCCCTCATTGTACTGAAGACTTTCTTCTCCATGTCCAACATTTCCCAGCATTTCTTTCACCAGGTACTGCTGGGGGAGATGCGTTGGATGCGTTAGACAGCTTCTTACCCTTCGGAGAACGGCCTCCAACGGCGGATTATGGATAGTTTTTCATGGTATGTTTTAGAGCTGCAGATGGATTCATTTTTTTAGAGTAGTAAGACAATCCACACTGCCATCTTCTTAGAGCAGTAAGCAACCGGATCAAGGCCTCCACTTTCTCAAAGGTCTACTTCACGAATGGGACAATGATGTGACGTCTTCTCAAGGGTCTTATTTCATCGGAAGGTCTTCCCCTTCACGGTTTGTACAACGACGAAAAACTAAATGTACCACTGCCTCCTTACAACTCTAACTAGCAGAGCAAGAACTAGAGGAGCACCTGGCAAGACAAAATGAGACGCTGATGCTGGAGCTCAGTCGAAAAGAGGAAACAATGCTCTTAAATATTATGAAATATGATAAATTGGAGGATCATCATGTATTAACTATGCTAGGTAAATGAATGAATGAGTGAATGAATGAATATTAACTAACAAATAGATGGAATGCCCATAAAGATTACGAGTTACATTCATAGAAGTTAGAGGATGTAACTGGATGGAATGGTGTCAAATATTATGAAAAATTCGATAGAGGCTGAGTCGCATCTTTTTTCGGAGCATGCTTCCTCGCTCCTCAAGTGCTGAATGATCGGGTAGACTTAAGCTTTGGGTTTTCTTTACGTAAATCTATACCACTATATTATGCATTATGGTCGCGCACTCTATATGCAATTATCGACCAGGACTTTTTATACTCGAGTCTTGTTCTAATGACTATGAGAATATAGGACTCATTGTTCTAATTCCAACACAAAAGCGAGTACGATTTTCGATGCGATGTCGCCGGATGTAGTTGGTTTGGGTGGGGAAAAAAAGGACGACATTGACGATCTCCTTGGAGACATTCTAGAAGATGATGATGAAAAGTCGAAGAATTATGATTTGTGATGTCCTTTTTGCGCCTATATCATGCTTGCTTTATTTTCCTAATGAGAACAATCCGCAGCCTCTGCAGCAACCTCCGACTTAGGCATTTTTACATCACTCACACTCGCGCTCTTAGTCTTAATTCAAGACATCAGCTCTTACGCTACAACTCAGTCTCATACTTCAAAGAAAGCACACGAAGAGAAAAAATTTCCGGACTTTTGCGCATCTAAGAACAGCCCGACCGACCTCCTCTGCAGCGGTCGCAGACAGCAATGGACACCAAGAGGAGGCTAATGAGCCCACCACCTAAGCTAGAGAAGAGACTGTCGCTCGATAATATCAATGCGGAAAAGCGAAACCTGACAGTTAAGGTAGAAAAAACTCTCAAGAAGTACTGTCGTACGTTGTTGTAGCAAGATGAAGATCACACCTTGGTACAATTAAGGAAAAGCAAACAACTTTGTGGTCGTAAGGAGGCTCGTAAGTACTGTAGTACGTAGTAAGAAGATGAAGATCACACCTTACTGTTACTACTGTTAAAAAGAAAATGGCAACAACCTTAACCTTGTTGCGCTTTTGAAATCCTGTAGTAGTAACAAGATCACATCTTAGTACTCAGTTAAAAAGAAAAAAGGGCAAGAACAACATGTAAAATATTCCCAGGACCACGAGCCACTTGATTATCTTGAACATGCCACAAACCCTCTAATACACGGATGGGGTTCGGATTAAAAGTACTCACAAGTACTGGATTCTGCTCCATAGTAGATTATGCAATCTGCTTCCATACTTTAACTCTAAATCTTCATCCCTCTATTTTTTGTGTTTCTTTTGATCAATCTATGATACATGTTCGTGGCCAACATTGGATCGATTTCAAAGAGTGTATCGTCCTGTGCCGTGTGTTGTATCAATATTCCAAACGATGTTCCAAAAATGGAAACATTCTCTTCCAGGTTCCCCTAGCGACAGATCAAAAAGAAGCAACGGCAACTCCACCAGCAAAGCGAAACCTTGCGGTGCCTGTGGATGAAACTTATGGCACATATATAGCTTGTCTTGGACAAGGAAGTACTTAAGTAAAAGAACGGGTTGTGATAGAGTAGTGGATCAAAAAATCGACTATAAATTTTTCTTTCTGCTGTAACGTGGTTGGTGCTTAACCTGAACTAGCAGTAAGAGAGTTCTTGTCGTACAGTGGGACGAACTAGTAGAATCGCCTAATCTTATGACAGCGACGATGATTTATTCTTGCCAATGGGGAAAGACGACATATCGAAGAAAGCGCAAAAGAAGAAAGACTTGGCCGACCTGGGCTTTTCAGACTCCTCGGATCCGGCGTTAGGGAGCGCGGTCATACCAAATTCCCGTTTAGTAGATTCCTTTCCGCTTCTTAAACTTTACTCCCTTGTTCAGGATGTGGTTCGAATGAATGACTAAATATTGCGTCTTTTCATCAGAACTTCCGCGAGCGCTCTTCTAAGAAAGCTCCCAAGAAAGCTGCATCAAGTTCGGATGATGTAACCAACCCTTTGCTGAAATTCTAATTAGAGTCGCTGCGTCGAACGCGCCAGCAGTAGGTGGGCAACAAGCTGGAGTGTCACTTGTTATGATGATATGATCCCTCATTAAGTGGTCGTAGGTGTAGTTGCTAGTATCAAGCCCGCTAGTTCTTGACGGTGACGACAATACTTTTCCTGATCTCGTCTCTCTGTTAGTCCAGCGTGTGTCTCCATGGAAGATCCGAATGATGACAAAATTTCGGGTGCCCCCACCTGAGTCCAACTTATGATGGCCGTGCGGCAATCTATTCCATGCTAATTCTGAAGGATATCCATCTGGAGACACACTTGGACTGCAGAACCATAAGACTAAGAGATCAATGTTCATCAGAGATGGAGATCAACAACATCGTTACTCAGATCGAGTTTCTCTTCCGAATCCTTCAGCTAGGGAGTAACCTTTGTAACTGTGGTTGTTCCCTCGTTTCAGAGATTCTATAACAGACTAGACTTCATCTCCAGATGGGCAAAGACTCTTTTTCAAGGTGAGTCGCGCACGTCTGGCCGTCGGGTACGGTGGGTCTGACAACCATCACGATAGTACTTCATTCACTGTTTTTGACCTTAGGTTCTTCCTCTCGAGTTCAACATCCTCTTCTTGCTCAAGATGATTATACAGGTTGGCTAACTACATCCTTTACATACACCTTAGGTTTCACTTTTAATCAGCAGAACTAGCACCGCGAATCTATTTCGATCCCGCATCATATGTCAAGCACCCATTTCAATATCCCTTTTGATGATGACTTGGGTGCCGCTTGATGCGCACAAAGGAAGGGTCTCTCCACGGTCGATTGCCCTGTCACATCTAGTCAGGAATCGTATCACTATCAAGGCTCGACACTCGTAGCTCAGATATCGACTCGCTCAGCGAACCACTCCAGAGCACCAGGACCTCTAACGTATGTGCTTCCTTTTAAGGCCCACGCACTAGGAGACTCTATAATACTTGTATGCTGCAAACAGTACTTCTTGTCTATACTTGGAAGTATGCTGCAACCAGTAGTTGTAGTCTTTTGCGTAATTGTCTTCCTCCTAGGTTTCAGACATGACCCAAAGAGAAGTCTTCCTCTTGCGTATTTCTCTAACTCCGATCGACAACGCAGCCAGGTGTTTTGGATGGCTCAACTACAACCGCTACGTCGCAACATCCGAGCAAAGCGGGTCCAAGGGCTAGGAGAAATCTCGGTCTTCGAAACCTGGATCTGAATAGTAAGGCTGCAGTTTATCACTATCCCATGAGAACTATCCTTGCTTGATTTCAAGGGGAATGAAGTTCAGGGCGGAAAAGGGGGACCCATTCAGCCTGGGATAGTGAAAAACTACCTTCAAAAATGACAGCACTGGAGGAGGGTTGAACAACAGTACTTCTGGAGGTGTTATGACCTGAGGAGGTTTTGGTAGGTGACGTTTTCATTCTCATCATAGTTAAGCCTCTGAAGGTGAAGCCCTAGCTCTACTAATCCCAGCGCGCCATTGGGTCTACCTATACCTATACCTATGCCCCTGAATGCATAGAAGTGTCTGGGAGAGTGTAATGCTATGTTGCGACCTTTGATACTATAATTAGGTATTCTCTTAATCAATTCTCTAGCTCTACTAACTCCAGCGCACCATTAGGAGGCAGTGCGCTGAGTGCATCTCTAGGAGCATCCACGTCATCGATCGGTGGGACGCTGGAAATGCCACAGGTAGCGGATAGTTCGTATGGCGTGATGGTCACGATGCATTTTGCACGGTCCGCCACTTAACATATAGATGCGGCGGTACATTCCCCATCGGAATTTCCCTCATCACCAATTCTATTTTTCACGTTTCCTACTTCATAGAACTTCCGCATCCTCTTCTACATTCTACATTCTACATGTACCGGACAAATAGGAGATCTTTTGAGGAATCTAGATTATCTGTCTAAGTATCAGAGCAACCAGTGGCTCATGACGTACCGATGTTTGGCGCGAAAAAACGTGCTGGTATGGCCCCTCTACTAGTTTCACATCCTCAGAAGATACAACAACAGCAACTCTCGTCCAAGTACGTTCTAAAAAGTAAAATAGTAACTACTAGTCCACGGTCTAAAATAAAGTCAACAGATATTAGCCTACTCGTTCTTAAAACCTACTGATGTCGAGTATCAGCGTCTAGGACCAAGGCGAAGACCCACCGTCTAGTGCCAGTCGTGCCAGACTTACCTTCCTTTCGTGACCAGACTAATATGGGCCTTCTGTCTGAATTAGGCTTACTTTTCAATATTTTACGAGTACCTGTTCCACCACTTAGTAAAAATTGCTGTGGTTTAATATGGGCCACAATATGATGAAGACCTCGACCTGTGCTATCCCATCTAAGTCTCCCTATGATGACATGGAAATACCATCGCCGAAGATGAGCACAGGAGGTGGAGCCTTCAATCGTCGTGGTAGTGATACTTCTTTGGAAAGAAACATCAAGAACGACACGAATGAAAAGAAGGACCTAGATGGCTTCTTGAAGAGTCTAGGGTTAGCCGAAGGTGAAAGCAAAGAAGCAGCGAATTTGGATTTATGTGGGAGTCTCATAATTCGTAACGATCCGCAGTTAGTACTATGTGCAAGTTTTGATTAGTACATCGCTCATGTTCTACTTGATGAAGATCTTTACAACGAAAACTACGCGGCCGCTTTCATGTGTTGGTTGTGCTACAGTAAAAAGTGGCCCTCACAAATCTAATCAAAAGTGGAGATAGCAAAAGTGGAGATGATCTACTAAAAGGGGACGACTTCCTGAGAAAGCCAGCACGAAGACTTATGTAGTTGAGAGGTTCGTGGCCTCTGGTCGTCTCTTCTCTTCAATCAAAACACCGGGATAGGAAAGGGTTGATGGGATTGAGTTAGTATTTTTGAAAGCTTCATTGTAAGGGCCTACAGCCTTCCAGATATTACGCCCCTGGCAGGCTTGTCCCTGTTGTTGTGGTGGTGGTGTTACCGAGTAACATCCACAACCTAAATAGCATGCATTTTCTTGTTGTTCGTATGCTGATGGTGGTATGTTAATCAAAGGCCATCCATCATCATCATCCTGAGGGGTTTCAGTGCATAAGGATCCCGGTCGCTATGATCTTCACGCGATTAGATTCATAGCCTTGAGCCTGTTGCAATCATATCCTTCAGCGAGAACATTCAGAAGGAGAAAGACGAACGCAAGCGGAGAACCAACAGACCAAGAGAGAAGAGCCAAGCGATTCAATTCAGGGAATGCGGAACACCGAGCGACTTGGTTGGACCTTGATCTTCATGCGTAACATTCTCCCCCCGAAATGTCTCCGTTGACGGACTTATTTATTTAGTTGCAAGAAAAAAAATCTTAGTACCACTAGGGGGACTAAGCGACCGGAATTCGTTATTTTGGGGTTGGGAAGCGAAACTATACCAACCTAATGCAAGGCTTTATATATATGCAGGATACGAATGCAAAAAAAACTACGACTAGGCTAAGCTAGTTCTTCTTTTTCTTCTTCTAGTAGACTTCTCTACTAGTTTCCTCCTCTTTTCTTCTCGTTTCTCCTTTGTCCAGGTAATCCATGTCACCACGGGATTGAACTGGACTCGTTTTGTTGTGCTGCTCCTCACCGGCGTCCCCGCTTGTCGCCACGAACCTGAAAAGTGTGAGTTTGGGATTTGTAGAATGGGCCTTATACTAGTAGTTTTCTCTACACCATATAACATTAGCCATAGAGTTTCCGCAGATACTGGCTTCGTGAGGCCATCAGCCCTCATCAACCCGGTGGGGCAGTGGCGACATCGATCAACTAGATCGCGCACGAAGTGTAGTCTGCTTTGGTAGTGTTTACTTCCTGCACATTTGAACTCTTGCGTCGCTTGGTCTAGTGCTGGTTTGTTGTCAACCCATGTGGGCGGAGTATTGGCATAGCCCTGGTTCTTGCACTCTGTGCCGGGTACAATATCAACGAAAGCGATGGATTGCGCATACTGAATCGATTCGCACTTAGCTACCGTCTCGTCATGAGGCGTAGAGAGTGTTGCGATCGTCTGCCGCTTGGACCTCCAAGCCACGCAAACTCCGTAGTGCGTCATCATCGTGCCTGTAGTTGACTTACTTGTAGACGGACAGCCTTGAGAGTCCGCGTCAGAAAAAGTTCCGATAGGAGACATTTCGCTTACTGGTTCTGGTTCACCGCTCACGGTAAGGGGGGCGCCCTGAATCCACAACGGCTCGTAGTTCGTCTTGTATGTTTTCCAGCTCGTCGGCGTCCACTCGACACCCACAGCCAACGTGCCCCGAAGGTACCTCATTACCCTCTTCAGCATTAGCTTCTGGTGGTCTTCGAAAGGACATCCAGCCGCCGAATTCACCGCCTCGGTGATGTCCGGCCTAGACGACAAACTTAGATACATTAACTCGCCGACTACTGCCTTGTTGCTCCATTCAGAGTCTACCCTTTTCTTCTTCACCCTTTTCCCCGTTTTCTGCGGTTTAGTCTTGTCAGACTCTGAACCTGCAGTAGCTTCGCTGTCACTCTTATCTGTGTGAATATCCGACAAGCTCGAAAGGTCACTCTCATCTTTGGACTCTGGCTTCTCCTTGGCTTCCTTAGCCAATTGACGCCATTGGTCCCTATGCCTCGGGCGCGATGGAGTGGACTTCTCAGCGCAGTCGAACATATTCCACTTTTTCAAAATCTTTGTGGCTCTGCTCTCACCCTGAAAGATTACCTTCTCAAAGCGTCTACCGCCGCTTTTGGTAATTTCATAGTGGATGTCCACGTCGATCCCTACAAAGTCAAACTTATGCTTTTCGCGTGTCTCGCTGAGACGTTCGATTGATACCGCCATAGGCGTCGAACCAAACTCCTTGTTAACCTGACTCACATAGTCCTTGGCAGTTTTGTCGCCAGCCTTGCTCGGCTTCTTTGCCGTGACTATGATGTCATCCACATAGCACACCAGCACCGCGCTTAGCTTGCCTTCCGAGTCCGTGCGATAGTAAGCGCCGCCTTCTCTAGGTAATGGCGTCCACCCCCATTCACGAAATTTCTTATCGGCTAGCTTGTTCCAAGCGCGCGGTGATTGCTTAAAACCATAAAGAGCTTTTGTAGCTACTTTCACAGGGTCTTCGTCACCTTCTAGGACTTCCTCTGGAAGTCTGATCAGTTCCGGCTCAGGAAGGTCCGCCTTGATGAGTGCCTGCGTCACGTCAGCACCATCAATTTCCCAATCGTGCTGAGCCGCGTGAACAATCTGACACCTCATGCTCACCGTGCTCGGCGTTGGTGAAAAGATTTCGCCTTTCGTGAGGTTTTGCGTTGATCCATCTGCCACCAGCCGCGACTTCCGGCGCCCACAGCGCTTCCGCACACGAACCATGTGCGCACGCACCGGGCGCTTCCTCCGAAGAAGCGACTGATCCTTCAGTGGATCTTTCTCACGCCAACACTTAGCATCTACAAGCCCCCCTAACCTCCTTTCGATCAGCTTCCTTCCAAAGGTTTGCCTCAGGTCCCCTGGTGGCTTCCTTTCTCGATATGGGTCCAGATCTTCTCTCTGAAGCTGGGACTGAATCGCGTGCGTTTGCGTCAACGTAGTTGAGCTTCTTCTTAGGCTTCGACCTACCACGCGTCTGCTCACTACAGAGCCTATACGCGATCCTGCCGATGATCCTCGAAGCGTCCCTACTCCTGCGCGTCTTACGCTTCTTCGTGTCCTTCGACCCCTTAGGTCTACCCCGTCCGCGCTTCACTTGTGGTTGTTCTGGCGTGGTTTCCTTTACCCTTCTGTCCTTCACTGTCGGGGACCTACCCCGCAGCTGTTCTGCTTGTGGTTGTTCCACGCCACTGCTAGAGTGCTCTTTGACTTTGTCGTCAGTGCCAAGTCCACCGGAAGAAACTGCACCAGGCGCGTCTTCCCTGGCCAGGGGATTTTGTTCCGACGGCCCTGGGCCCTGTTTTTGCTCTTGCAGCTTTTGCTCCCCCGGACTTATAGCAACTGCCTCTACTCGTGCAGGCTGCGCTACAACTTGTTCTGGGTCCGCTGAGGATACCCCCTCAGCTCCGTCTTTTGCTGTTGATTCTTCACCAAGGCCCCCCGCCTTCGACTCTTGCGCCACAGCGACCCGCCCTCCCTCTTGCTTTCCATCAGATAACATCTCGAGCGCCTGACTTGTTCCGAAAGTCGGCTCCATGTATGCTGACGCAAGGGCATCGGGCTCCGCCGTGCTTAGCAATTCGAATAGAAGTGGGTCCTTTAGGTGTTCAACTTTGCTTACTTTATAGGCTTCGCAGAATTTGAGCTGGCCGGTCTCGGCCAGGACAAACTCCCCCGCCTTGTTGTAGCTACAGTAGAGATACGCTGACCCCTTTGGACTGTAACCTACGAACACAGCCGGCAGCCACTTGGGTGCGCTCTTGCTGGCTGGGTGTTCGTCTAGAACGAAGCACAACGACCCAAATCTTCTCAACTTTCCGAAGTTTGGCTTTCTCTTGTGACGTCGTTCGTACGGCGTGGCCTTTGTTCTTGTTCCATCCTGCTCCCTGAACTCTCTCTCGCGAATCGAATAGAGAAAGGCTACCAGCATCCAGCACAGGTCCGCCAACCTACCGTCGACTCCCCACATTAGTGCCCTGACCTTGTTGCCGCCTGTTCTCCAGAAACGCTCGATCCGAGAGCTCCTCGTGGGCGAGTATGGTGGCGCGTACGAATTTGCTAGGATGTACAAGTCAGCGAGCATCTTAGCCCACTTTTCTGTCTGAAATTCCGGACCGTTGTCCGACCGAATTTCCTCCGGCGGCCTTGTGTACCTCGTGATCTTTCGCATAGCTTCATCGGCATACTTGGAGGACTTTATTGGCAACACCATCGGGCACCGATCATGGTCATCGATGGCCCCAAAGATGACCGTATTGCCAAACATGCTCTCCTGCCGGTCGCTTGCTAGATCTTTGAAGTCAACCTGCCACCTCTGGTTTGAGCGTGTAGGTTCCCACATAGAAGGCCTGACCTTCTTGGCCGCCCTTTTGCCGTAGTCTTGTGTCGCCATACAGGCGGCACAAAGCATGCCTTTTGGTAGGGGTAGGAAGTGCCCTGATCTCTCGTGTTCCAAGACTTCGGGGCACATGTCCTGCGTGGTTCTAATCCCTGCTACGATCCTTAACTCCGTGGGCAGGCCAGCTTCAAAGGAGATGGCCACGCGTGGGAGGAGTCCCCCTCCCCCGGTCCCCACGTGTTCCCCCGTTGGTCCCTTCAGTATCACCCCACCGCCCGGTGGGAAGGATACCATGACCCCTGCCTGCTGCATCTGCGGCACGGAGATATAGAAATCTGATAGCCTTGGATGGTAGACCCCGTGGCGAAGTTCTCTCAACGAGCTACTTCTGAAAATTCCTTCCCGTGCAGTTCCAGGAATTTTCTCCCCCGATGCTGCTACTAGGACGCATCTGGCCCCGAGTTTCTCAAAGTGGTTCAGATATGGTGAGCAACACGACTCAGCCCCACTATCGACTATCGCATCGACACACAGATCCTGGTCTGCCTGTGTCGGCGCGTTGCGACTCCGTCGCGCGATCCCGCTGATTGTCCTTATGGCCCTCACCATATACTGACTAACTTTGGTCCTCTTTAGCCCTTTACCTGTCCCTACATCCGACTCGGATGCAGCATCGCTACCACTACTAGCATCTGACCAAACGCTTTTACTTGTGCGTTTGTTTCTCTTGTTGTTTTGTGTCTCTTCGTTTTTACTTAAACTACTACTGTTAACCAAACTTAGCGAAGACTTCTTGTCACTTAATCTAGAGTGTACCTTTACCGACTTGCTCCTCTGGCTTTCTTCGCTGCTGCTTAGGGTGTCCTGGCTGGTTGCGCTTGCGCTTCTTTTGCTGCCGCTGGCACTCCGGGCTCTCACGCTTCTCACGCTACTCGACCTCCCTCGGGCCGGCGTGGCGCTTCTGTCCCTCGTGTGCCTGTTGTTGTTGCTTCCGGACCTGCTTCTGTGCCGGTCTTCTCGACCTCCAGAGGGGCGTCCTCGGCTGCGGCTTCTGTTGTCTAGGCGCTCACGACTCGGACTGCGTCCCCGCAGGTCCCTGTCGTTGTTCTTGCGCTTGTGTGCCTTTGCGTCGGGGTTGTGTGGGCACCTAAACCACCCGTGGTCGTTTGTCTGGCACTTTCTGCACTTCCAACTTCTCTTTCCCAGATCCCCTGCGCGGGGTCCTTTCGAGATAGAAAGAATGCTGTGCGTCTTGTCGTTCCTTTTTCCTCCGTTTCCTGCTGCCGCAAGAAGACTCTGCTCGCGCTGCTTCAAGCAGGCTTCCACAGCAGCCAAATCCACTTCAGCTTTGTCCAGGAGAAAAGGAGCAAGATCTTTGTACGACTGACCTAGGTTGATCAGGATGCTGGCGATCGCTAACGCCTCTGGCTTGACATCTTTCATATCACGAATTTCCTCGCGAACCGAAATCATCAATTGAGAGACCGTCTTAGCCCCGCTGCTGTTGTTTGCCACGTTCGTGACCCTCTGAATTCTCGTGATCGTGCCTGCTAGACCTGGGCAGGCCTTTTCCAGCTCGAGTTTCGAGAAAATCTTCCGGATCGTTTCGTGGTCGTTGGTGTCACCCTGTCGGGCTAACCGGTGTGCCTCGCCTTCTAACGTGTTTAGAAGGACCCCCCCGAGGGTTCGCGCCTTGGTGCGAACTCTCTCGGCTTTTTCTGGTGCAAGTTCTGCCAGCCATTCCGCGCCACCGCTGAGAAACTCCGAAAGCCTTGCCAAGTCTAACGCCTTCAGCGTACCGACCCGCCATGTTTCGTATTCTCTGTGGTAAGCCTCCTGGTCTCGGCCTTCGAACTTTCGGACAGCCCTGAGCGCGTCCGCCGCTCGCTTGGTGTCCTCTTCGTCTTTCCTCCGCGCACGCTCTGCGGCTCGCTCCGCCCTTTCCTCTTCCCGTTGGGTTGCTTTCGCGGTTGTTTCCTGAATGCTTTCCCGTCTAAGTTCCTGAACCATGGCCATGGTGGCCGCCGTTGCCTGTCGTTGCTCTTGGCTTGCCGTTGCCAACGTGTTCACCGCTGCGACCATGTTGTTCCAAAGCCATGGGTTCCAAGTTCCTGAATTTCCGGGGTCCATTCCTGAAACGTCGGCCCCGACGCCGCCACCAATGGCGCCGGGCTGGTCTTGTCCAATTCCGTAAGCGTTGCCGGGTTGAGCTTGTTGGACATGTTGGGCAGAGTTCTGGCCGGGTTGACCTTGTTGGACGTGTTCGGCAGAGTTCTGGCCGGGTTGACCTTGTTGGACGTGTTGGGCAGCGTTTTGGCCGGGGTATTCCCCTGCGCCATCGTGTTCGAGGTTGGCCATTTTGGAAAGTTTTAAGGGTGTGGATGAATGTAAGGGCCTACAGCCTTCCAGATATTACGCCCCTGGCAGGCTTGCCCCTGTTGTTGTGGTGGTGGTGTTACCGAGTAACATCCACAACCTAAATAGCATGCATTTTCATGTTGTTCGTATGCTGATGGTGGTAAGTTAATCAAAGGCCATCCATCATCATCATCCTGAGGGGTTTCAGTGCATAAGGATCCCGGTCGCTATGATCTTCACACGATTAGACTCATAGCCTTGAGCCTGTTGCAATCATATCCTTCAACGAGAACATTCAGAAGGAGAAAGACGAACGCAAGCGGAGAACCAACAGACCAAGAGAGAAGAGCCAAACGATTCAATTCAGGGAATGCGGAACACCGAACGATTTGGTTGGACCTTGATCTTCATGCGTAACATTCATCTGGATATAATGGTAGTAGTAGCTGCGTCTGCGGCATTTGTCTTTATATCTAATAAGGTCACTAATAGGACGAGCATCGCCAGGAACTGTTTTGTCTTGCTGAAGGTAGAGGGTGACCTTTTGCGACATATTGAGGATAATTTATCTACGAGAACGTGAGTGGCTGCTAGTGCTACCAATACACTCGTTGTATGAGAAAAGCTCTAAGAGACCGAGAGAAGCTGCTATTTTGGGTGTTCAGCCAAGCGCAACTGCAGGAGATGCGGGCACAACTAACTCGACGTCTGCAGCAGTTGCAAGCACAGCAACAAGCGTGAGACCTAGTCGGCGGCAGTCCGCGGCAAGCAACGCCTTAATGGGAAGCACCGGTGTTGCATTGGGAAATGCATTATGTAATTTGAGGGATACTAGATTCTTGAAGTAGGTACTATTTGAACTCCGAAGCTGATATTACTTGTTACTTAGAGCAGAAAGATTTTTATGTGGGACAACGACGAAGCCAGGGGAAGTCCACAGGATGTTCTTGAGTGGGCAGACAGAGCAGTCCTCTGAGTAACCGAACCGTTTTTCCTACCTTGTTCATTGGCGACTACAGGAACTGCAGGAGAACAAGTCAGTCTTGGTGCTCCAGTGACAGCGACTCCGAGTTTCGCACCACAAGGAACGACAGCACTTCTTCCCTTATGTGGGATCTACTACCAAGCTCTTTTTTCCGCTTCTATCTAGTGCTGTGGGATCATACGTATTCGTAAAAGCAGTACTCGCAGCCACATTGTCTTTATGTCCTCCCTTTGCGGCGTCTCCGATATTCCTCTTCCTCCTCTACTCCCTTACCTGCTCCTTCTCCCCCTCTGTCTAATCATAGTAAACGAAGCCCTAGTAAAACAAGCGGAAGAACATGCGCAAGCCATGAACGCGCAGACTGAGATGATATTAAGGGAAATTTATCACTATCCCATGTGGACTATGCTGAGTGGCTCCTTTCTCCTGGTTTGAAGGGGAAGCTAAGGGGCATAGAGGGCATCCCACTCGACTCGGGTTAGTGAAAAACTGCCTCTAATAATAAAGAACTTGAAAATTGATCTCGCGTCTGTGCAAGCAGAACTAGCAGCTGCGGATACTAAAGTGAAACGAGCTGAGAACGTATTAACCTAACCTTTCGATTGTGATTATTTCACGTGTAAACATACAACTGGTTCAAATTCTCAGTTCCCATCAAGACTGAAAACTACTTGATGTAAAGGCAAACCATCGCGGCCGCAACGACCATCTACAGGACCTCGAGGAGGCCGAAACACGGTGGAAACAGCGTTTGGAACGAGAAAAACTGGAAAACCAGAGCGAGCGAGAACGTGGGGAACTAGAAAAACGACGATTGGAGAATGAGATGGAGAGGATGAAGCAAGGCCACCTAGAAGAAGCCAGGCATATGCAAGAGGCAAAGATTAAGACTGGTACTAGATCACTATTGATATCTGGCGTAAGGTATGATCACGAGTGGCGCTGGCGGGCTCCTTGCCATATAATCAAGGGAAAGTCAAGGGGAAAATACAGGCAAGGCGAAAGAAGGCCGCGCACTCAGCCAAGGATAGTGATCATTGGCTAGCATTAAAAAGCGAATGCTTGGCGAGAGCGTCGATTTGGAGAAGGAGCAGGTGCGCCGCGATGAGCAAAGAAAAGGCAGAGAGGAATTAGAAAGGGTGCGGAGACAAATTATGGTGCGTTGTCCGGTTCATTTGTACTTTGTAAGTAGTCGATTCTTGTTTTAGATGTAGTTGTCAGTCTGTAGGACGATTTTCATTTGTAGCTTTGATTTTCATTCTACTTGTGGGTTTTTTCTGTTTCTGATTTTTCGTACAAATCCAATTCTGAAGTACTTCAGGTGGCTCATATCTATGTACACATGCAATGATGCTCCAGTTCGTTGTACACTGGGTTCTTCTAAGTCCCTGACTGACGAACAGAGCGAGATCGAGAAACGACATGCGCGACAAGTACAGATTATTCGCGAGTCGACGGAGAAAGAACTCGAAAGTGTGCGACGCAGCGCAAGCAGCGGCGCTCAACTCAACTCACTACTGGAGTTATGTGGATTGATTCACTCAAAGTAATTCCACTAGTACCACACAGGACCTGCTTGACGGTCTGCCAGAAGATAGCACAGCAGCAATACGTTACTGAAACGAATACCAAATTTGAAAAAAAAGATGCAACAAGGGAAGGAAGAAATAGATAAACATGCACTCATAATTAAAAAGAAGCTGCACCCCGCGAAAGGGTATTCGAAAACTCAAAATAACCGAGTTACTGACTGAAATAAGGGAGGTAGCTTAAAATAAAGGCTACTCGTCCTTCTCGTCAGTATCTCGGTTATTTTCGTCTGTTACTCGCTTATTTCCGTTTTTCGAGTACATCAATCAATCAATCAATCAAGTACCTACAAAAAGACCAGGACTACAAGAAGACCAAGAAGAAGATGGAGCATCTAATGTGAAAAGTCCACGACACGACGTTTCAGATGGACCTGCTCCAGAAGAAGTTGGAGCAGCAGCGCTCCGTAGAGGATCAAGTGAGAGAAGTTATGGTGTAGACGAATAGACGAACAAGGGGTCTGGGAACTATCTAGCCTGTCCATCACCCTTTTTTGGGTAGCATTCTGCTTGATCACCCTGCGAGCGCTCCTAAGGTAGGTCTGACAGGAACTATGTTCATCAAGAAGATTTCAAAGGAGTCGAATATTTCAAAGGTGTGAACCGTATACACCTTCTACGAGCCTCCGTTTAGACACAATACCTTTTGATGTACACGGACACAGCACCATTTCGATGTTTGGACCACACAGATATCATCACTTCATGTTCTAATACCCAAGGTCTCGACAAGCGTGAAAAAATGATACGTGCCACAGAAAAGCAACTGCAAGAGCAGGGGAAAGAAGTAGAAGCCCAAAGACGGAAAATGACAGACCTAATCGCTAGAATGGAGGCAGAGCTCGGGCAACAACAAGCGGATCGTGCTGAGAGTGTTGCAGTGGCGAACGAACGGTGTGATTTATATCTCTCTCATCTTCCTACGTACTGCTCTCTCTCCTTAACCGTTCTGGCACTTATCTCACGCTTAACCCGTTATTTACTAGTGCAGATAATTTTTCGATCTACCTCGGCTCTGTGTGGACGCTGCTAAAGAACTATAATATGTCACTTGGCCACTAGCATTAGGCGAGTAAAAGAACTATATGGGACACCATGTTGATGGTGATCATGATGCCACAACGCAGTCCTCGCTGTCTATGTTCTTGGATAAGAACTCCCCTCTTTCTCTTTATCAGATTGGAGCGTGAGCACGAGCGCTTAGCGGAGTTGCAACGCAGCATACGGGAAGAGAGATTGCGAGGTGAAGCTACTGTGAAATCCGAGCTCGCCAAGCTGGCTGACGATAGACGTCGACAAGAGCAAGAACTATACGAAAAAACGGAAGAGTTGAGTTTTATGCCTAGGTCCCCTGTGGTGGAGTTTTTAATTGTATATACAACATAGAATGGCTTTCTTGAACTTGATGTTTTTGAAGGTTTTGATTTCTTTGATTGATTGTGCATTGCAGACCTGAAGCTGTTCGGAGAGAGAGAGCACATCTGTCATTTTTTAAGCCTGGAAGTAGTACTGGAGCTCCTGCATACAATCTCTAAGACCTCCCGCGAACGCATTCTGAAAGAGCAGGAAACCAGAATAAAGGAGACGGAGGCTCTTGTTGAGCAGAGTAGAGCCAACTGCGAAAGGAGGATACGGGAAACGGAGAACTTGATTAGTAAGGCTTGGGAGTTGACCTATCATCTAAGAGCGTCTTTATGTCTTCTTCAAGTAGGAAAGCCACAGATATGCGAGCTAGAGAGGCCAACTTTCAACCCCTAAGATTAGCAGCGAACGGAAAAATCTGGTCCTCGAAATCGAACGTTTTGAAGAACGAAAACGAGACTTCAGTGCCAAATCTGAAATTAAGGATCTCGTCACCAATTCATCTTTGACTTTGACTGCAACCTCGCTTAAAAGTATGAAGACGACTCAGTAACAGCATCCATCTAAGTACTCCCTTAATCTGAGGTCTATTTATTCTTCAAGGATTCAGATGCAGGACGATAGCGATGAATTTGGGAGACCACGTCTAATGAAAAGCTCAGCGCAGACGAAAAGAAGCTGGAACAGGAAAGAACAACTCTGGATTTAGAAGTTGTAAGTGTGAAGGAAATGGCGGAGAAGGTATTGATACTTGTTTCACTCATTGTATTTCACTCCTTTGCCATTTTCGGACAGTCACAGTTGTCATCTAGTACTTCACCTCTGATCATCGACGACCTCAGATGTCTTCAAAACACATCCGTCATCCCAACCACCATCCCAACCACCACCACCTGAACCACCACCACCACCACGACCCTCACCCTAACCACTCCCTTAGATCGAAGAGCGCAGACGGCAGGTGGAGGCAATGTATGTTCAGGGTTGCGAGATGAAGGAGGAAGCAAAATCCACGCACTCCAAGATTTTGCAAGAAAGGGCTTCCCGTGAAAGCGAAGTAGGAAGACTAAAAGCCTTGCAGCAAATGATTGTTATGAGGTAGTAGAGGTTTGACTGCAGTGCTCTTGTGTCCGTCGCCGTAGATGTCCTTAGAGGTAGGATCTCGCACGTTGCACTTCTTGCTTTTGCTGATCGAATCTAATCATTTCTATGAATGTACATGTAGACGTGTACACAGTAATTGACTAGTACAACGATTTTTCTCTCTAACTCTTAAAGACAGCGTCTCGAACTGGTCCAGGATGCTAGTCATTCGGTTGCCGCAAAGATTCACGTTCTCAATCACAGTCAGCACGCATTTCATGGACATGTTGGAGGATCGAAGCCTAGTATGATAAACCTCACTGGCAGTCCTCACATCGTGATGCCTGTATGGCGCCACCCATTGAGAACAGGGATAAGGGAATGTCGTTCCTAAATTAGTGAAAATGGAGAAGGAGGAACGACATTCACATATCGACACTCCCAAGAAGTGGCGCCATTCAATGCCATCACCCTCTGCTTCAGGTTTAGGAGGAGGAGGACGTGGTGGACCGCTTAACAGTAGTCGTGGTATGTTGCCACCTCGCAGTCCCCATTTACCACCAGAGAATAGTGTCTTTTCGCACCTTGACCATGAAGGAGCTGAGCATGCGGCAATGTTAGGACTACAGGAGTGGACGTGCTGGTCTTTGAAACAGAAAACCTTTACCTTCACGTTATAATGACTTGGATGAGCAGTCTCTCCTGTGTTTCTGTGAACTTTTCATCTACATTATAGTCTCTAGAGATTTAGCCCTTCCAGCGACAAATTATATAGTCTACTGTGTTTTTGAGAAATGCCGTTCCGCGTCGCGGCTCATGAGCACCTTCTACCTGTCAGTCCCCTAAACCCTAAGCCCAGGAGTATCAGTTTTCTTTTTCCCCTAACACTTCACGGCGCTGCAGTTATCCCAGATTCCTTGGCTGCCACAAGCGCGCGCGCAGAGCAAGCACGTGAAGAGATCATTGGGGGAGCGACCTCCTCGTCTTCAAGTGCCTGCTTCGCTTTTCAACCTAATACCAGAGTAGCTGCTCATGGTCAACCTGCTCTTTTACCTCATCAACAATCTTCTGTGGGACAATTCACTGGAGCAGGACTGCCGATTTCAGGAGGACTGCCGATTTCAGGCAATTCACCTGAAGACGTCGAAATGCGACTGACGGAAACAGTGCTAGACAGATCAGGGCTTCATTAAGGGCTTCCAATTAACAGGATCCTCCAATACCATCCTTGACCTGCTATCTTTTTTTGGTAGGAAAATAGAAAGGCTAAGAACGTTCTGACTCTCTCTGAGGAATGTACTAATGATTAGTAATCTCTAACTTCAAGCTCAGTTACAAAGGTGGACATCGATGTCCGACGGGGCGCGAAAGCAGCTGGCACAGTCTGAGGCAGTAGTGACATCCCGGAAAATGATTGGTGGGCCACCTCCTCCACCGCCGCCGCCGCGTCAAATTAATAGTGGCACGACTCCGAAAATGCATCTACTACATTTACATGGGACCAGCGGCCATCTGTTGTTATGATAATGTTGTTGGATGCTAACCTGTTCGATGATTATTCATTGATGATAAATTCGATTTTTCCTAAAAAGGTCCTCTCTCTACGGTCCACGGTCAACCTGAGTGAATGAAATAGGGCATGTCGTGGTCTAACTCTCTCAATTATACTAGAGTCTGTCTGCAAACATCTTTCGTGTCTAATACTCGAAGCAGCTGAAGGAGAACAAGCAAGTTTAGCCTCATTACAATCCTCAGTGCCAATTGAACTCTGATGAAGGCAGGGCTGCAACAGATATGATCCTTCTACACACGCAGGTGCAGCACGAGAGGTGTTGCAATCGCTAGTAGACCTATTGAACTGTGATGTTTCAGGTAGGAGGTATGAGGAATCTTCGTTCTTGTTATGCTAGGAGGACGAGAAGGAGAGGGATGTTGACACTCCTACCTTTACTAGTCTTTTTTTTCTAAAACCTGTCTAATTCATTAGACTGTAATCATCCATGTATTTGCAGCTGGTAAACGTCAAGCTGAAGAAACACCTACTGACTCGTGATCGTAAAGAGCGAAACCCGAAATTCAAGATTTTTGTATAGGTTGTAGCAGAACTTTTCATCTTCCGCAGACAAGAATGCTAATTGGTGATCGAACAAAGGTGGAATCAAATCGATGTTGAAGCTTCAGAAAACTCCAGACGGATGGTAGCGCTATGTATTAGGGAATGTAAGAACTGCCAATTTTGTGCCAAACAAGGATGAAACGATTGATAGATGACGTGTCGATCCTCGATGAAAATAAAGGATTCTGGGAAGGGTTCTCGAAGACATCGAGAGGGAAAGGACAAAAATTTGGAATTTTGATGTTCTGGAGGTACTTCCGATTAGTACAACCGTTGCTACATACCACGAGCAGCAAAGTGAAAGACAATCACAAGAAGTCTGGTTCGAACACGACTTCCTGGTGGGTCACCGTCAACTTATCAAGAGAAAACGAATCTTTACTCCCAATATAACCGTATGATCATCATGATGATTTGGAATAACTTTTGCAGCCCATATGATCACAGACCTGGTGACTTCTCATAAATTCGTTCAGTACACTAAGTCATTCGCAAAAACAAATGCGAATACGGGACAAAATAAGTTGGAGGTCATCTACTTCTGGGGAATTCTGAGTTGGTGTGAACGCCCGATGAGTGAAGATTTGCAAATTTGCCATTTTCAGGTCATCAGAAGTGACGATAGAGGTGGGACGAAGTGCTATGTTGGTCATGATGTACTGAAAATAATGCTGCAAAACGATGATGTCTTTCTTCGTTCCGCCTTCTTCTAGTAGTACTGCTCTGTGCCTGATTCTAGTTCTACTCCATTCGAGCTACAGAAAGTAGAGTGACCATCATCTTCGCCATCCTTCATTCCACCTAGAGGACCTAGAAGTAGATTACTTATAGTACTCTTAAGTACATAAACTATGACTTCCACCTCCGTGGATCCCCCTCCACCTCCTCCCGTCGACGAAAATGGCTCCTCAACATCTACTGCCTTGCCTGGTGGTTTGAAGGTTCCTAGAAGAATGAGTGCGGCTGAGTCGACTGCTGATGGAATCTCAGAACCGGCATTGGAGAAAGGAGATAAGCTTAGTACTATGGAGGGAGACGACAAACAATCGTCACATTATGGAGGAGACAAGAGGAGTCCAGTATTTTTTTGGTCTTCTATTGCTACAAGTTTTTATTCCTCCTGGTCATTGATTGTTGGATTTAATTATGATCAACATGGACATGTATCTTCAACTACAATTGATGTTGGTCTTATCCTCTTTGGATTCATCTACTCATCTGAAGAAGATGAAAATTGAATACCACTTCGTCCTGCAAAAAAATGTAAAAAATTTGAAACCAGTTCGTCCCGTCTTTTTCCATTTTTTACTCACTGAAACCATCTCATGTTCTTGTTGTTCTTTGCTCAACACAGGACCTAGCGGCTTTAGAGTCCTTGGTGGAGTCGTCTGGCTCAGAGGATGGTCGGGATGATGACAAAGCTAAGAGACTCAACAACACGACGAAGAAAAACATAGAAGGAACTCATGCGGCACTCGTCGACGAGGATGATGACGAGCGTGACAGGATACTGGCTGGAAGCAAGGCTGGAAAGGATCGTGCAGCCAAGATCGACTTGTCTTCTAGCTCATCTTCTGGCTCAAACAGTAAGATTAAGGGTAGGTTAAAGGTGCTTTTCTTACCGCTTTTTATGCCTCTCTCCCTTAGGATGAGAAAGGCATAACAAGCGGGGTAAGCGAGCACCAAAAGCCTACCTCTAATAAGAGTAAAGTACTAGTAGAAGATGGCAATTATGGGCCATCTGCTGAAGAGCCACAGTCGTCGAGGAATGCTAGTCCACCAGCACGAGGAGCTGAGCAGGGCAGACAGTCATCTAGTAGAGGTACAGCTAATGGGAAACTACTTCTAGGCACAGCAGGACCTCCTCCTTCATCAAATGGTGCTGACAGGGACAACAGTAGTGACGATGATGATGATGATGACGCAGCACATAATCATAAAGATAAAAGAGACGCGGCGCTGCATCAACAACAGAACGGAGTAGCAGTAGCAAGGAATGGTCACCAGCATAGCAATTTTGAGCCCAACGACGATGATGAGAAGAACAACGGCGAACAGAGTCATGATCCAGCAGACCACAACGTTATCCATGAAGAGAAGGATCAAGACGAGCATGGGGACCTAGATTTCGCAGAGCCTGAGGAAATAGTGGAAGAGGGACACGAAGCTTCGGGTATTATTGTGGATCATTTCATCCTGCTCACCTCAGTCAGGATCCTATCAACGTAAGTAATTTTTTCCTACGTGGTCTCCTCGATTAAACCTTCTGGCACTTAAATCTCCTGCTTAATGATCCGCTAATGTTGCATTTCTTCATTCCTTTCTCAGAAATCCACCAACCATGTTCGAATCACCTGTTCCAGGTACCCAACAAAAGGCGGAGGAACAAGCGTCTACCAGTAAAGCCTCTGGTGGGTCTGGGGAAGGAGCGAAAAAAGTGACCCTCACTCCGGGAAGCGGTAGGCCTGGGGTGACCGCTCGTCCTAGACCGAAAGGCCACGTAGGTCAGAGGGAACGATTAGTCTTTTTATGGAAGAAAAAGTTTTTAATTTTCTTTTTGTAAAAAGTAAGATTGAATCAAGGAAGTGATACTGGTACATCCGCAAATGAGGAAGCAGTAACCTAAGCGCTAGAGACACTAAGCTGCACCACAAATAAGTGAGTTGTGTTCCTCTGGAAGAAAGAAGATAAAAGGAGAGCTTAAACAAAAAGTAAGCATCAGAAGCTTGATCCGATCCCACTTAAGTAAGACGCAATAACAGAAGCTGGCGTAGTAATATATGACTTTGGTACTACTTGGTAGCATTTCAACATTTTCATCTTAGAAGCAAGAGGTTTGGATACATAGATACAGGAGTATTTTCTTTGGGCGTTATTCAATAATCTCAACTCTCTCCTCCTCTCTCTCTAATCCCTGGCATGTTAAAGGGGCATCTCCAGAGCGCGAAGAAAGACCTAGAAATGAACCAGAGCACAGAATTGACTAGAAGCAAGGAAATCGCGGAGAGGACCAAGCGGGCTATGGACCGGATGGAGGTAGAGAAGGAAAAGGCCGAACAGGAAAGAAAAGCAGCTGAAGAGAAAGAACGGTTTCGACAGAAAAGGATTAAAGAGTTGAAGAGGAGGGATGAGGAGGTACTTGTTCTTGTAATTGATGTTAATATAAACAAAAGCATAGACAGATCTTCTTCATTTGCTTCTCTTGTGCTGTGCTTTTTCACACAAAATAAATTTTTACACCGACACCTAACTCTGCAGTGTCTATTTCCTCCAATTACGAATTAACCTCCAACTACCTCTACCAATTAACCTCGAACTACCACTAACACAAACTACACTCAGACCATTTCTCCAACAAAAACACTCAATATTTTTTAGGTCCTCGCCCTCCGTAGCCGTCTAGAAGAACATTACGGTCGCATGCGAAACTTTTTGAGGACAAAAACTGAACAAGGCCCGGTCATTTTCTGGTTACCGAGGAAACATACCAAAGAAACCCAGAGGCAACTAGAACTAGGCCAAGTGGAAATCGACAAAAAAATCGAATCTTTGAAGGAGACGTTTATGTTGCCTTCTCAACTGGCAAACCTAGAAGACCCCTTCAGCAGTGGAGAAGTAGATCACATACAACTCACTTCCAGAAGTGGGAGTGGTGGTAGTGGAGGACCGCCGCAGGAAGAGGGCGAGGAAGATAATTCACCTTCGAATGACGTTGTGGTGGTACTATGTTGACTTTAATAGGAAGATGATATTAGATAATAATTCACCTGTGAATGATGTTGTGGTGGTGCTATTTTGATTTTAGGTTGTTGATTTTTACAACTGTCTTGTTGATGTCTCATCTTCTTCAACTTGTTGATGTTGTACCACTACTTTCAACTTGCTTCAACTATTGAGTTGCACGCTGTCACATCACAACTTGGACTCATCCATTGTTCAAATGATACATCAGGCTCGCGGTGGCAGTATCGTATTGAAAAGTAAGCGTGCAGCAGATGCCGGAGAGGAATTTGAAGCAAAGCGTGGTCGCAGGGGTTAAGTTCTCATCTGGCTTTATTTCTTCTCCTAACACCTCCCGTTTATGTCCGTGACTACCTCTAGATACGACTATCTCTAGATACTAGAACGACATTCTGTCCACTACTGCTTCTGGAGACTAGAACGACATTCTGTCCACTACTGCCGCTGCATGCTAGAATATTTAAGTATGTTGCTTATGAGTTCTAATTCATACATCACATACTAACTTCTAGTTCGACCACCTGAAACAAGGCCCTGTAGTACAGCAGTTGCTGGATTCCCCCACTAGGATCTTCTACTTCTTCACCACCCAATCGCCATCCACTATCACTATGTCGAGGACCTTCGACAACGTTTTTTATCCCATAATCTAGATGTACTTCTCCACATTCATGATGAATAGAGATAAGCCTGAGCGCACTACTTCTTAAAAACTACATACTTGTTGTTCTGTGACATGACCATCAGTTTTTTTGGAGGAGCTGTCAAGATCTCCTCTACATTCGCGTCCCATACAGATATGGTCAGATTCGAGTACTACCTACTCGTCTCATCTTAAAGAAGATGTGAAACTCATCTTAAAGAAGATGTGAAAACAGTCTTTTTCGAGTCTAACAAACTCAAACTGTTTGAAGCATGCCTAGATGTACTAGGCGATCAAGAGAGAATTAGAATTATTCGCTTTACAACACCACGACCAGCACTAGTGGAGTACTAGGCTGGATGCTACCCTCTGCGTGCTGTGTTCTCTCACACAGACTATGCAAATTAGACTTTTTCCTCTTCGTATTCGTGTGACGTGGCTAAGTAATCGCGAGCGATCAACTGGAAGTATAAAGTATAAGCAACATGAGAGATGCGAACCAACGGGACGAAGTCGACGAGAGTACTTCTTCTAAGGTCGAAGGATAGAAAGATGAATCAATGATCTTAGTTCGACGTCGATTCCTTCAATCCCTACAACAGAGCATGCGTAGATCGGGTGGCATCGTCGGTGGTATCCCCTTGATGGAAGGAAACTGCCTTGTCCCCCATTGCTTTAGTTTGTAAGACGTTGAATTTTTGTCCCCTTTTCAATTTTTTCTCTCTGGAAAACCTCGTGTGAAGTTATGTCAAAGAAAGTGTTGATGTCTCAATACAACGATACCGTTCAACATCCTGTGAAGAAGAAGACTACCACAGATTTCAAGATAGCGAACAAGAGAAGCATCACCCTGCACTAGCACAATAATCAAATTTTTGTTTCTATCAATCTATCCGAATCGGAATCGAATTAAAGACTGAATTTTTCTACAGTAAAACATTTTAACCTGCTACAATAAAGAATTTAAATTCAAAAAGGCGTTATCGTTAAGGCTAACAGACTGTAGCTATACGATAAACATCCCAAAAAAAAATCAACAATCGATCACGAAAAAATCATACTACGTACTTACTCGAAAGCAGGATGAAAATGTTTCTAGGCGTTCCTGGAGCCAGGGCTGCTCGTAAGGCGACTAGGCGTTTGGTGCCCTACGGTACTGGCGCTGGAGGCGGTGGGTTCGTCATTTATGCCTTACAGCAAGAAGAGGAAGTCACGGCTGGCCAAGTCTTGCCGCTCTTTTTAGCGGACGCAATCGACCTGTTGGACCGAAAATGCTGTGAAACCTCGCATCCAGCTACCTTGGGATACATTGCGAGGGTGGCGCAGTGGTGGGGGGTATTGATACTGTAGCACTTTGCGTTCACTAGAAATTTACATTTAGTCGTTCATCCTGGAGGACGCCGATCCAGGTAGTCACTCATCTCAACAACATTGTTATTCACTCAAAAACATTCAACATGGACATTGATGTCGAGCAATCTGAATTCTAAACCCCACACCAGACACACTCCTCTCGCTTGGCTCAATTACAACTCGAACATGAAATGCGAAGCCTCGCTTTGGCAAGGAAGGAAATTGCCGATCAGCCAGCTGCTGACACGATCCTGGATGACAAGGCTTTTTCTCGTCTCGTGCTTATCGCCAACCAGACCCCAGATCATGCACACCATGCGGTAGCGCACTATGCTGCTTTGCTCGCCAGCACAGCAGACAGAGGCGAGGAGCATCTGCGTATGCTAGTGGACGCAACAGAAAGGTACAAAAAAGCGATGGTTGCGAGAAGGCAGGCAAAGGTAACGAGCGCCTATGATCATGCGCACGCAGTCAAGAAATACGAAGCGGAACATATTCCTGAGCCGAGTTCTGTTAAGACTGGTTGAATGTGCTTAGAACTGTGACTACATAAGTATCATATCTTTCATCGTTTGTTGTGTTCTACTTCTTTCAAGGAACCAAAGGATGATGTCGTAGTAACCAATACGTCCTCGCTTGAAGAAGAAGAAGACGAAAAAGAAGACAGAGAAAGCAAAGTATGACTCCTAGCCTCCTTTTTTAGGACCTAGAAGTGTAGTAGAAGTATGGGTATGCTTTTGGTGCACTCTCTAACCCCCGCATCGCAGTCTTTGACGCAGCAAAGGTCGAGGAAGATCTGGCGAAAGCTTGGGCACTGTATGCACATTCGAGTTGCAGTGAGCTTCCAGCGGGACTGGCGTCCGGGCTGAGCAATTTGTTGCAGCGCCGTATTGCAAGAGCGCAAATGTATTACTCGAATGCTTAAAGTGCTTTGGAGAAATGACACTGACAAAGACAAATCCATTTACATACTCGAACATTGTGTACTTAGACTTACTAGCCTAGAGCGACGTGTAGCTCATTTCCGCACTAGAATCACCACGCACCATCACAAACCAAAAAAAAAACATGCCGGCGCACGTGCAGGCACCGACCTAAAACTTGCTCTATGCACCCACAGAAAGGAAACCCTTCCACATCCTGAAGGACAGCCAAAAAGGCGCCCGGAAGGGGGAGAGGCGTTCTGGGATCTAGTAACGTCCGAGAAAAGTAGCCGAGGCCGCTGCCCTCTCTCCTTCTATTAATGTCCGAGAAAATTGGCCGGGGCCGCTCCCTCCCTCTTCTTCTATATTAATTTGTCTGAGAAAATACCGAGACCGATGGACAGGGGGAACCGCTGCCCCCCTCTTCTTCTATTAATGTCCGAGAAAAGCCGAGGCTGACCCGATGGATAGGGCGGCGGCTGTCTCTCTTCCTCTCCTTTTATTAATGTCCGAGAAAACCCAAGACCGATGGACAGGGCGGCTGGCTGCCCTCTCTCCTTCTATTAATGTCCGAGAAAATTGGCCGGGACTGCTGTTCCCCTCTGCTTCTATTGAAATTAATGTCTGAGAAAAGCCGAGACCGATGGACAAGACGGCGGGCGGGTCTTCTATTAATGTCCGAGAAAAGCCGAGGCCGATGGGCTGGGTGGTGGCTACCCTGGTCTTCTTCTATTAATGTCCGAGAAAAGTAGCCGAGGCTGCTGCCCTCTCTCTTTCTATTAATGTCCGAGAAAATTGGCCGGGACTGCTGTCCCCCTCTGCTTCTATTAATGTCCGAGAAAAGCCGAGGCCGGTGGACTGACTCCAGGGTGGCGCGCGGCTGTCCTCCTCTTCTTCTATTAATGTCCGAGAAAAGTAGCCGAGGCGGCTGCTCTCCTCTTCTTCTATTAATGTCCGAGGAGAGCCGAGACCGATGGACAGGACGGCGGGCGCCCTCTTGTTCTTCTATTAATGTCCGAGAAAAGCCGAGGCCGATGGGATGGGTGGCGGTTGCCCTGGTCCTCTTCTATTAATGTCCGAGAAAAGTAGCCGAGGCCACTGCCCTCCTTCTGTTCTTCTATTAATGTCTGAGAAAAGTAGCCGAGGCTGCTGCTCTCCTCCTCTCTTTCTATTAATGTCCGAGAAAAGTCGAGACCGATGGAGAGGGCAAGACACGGCCTACCCTTCTTTCAGCGCTTGGCCTTCAATTTTGGCCAAGTTGCTAAGTTTTTGACTTTAAGCCATTCGAGTGAAATTAGAAACCTGACCGACCCGGGCGCGGTGTGTCCTTCTCTTTCTGATCCAGCGCGGGCGCTTCTCTATCTGGGCTGGAAGGTCTACAAATTTTAGCCAAAGCGCCAGCTTTTTGACTTTGATCAATTACAATTTGGGCGAAATTGGAAACCCATCGCGCGCACGGTTTCCCCTTTTTTCGGCGTTTGTTAGTTTTTGAATTTTGGCCAAAGTGCTAAGCTTTTGATTTTCAACCATTTGGAGGGAAATTAGAAACCAACCGCGGCTGGGATGCGATAGCACGGATTCCCCTTCTTTCGGCGTTTGTTAGTTTTTAACTTTTGGCTTAAGTGCTAAATTTTTGATTTTAAACCATTTGGAGCGATATTTGAAACCAACCGCACGCACTGCCTCCCTTTTTTTTCGGCGTTTGTTTTTTAATTTTGGCCAAAGTGCTAAGTTTTTGACTTTAAACCATTTGGAGCGAAATCAGGCACCTGGCTGGGATGGGATAACATTAGAAACCAACCACGCGCACTGCCTCCCTTTTTTCTCGGCGTTTGTTTTTTAATTTTGGCCAAAGTGCTAAGCTTTTGATCTTAAACCATTTTGAGCGAAGTTAGGCACCTGGCTGGGATGGGATAGCACCGCTTCCCTTTTTTTCGGCGTTTGTTAGTTTTTAAATTTTGGCCAAATTGCTGAATTTTTGACTTTAAACCATTTGGGGGGAAATTAGAAACCAACCGCGCGCACTGCCTCCCTTTTTTTTCGGCGTTTGTTTTTTAATTTTGGCCAAAGTGCTAAATTTTTGATTTTAAACCATTTTGAGTGAAATTAGGCACCTGGCTGCGCTGGGATGGGATAGCCATCGGGATCTAAACCATCGGGATCTAAACCATCGGGATCTAAACCATCGGGATCTAAACCATCGGGATCTAAACCATCGGGATCTAAACCATCGGGATCTAAACCATCGGGATCTAAACCATCGGGATCTAAACCATCGGGATCTAAACCATCGGGATCTAAACCATCGGGATCTAAACCATCGGGATCTAAACCATCGGGATCTAAACCATCGGGATCTAAACCATCGGGATCTAAACCATCGGGATCTAAACCATCGGGATCTAAACCATCGGGATCTAAACCATCGGGATCTAAACCATCGGGATCTAAACCATCGGGATCTAAACCATCGGGATCTAAACCATCGGGATCTAAACCATCGGGATCTAAACCATCGGGATCTAAACCATCGGGATCTAAACCATCGGGATCTAAACCATCGGGATCTAAACCATCGGGATCTAAACCATCGGGATCTAAACCATCGGGATCTAAACCATCGGGATCTAAACCATCGGGATCTAAACCATCGGGATCTAAACCATCGGGATCTAAACCATCGGGATCTAAACCATCGGGATCTAAACCATCGGGATCTAAACCATCGGGATCTAAACCATCGGGATCTAAACCATCGGGATCTAAACCATCGGGATCTAAACCATCGGGATCTAAACCATCGGCGGATGTGTGTGGCGGTGTGTTTTTTTTTGAGCGTTTTGAAAATTGGTTGTTTATTGTTCAAATTGTTTTTGTATTAACATTAATACGGACACAACTTCCTACATCAACACGATCCACATGACCTTCATCTGATTATCATCTTCATGCTTGTTATTCCTTAGTATGATATTCTCCTCTTCTTGAGTCCTCTGTACAACTACAACAGCCTCTATTTATAAGCGGGTAGAATAAATCGTCAGGGAAATAACAAATCTTAGGCAGTCTTCCGAATAGATTCGCGCCCCCCTCAACATGTCCTCTGCGCTCCAAAATCTATTATCACACTAACAACAACAGGCCTTCCCCCTCCGACCTGGCGACCGGTGGCACAGCTTCTCGCATTTATCAGACTGCGAAGGGCAATGCGTGGTTTTTGACCCAATGCACTGGTGGAGCGAAACATCATTTAACCGAGATCGGATGCTTAAGCGACGACACAGCCTCAAATGGAGAAGGAAAGACATCGGGAGGAGCATTTTGTTAAGGCTTCTTGATGTTTATTGGCGGTCTGATAGGTTTTCATTACGATTCTTCTACGCGGGATGTCAACGTGCTGCCAGTAGTTGCTCCACGTCTACACCGTTTTCTCTTTGACTTGTACCTTCTCCTCATCTTCATGTTTGAAAATTTGATCATGATTGTTGAGTTCATCTTCTCCCTCTTTCTCTAATCCCAGCAATCCACTTCGATGATGGCAGCAGTGGCGGTCGGAGTTACCGCAGCAGGCCTGTACGCGGCTGCGGTCCAGACGGATCGGTTGCCGCCACCAGGCGATCTAATTCGTGGAGGCTCAGACATGTTCCAAAACCTGCACATGGACGAAACCTTGACTCAAGTAAAGACGTCGATCAAGAAAAGTTATGACTTCCCTAGAAGAGTAGGTGTTGTACTAGTCCATCTCTATGTCTTCTGTAGGGATCGAAATCGATCGTCGGTTCCTCAAGTATCCTCGTATGTATCTACTTAACTAAGTAAGTAGGCAATAACACAAAGGATTGATATTCTACTTGAGGGATAGATACCCTATAGCTACAGGGACGGCGGACTTTCAATTGGTACTATCTCTAAAACACCGAAAAGATGGAAGCTCTGAGCAAGAATGTGATCGTTCCGATCAACGATTATGTGGGCAAACGAGTGACGAAGCTCACGACCGGTGCTAAGAGTGCTCTGGCCTCCACGCGGCAATGCGTAGTTCAGAGGGTGACCAGTGACAATTGGACATTTCTCGGGTTTGGCGGCAGTCATAGTGCCTCCGACAGTTCTCTGGATAAGCATGACACGGCTGGCGTAGGTGGGGCGCCGGAGATTAATGCATGATCATCACGTGGTTGATGACGGTTGGGAAAGCAAGTCTTGTCCACGCGAACGATCATTGATGAGGGTTGGGTAAGCACTAAGACTAACGATATTCATCATAAGTCTCATTTAATACTTCAAGTTGAATTATGATTCAAATATGACTCGTCTCTGTCTCTGTGGCATGAGACTGCAGAGGATTTCTACTTTTGGGAATGCCCGTTTTTTCAATTTTTGGGAGTTTTTCTTGATACTTTTCATTGCAGTATTGTTCAAAAATTGATTTCTTGTCTGTACAAATTCAAATTAAGAAGCGAAGAATATGTGAAAGGACGTCTTCGACAACGGATGAGATTGTCATGGTAATTAGAATTGTGTAGTAGAAGATGTCTCCAAAAAAACCCAATAGACAAACAACGACTGATCTTATTGAAAAAGTTGTGTAGCAGGTCTGAACTATGAATGATTAACATTAACAGATTCTCAGGTTGAGAAATTTTTCACTCTTCACGCACGTCCCCATGCGTTTTGCATGGTGTATGAAAAGAGCATGTGCGGACACGTGAAGGGAGATGAATTGGGTATTGTTCCGATAATTATGCCATTAAAGAATTACTGAGCTATTTCTCTTTTCATCTGATGTGCAGTGAAGATCATCAAACTTTAACGAGGAATATCTGTGTATTTGTAGTCAGATTTCGAGTTGACTTCCTTCAATGGCGTTCCTTCGATCATTGGTTTTTGATCAGTGGAGATGTATTTGTTTCAAGCTTTTGTACGAGTAGAAAAATTTATTGTAACACTTTTATTGCTCTTGCTGGGGTACATTGAATATACGCAGCTGCCACTAGCAAGGGGCGTGATTGATGGAAGTAGACTGAAAATTTTGGGCGCCGGGGGGCTCTCGTATGTTGAATAAAGGTAGATGGAGATTTGAGAATATTGAGAATTAATGATCTCACGGCCAGCAAGGGCGAGCTAACCCATATTGCTGCGCCTCCAATGTTTTGTAGTTTTGCTATGGTGCATACTGTTACTGATACTAATACTTACGAGACAAGATGATGGACAGCTACTTCTGACTTGTTAGAGTTTTTTTTCCGATCCCCAGTAAGTTCCACCATGACTCGAACTAAGAAATTGAAGTGATACAAAATAATTTGCAAAAGCACATCTAGAGAAATAGGCTTCAGAAAACAAGCAACTACATCGTTTTGTCGATGTACGTACAGGAGGACGAAAGAAAGACTTGATAGTCTTCCAGGAGGAGTTCGCATCTATTGTTCTTGTGGGCCCCGACAAATCCAAGAAGTGCAAAAACATGTAAATATCCAAATTGAGCTTTCCAAAGGGAGAACATCAACGGGAGTTTCGTCTATCTGAAATTTGCTAAAGGCCCAGTACAACTAGAACGCTCAGGGGACGACACCACAATGGCCTCTATCAGTGCCATGATTCCTCCTGAGCTGTAGAACCCGCATCGCACACTACAACTACAATGGCCTCTATCAGTGCCATCATTCCTCCAGATGGGGGCGACGAACTTCCTGCCTACTTCGGGTCGCAGGTTCCCTTCGTTCGTCGACTACTGAGGGATTCCCCCGAACTGATAGTGCACTTGAAGCACACCGATCGATTCCACTACGAGCACGTCAGAAGAGTGATGGGCGACTTTAAGGACTGGTGTACTAGGAAGTTATATTCCATTTGCTTTTTTGTGCTGCTTGTGCAGGTGAGATCCAGCAGGTGAGTGTAGTCATATTTAATCAGAGCCACAGCACTGCTACTTACATGTCATCCATCAGACCTCGACATTTTCTCTCTGCTTCTAACTCGCTGGCTCCATCTTCAAAAGCAAAGACCTAGCTAAATCAAACTACCTCCGAATAGCTTCATACACTCGACTTAAAAAAGGTCAAACTGTTTGACGGTGAATCAAATCCTATCCTATCCTACGGACATCTTCAGGGCCAATCCCTCTTTCTGGCACAACTGGCTACGGGATGGAGGCTTACCGGATCCCGAGATGGACCCAGAGTTCGCCCAAATGCGACCGGAACAAGTTCGGACACGCATGCGAACCTGGCTGAAATATCCGGAAAGGGCCTTGAGCATCAGATGGCAAGGAATTTTGACCGATATGATCCAAACTTTGACGGATCTAGGGATGCAGCTGAATGAGATTTATGTTGGACGATTTGGTTATATTTTTTGTCTCGGGAATGTTTGTCGTTTTTCTTTTTCTGTGAATCCTCTTGCGGAGTCACTTCACAATGATCAACTCGAGGTTCACTCATTATTGAACAATCCAAACCTACCCACTTCTACGTACTTTTTTAATGCTTGCTTTTTTCCACCTTTCATTCCCCATATTCCCTACTTTCGCAAGACCGATTTTCTTCCGTCGCGCTATGTGAAGTCTTTTGTAGCGCTGACGAAAACCTAGCAGTGGTGACGAAAAAAGCACGCAAACGACGACGAAAATTCGTGGACCGTTTTTTCCTAGATTCCCGGCAAGAAGATCACTTGTTGATGTTTTTTTATGGCTTTTGATTTTGCTTTTCTTTTCTATGTATAGCTCTAGTACTCGAAAACTGAAAATAACCGAGTTACTGACTGAAATGAGGGAGGTAGCTTTGACAGGGCTACTCCTCCTTGTTCAGTATCTCGCCTATTTTCAGTAGTTACTCGCTGATTTCAGTTTTTCGAATGTATTTTGTAGGCGAATATTCCCAGTCCAGCACTATTGTTCTAGTCCACCCTCTTTCATCTTCGTAACTAAGACAAGGAACAGTCTCTCTTCTACTTCACCTATCGTCCTCACCACTCTCTAACCTGCTCTCGAGTGGCGACGCCAGGCTGAATATGAACGCGATATTGAAGTTTTAAAGGCGTACGTCGAGAACACTAAGGAACAACTGGCCAATGCCATAGAGGCGAACGCGATGCATGACTTCTTAATGACGTTTAAAGTGCGGCTGGAGGAAGAAGTCTTGCCAAAGCTGGAGGAAACGGAGAAAGAACTAAAAGAAGTCAAAGCAGAGTTGATCGTTTTGAGGAAAGAAAATAAGAAGTATGGCTTGAAGGGGTGATCATGATGGTCAACAGCACATAGTGTTTCATACGAACGATGAAACAAGTTGTAATTGTGCTACTTACATCAACTGTATGTTGAAGACCTCCTCCTGCTTATTATAGGCTGCATTGCCATTCTCAGTTTGGTACTGAGCACATCCACACTAACGCGGCCAGCACTAGTAAGCGCACGCTTTTTCTCTGTTCCAGCACTCTACTTTTTCATCACCTCCTCATCTTCGAACCCTCATCTTCTAACCCAAACTAAAAGACGAACTCAAAAAGACCAAGCGTGAACTCGAGATAACAAAACAACTGCTGGAGCGTATCAATCGCAAACTCAGAAGGTGGATTCCGCGCGTAGGGGAGATGGGCACGCGCATGCTCCGTTGGATGGAAGAAGCTCTGGTGCGATTTGCTTTGTCGTTAAGTCTCGGCTTATTCTTATCCTCCCTTGATCTCGGCTTCTTCTTATCCTCCCTTGATGATGTCTAAGTGTATTAAGTCTATGTCTATCCCCTATTAAAGAGGACCCCATGATCGTCCACATTATTTCGCCCTACTAAAGAGGAGACCATGATCGCCCACATTATCCCGCCCTATCAAAGAGGACCCCATGATCGTCCACATGTCCTAGTACTTAAGTTCCAATGATCTCATCTAAACCCCGGTTTCCTCACCAACCGTTATCGCGGCTTAAAGTACCGCTTTCAGCAGTTGTCAGCGGAGCATATAGATACGCTACAGAAAGTCGAAGACGATGCCAAAGAAATGAACAGATTGAATGACAATATTGCAGATCTCGAGCTCAAAATAAGTGGCTTGGAAGAAGACGTGCGACATAATATTGGTACAGTCAGCACTTCTAGTCTTGTGAATGAAGATTGTTCTAGTCTTGAATGTTCTATCCTCTTTCCCAACGTCGATCTTTCAAGTGCGCTATTTCCTCCGTTCAAATCATGTCTTATATATAATACCCCAGCTTAATAATGAATTTCAATCATACCCCAGCACAAAAAATGAATCACTCGTCACAGAGCGCAAAAAGCACTACGCTGAGCGGTCTAGGATGGCGAAAAACGAGTGTGATCAATTGCGCGAAGCTCGCATTGAACTCGAGACTGAGATCCGCGAAGTTTTGCTCCCTAAAATCCAGAAGCTGGAATCTGACTTCGAGGCTTTCCGACAACAAGTTAAGACTTGCAGCAAGTTGACTGACCTCAGACTCAGAGCATATCTATGACCATGACCGTTTGGCGGGGGACTAAGTACTTAGGATAGATTATATGCGAGCCAGATCGGTCACCTTGCAGCCGCTAAACAAGCTGCCGCAACCGAGCAGAAATTGCGCAAGAACATTCGCCAACTAGAAAACGACTTGGCAGAAATGACTGCGAAATACAAGTTTGAGAAACGGGAAAAAGAACTTTATGAACAACGAGCAGCTGACTTTGAGGCGAGATGTGCGGAACTACAGGCAAAGAATGCCAGTTTGGAGCAAGAAAGCGCAAATTAAGGCTTACTTTAATTTAAGAATCGTCTTTGAATGTGCTTCCAAGGGGAAAGCAGAACAAAGATGCACTCGGAGGTGAATTGAAATAAGCTCTAAGCAAAGCAGAAGAGGAAAATTGCACATTTAGTCCGCGAAAACAATTCCCTTACTTTGCTGACCCAAGGCATTGGGCCACCTGTTCCAGGAGGCTATCTATGTTTGCTTTGTCAGGAAGATATTGCTGCGCAGAACCGCATTGCAAAAGCAGAAACCGCAATACTAGGTAGCGGTAAGAAGATGGGCGCTTCTAATGGACCTACTCTAGCTACAACAACATCTTCTGTACTATCGTCTCTTAGTCCACTGAAAAAAAGTGGTCGGATGGGGAGATCTGTTTCTCCTGGAGACGGAGTGGGACATACAGATGAAAGTGGAGCGAAAAGAGGAGCACCAGAAGCAAACGCTGTTGCAGGAAATCATAGTCCTGGAGATTTTGAAGTTGAACCTTTCGATCATCGTCTAGTTACTTCACGCGATCTAGTGACGCCACCTTCTGCGTTTACAACTACTGGTAGTTACATCCAGAATGAGAACAAAAATAGTCTGACAACTAATTATAATACTAGTAGGGCATTTACACCTCCAAGAGCAGCTGTCCCACCAGGTCCTGCGAGTGCCAACAAGAACAAGAATCTTAGAACCAGATATGGTCCTGGCGCGTCTGCTTCTGCAACGCCACCACGTGGACGAAATTCGGGTTCTTTCTTCGCAGAGCATGGTGCAAATGGAAAAGCGCTCCGCAGACGTAGTGCAGGGTCAGCAGAAGCAATAAAGCGCATGATTGATGAAGAATTGGATCATCCTCGGGAAAATAGAGGTGGAGGACAACGGGATCAAACATCTGCACCTTCATCTAGCAGCTCCTCTACAACCAACTACAACATTTCTCCACCAAAGCCGAGTATGCGGGATTTGAGCCAGCTTCTGTTCCCACCAGGCAAGCACGTCGTAAAACAAGCGGAGAGGATAGTGGATCATCGACTGGCGTCAACATTTCACCTAACGGCGGTTTTGGAAGATGAGGAGCAGGAAGAGGGCCCAAGAGGAGATGTGTCAGACGGGCACGACACAGAGATAGAGAGTAGAACGGAATCAAGAGATTTACCTTTAGGAACAACTTTATCATCTCCAGGTCCTCAGGGTGGTGGTGGTGGTTTTGTTGGTGGTGGGGAATCTGGTAGGGAGACGGACGATTCTGGAAGAAGTAGAGAAAGAGAAGGAGTTGGAGTACACGCTGGAAGCCAACAAGCAGAGACAGAAACAGGAGAACAAAAATCGTTTCCAAAATCTACACAGATGGAGAATACACCGTTATCAAAAACTGCTGAAGCAAACTACGATTGAAAAGAATACTTAGGACTAAATTTCAATGTGTAGGTGTGGAACGCCAACATGGCACACTCAACTGAATCTTCCCTACGGCTGTAGGGACTGTGGTCCACTGCTGCTAGGGTCGCAAATACACAAAAATTGTAAATCTCGACATTCCTCAATGATGTTGTTGAGGTAACGTGAGGATGCTGTAACCTATTAGTTACGCTACAAACCAAAAACATCGTGTACGAAGATCCGCGCGGCATTAAAAAAAGAGATCTAGCGACTTTGCACGCCCTGACAAATGAATCGCTATACAATCGATCGGCATAGCAACCTTCTGTCTGTCTCGTTGTTCCACAGTTACGTCATTGCGCATTAAAAACAAGCAGCGCTTCTAGCCCTTGTTCATGGTCAAATCGACAAGGAACTTCAGATCTATTCGTACTAGCCTCTTCTACGTTCTTTTTACCTTTACGGTCTATCTCTTTGTCTAGGTTACAACGGCACCAGGAGCTCTTTGTCTAGTAAAGGTGATGCCTCGCCTTCCTGCCGACAGGAAGCGGAGGCGCGAACACGTGGTCCAATCTTCGCATAGCCTGTTACAGGTGCAACCAGGGGAAAGGAGCCTGCCGTGGAACAGCGTTTGTGGCCCCCACGGAGAAGGTGTTCGCGGAGCGTCTGGCTGACAACCACATTGCGAAAACGCGTCTGAACGACTATCACATTGGCCAGAGCGTCTTGCTCCGCGGCACGGGTAAGTGGAAGAAGCGAAAGACGCCTTTTGCGGCAAAAATCGCCGAACTCTTGGAGAATCACAAACAGGAGGGCCCCTTCGCGGAAGATTCCCCAGGACCGCATGTGAAAGTACGGTACGACATGGATCCGGAGGGATCGAAGATCATTGCGCTTTGGAAATTCGAAGAAATGCTGGCCAATTGATCCGCTTCTCAGTACGATGCAACAGGGCATGCGAAAAAGGCAAGGGGGTAATAATCTACTTGGAGGAGGGACTTACTAATATTAGTATTGGATTATTTACAAAGACACCGGAGATGGTCGGTTAAGCTGTAGTGCTGGTCATCGTGTAGCGTATGAAGCACGAATTGGCCACTGGATGTGGATCCTTACTCGGGGGCTGCGCATCCTACACTCCGGCACGTAATTGCTCGCTTTTACGGGGCCGCGCATCCTAAAAGCGGCTCATTCTTGAATCTCATTCGAATGCGCGCCCCAGTCTATTCGATTCAATTTTTTCGTAGTTGTGGCACGTCCATTCTATTCGATCTCATTCTAGTATTCTTTTTCATTCTTAGAATTCCAATTTTATTCTATTCGATTTCATTCTATTCGATTATTGTGGTTGAGCTTGTGCCACGTCAACAATGCACGTGCATGGAGCGTACAACATGAATCCCGCCTGTTGTTACTCATGTATCGCTCCTGGGGCTCATATCATATTGGATGATCTGGATCTGGTGAATCAGGCGCGGCTCACTGCGACACTGTGCTACCGTTTAAATTCTTGATCTTCCTAATTGCCGCCCGTGTGAAGAAAGTAGATGTGAAGAACAATGATAAAACGATAGATCGGTCTAAGAACAGAGAACGCAAGAACAGCCTTGTGTCTTCTTCTGTCGTAAAGATTCGTCAAGAGAACACAGCAGGATCATAGAAAGTCGAAGATGATCGGAGATTTGAGGGTCGTGAGGCACGACTAAAAATATCTTCTGTGGAGTACTTCTAGTGTTAGCAACTAGAGAGACTAATCGGTCCAGGAGCCACCTTCATCAGGAGAAGTAGAGGAGATGAAGAGGTACTGGATGGACTCCTCAGTCGTGATAGAGAATAAGGTCTTCTTGGTGTCGTCTGCATAGAGATCCTCATTCCACATTCACTCTCTGATCACCAGGCCTTGCTGTGCGCCTTCCGCCTATCACAGCGTAGCCCGCTAGTAGATCTGGTTCTCTCACTCTAGAAGACTTACAGCTAGACTACAGCCTGATTAGTTTGATGTGATCGATAACTTTACTAACGCTAATCCTCATGTTGTAATCCTAATTCTATAATCCTAATGCTAGAATCCTCATGTTATATGTAATCCTAATGCTATAATCCCAATGCTATAATCCCAATGCTATAATCCCAATGCTATACTAACGCTAATGTTATCCTGTCGTTGCTAGTCTCCTCAACCTCATTTGTCTTCGCAGATTGCCTATCTTGCCTTAGGAGTAGTTGCGTAGTTCTCTACTATATAAGTGCTGGCACTATGCATCGTGGTGTAGTACTAAGTGGTGAGACAAATAGAATGCGACCCTTTTGTATGACTCTCTTCACAACTCTTAATCCCTTCTAGTACTTAATATCTAACCCTCACGGAACATAGAAGATCTTACTTTCCGATTCTCGTTATCTACTGACTTTACTTAGAAGTACTAGCGTACTAAACTGTACTAGCTTAGAAGTACTGTACTAGCTTGTTCAATCATCCTCGTCCCTAACAGTTTACGAGTAGAGCAAATCCGTATAATCCGTATACTTAGAACGCTCGCTCAATAGCTTTGCCTGAAGATGTTTTCTCGTTCTCCCTAGTTCCAGCATAATTTCTCTACTGCCACTAATATCATTGCTGAATTTGTAGCATTACATCAATTACTCTACAATGACAGTGGAATTATAGACCTTCTGTGCAAGGCATTGCAGACACCTCTTGCTAGGCACATTCGTTCATTTACTGTTCTGTACAGCAAGATGGGCATTCATGATAAATTAGTTTGAGCAGACCACATCTTATCATCTACGAGTCTCGAAACATGTACATTAAGATTTTTTAGATTAACTATCCTATCCTATCCTATCCTATCCTATCCTATCCTATCCTATCCTATCCTATCCTGTCCTCCACTTAGTTCGATTTCATTGATATGTTTCTCCTTGTCCAGCCTCGTTTCTCCAAACAAATTCAAAGTAGCGACGCAAATGCAGGCAGACCCCTGTTTTGTCTTCATCAGACATTCTATTGAAGTTGTAACTAACTGTCACTAACAACATAGTACTTGTACCCATAGCACATATTTACAGCGAGAACAACATATTTACAGCGAGAACAACATATTTACAGCGAGAACAACATATTTGCAGCGAGAACAACATATTTGCAGCGAGAACAACATACTTTTTATTTACAGCGAGTAGAACAACACAGCGAGAATAACATTCTTATTTACAGCGAGAACAACATATTTAGATTTACAGCGTTAAAGAACCGACGACATCAGTAACGCCATTGAAACGAACAGTACAAGGAACATACATACATAGGTAGTCATAAACAACAACGATGAACGCTCTCACGGACCTCGACGACGTCTCTCCTATGAAGGCACCGATGCAACCGCCTGCACTACCACCAGCTCTGGCGTCCAAAGCTCAACCTGGTGCTCAAGAACGTAACAAGGATCATGCTAGTCCTAGAATTGAGACTTCAGCATCTGCTGGCAGTCGTAGTTGGTCGAAGCCCGGAGCAGATGCTCCCTGTAAGGCTACGGAATTGACTAGTACAACTTCATCTGGATCTACTGGCAGTAGTTCCTCCAGCAGTTGTCCTAGTACAACTGGGACGTGTAGTACTGGTGAAGAGGACCTACTACAGGTACACGCAGATGAGATTCTGTCAGCGAAAACACAATCTTCATCTTCCTCTGGTACAAAAGACGAAGTAAAACAACTATCTCAAGAACCTCAGGGTGAAGCTCCTTCAACTACAAGAAGAACAGTTGATGAATCGCCAACGCAGCCGCTTGTCCCACCACCTCCGCCTCCACCTTCGGATCTTTTGCCTTCTATGGTAGCTGCAGTAGATGCTGTGAAAAACCAAGACGCCACTTCTGCTGGGGGACCAGAGGTTGAACCCGGGGGTACGAATCCTTCTGGAGCTTCAGCACCTTCAACACCAGTTGTACCAGTCATCAAAAATAACATGAAGAAGTCATCAAAAATAACTGTGTCCAGCATGGGGTCGAAAAATGCTTCTTTCGTTGGAGGTGCACCTCCATCAAGATCTTCCTCCAAAGATGAGCATATTAGCGTTACCAGTTGTATTTCTACTACTTCCCGAGCTCTAGGTGCAGTACAACAGGCAGGAGCCGTACAGGTGCAACCTTCAGTACAACAACCTTTGCTGGCAGGTGCAGGACTACCAGTACAACAACCTTTGTTGCAAGTTGAAACATCACCCTGTCTTCACCCTGGCGATGAAGATGGGTCAGTGGTTAAAATGTTCGCGGGGTTACTGGAACTTCTCGAACAAAAAGACCAGGAGATTCTCAACTTGAAGAGTGAGATTACACGTCTGAACCTTGCGCAGTGGTCCTTGGCGGATGAGAAGGTATTTGATTCTTTTATGTATACAGATTATACAGAAGTTTTTACGCTGTGTAAGTGTTGTATGTCTATGTTGTACTTCTATCTAGTGAGTGCATATGATCTATGACCAACTATTTATAGTGTGTACAATTTCTATGTACTTTAATATCTAGTGAAGCTTCCTTGTCCCTCTCCCTTTCCCGGCTCATGAAGATTCTTCATTTCTATTTATCTATTGTCTACTCCTCCTCCAGGACGCTCTCCAATACGCTTTCGATGCTCTTGTCGAGGCCAACGACGCAGCTCTGGAGGAAAACTCTTCGACTGTCAGTAAAAACCTCCTTTTGGAAGGGACGCCGGATCTTGGAGTTGTGAATTTGACAGGAACATCAATTCGTCGTGGTGCTAGTGCTTCTTGCCCACGACCTCGTAAAAGTAACGCCACTGCGAATCACGTGCTGACAGGAGGTGAACATCAACACATTACAGGAGGAGGACAACAATTCCACGACCAGCAAGAAGTATACGATCAGCACACGACGATGAATAATGTTGAGAATCAACAGACTGCTTGTCAGCATCAAGTGGAGCAATTAGTATTGCTTTCGCCTGAGTGCGTCGTTCCTCCTCCTCCTCCGCCAGACGGACAAGAAGACGAACTAGTACTTGAAGGACAGGAAGAGTCAATATTGATGCCGAGTCAAGTGCTGAGTCAAAATCAAGAACTAGTAACGGCTGGTGATCAATGCACTACTTCTTACTATCAGCATTACATCAGTAGCGGAGAGGAAGAGGGCGTTGGACATGGGACTGGTGATTCCCAACAACTGCATAGTATGGGGATGGAATTCTACAGTGCAACTACTGGTGGCGGCGAACATTATTTGATTGAAGAGCAGTTACAACAAATAGCTGTTGGCTATAATAGTTACAATCATCCAATAGGAGATCATCAGCATCAGGCTTATCTTATAGGCGACATGCAAACGACTGGAAACATTGGAGATCAGCATCAGGCTTACCTCATAGGCCGCGATCATCAGTCCTCGTACCACCACGATCTCAATAATATGCAGAGTACATCAGCAGGCTCTTCATCTGCTTCTGAAGCCAATGGACCACATGGAGGAATCATTGAGCAACATGATTACAATTTCATTAACAGCTTGCTTCTGGAGCAGGGATATCATGGAGGAGGAGCTTTCGTAGTAGACCCTTCACCGTCTTCCGCATCGTCATACCACGCAAATGGTAATACTTCTACGATGTTGAATACTTTGGGCGGAACAACAGGTATCATCTCCTCTATGGAGGACGTCGCTCAACATTTGTTCGATGGCTCAAGCTCAACCTCAGCTGTTGGCCTTGGAGCAGAAGTTGATGGAGATTCTAGTATTTATTCGACAAATGGAGGTACAGGTATTACTAGTTCAGCAAGTATGAATCTCGTACGCGGCCTAGTCTCCAAGGGAGCTGGTGCCGGAGGGGATGCACTTGCTTCTCTACGTGGAAGCGGAAGCTCCGAGCATCAACTACATCAGAGTGGTGCAAATACTTCCTCCTCGTCTACAACTGTAGTTTCTTCAGCATCTCTTTCGTATACAGGAGCAACTACTACTTCTTCCAAAGGAGGTGGAGGCGCACCTAGAGCTACCAATACGAAGAAGGGTGGTGGCAATGGACATGGCACAGGTGGAAATACGAACAACTCTTCTAGTACAACTGGAGGTGCTGGAGCTGGTACTAGTACTGGCTCTTCTACTTTTGGTAGTAGTTCTACAAGCGCTTCCGGAGGTCCGAATCGGCCAGATGCTATGATGTCCTCGATCGGCAGCAAGAATGCCGCGTTTGCGTCCAAGGGTGAGGGTCGCGTTGCCCAACGGTTACTCCAAGATCATCTTCCCGATGGAGGTAAGCAGAATGACACGACCAGGGCGGATAGGATGAAGAAGGGAGGAGGTGGTAAGGCGAATAGTTGTACCTCTTCCAGTGGTAGTTGTACTACTTCTTGCGCTTCACACCGTGACTATAAAAGTGGTCCTCTTGCTGGCTACAACAAGAACAATCTAGCACAAGCTCAAGGGCAAAACAAGTCAGCTGAAGATGCAGCGAACGAAAAGTTGAAGGAAAGGCTTCTCCACGAAGCTGAGAAGATGAAACGCAATGGAGCAACTGAAGAACAAATCCATGCATCCTTGACGCGCATCGCTTCTGTTGCGCACAAATTGAAGCGAACCTCATCCACGACGTCCTCAAACCACAGTACTAGAAGTCAACAGGGTACTCCATATTCCAAAGGGCAGCAACATTCTGCTCATCAGGCTCAATATCTTCAAGGGGAAACCAATACGGCTACGAATACGAATTACAATGTTGGAGGAAATGCTTATGCACCAAATGCTCGCACAACTTCATCTAGCACTAGTACTGCAACTGCTATTAATTCATCCTCTAAGGCTGCGGGAATAAACGGAGGTGGAAAAGCTGGTGGAGGTGGAAAGCAACATCAGAGTTATAATAAGAACTATTTGAACCAACAGCACCACCACCAGATGAGTGCTGGTCAGTATAATACCGGTCAACAGGGTCAGGGAGGTGGGTCTAGTGCTGCGTATCATGGACGACATGGTGGAGGTGGGTACCAACAGCACTACAACTCAACAACACACTCATCTAGTGGTATGATGTCCTCGATGTCCTCCCACAATAATAATGCGTCTTCTTCTACCTCTGGAAGTAGGTGTACTTCCGGTGGGCAACAACCAGTGAACTACGATGCTTTTGGAAAGAAAGGTCTTTCATCGAAGTCCTCGGCTCTAGAGCCGATGATCGTGTCTCATCAAAATAGCAAAAAATCTGGCTCAACAACATCTGGTGCAGCTCCATCAAATCCAAATTCGAAAAAAGGAGCTTCTACCCTAGTGAGTTCTAGGACAATGAGTTCTAGTACTGAAGGATTATTACCACATCACGGGAACCACAGCCATCATCAAGACAGCAATCTTGGAGCAGGCACGACAACACCCAGTGGCAGTGAGCATGATGAAACCGGGTCCGCAGAAGGTGGAGGCATTAGCTCTACAGGTGATCATCAAGAAGACAGTGCCGACAGACGTGCACAGCAGAAGAAAAGAGCCCAAGAATTGCTCAGTCGACCAAGACGGACGTTGGCCACGACTGATTATAAAAGCTTTTCAGGAGCAGCTAACGTTAAGGCCGCTAGTACCGCTAACGCATGCCCTTAATGTCATCCACTTTGGCCTCTTTTTCAAGGAGAAAAAGGGCTCAGGGATGTGCTCAGGGATGCGAGCGCGGTAGTTCTAATAACGCACATCTTCAACATCATGGGAATAATATGAATTCTGGTCCTCAAACTGGAAGTGCTACATCTTCAGGAAATGCAGGAGGAGGAAAGCAAGGCTCTTCAGCGGGAGGATACAACCATCTGAATCTTCAAAAAGGGCATCAGCACTATGCTGGTAGTTCTTATCACGGAGGTGCTGGTGGCGGAGTAGATCAACTGCATGGGTACAATATTAACTCGAACAATAGTCAATTATACCATGAAGAACAAATGATGAACCAGCATCAACATTCTGCTCAACAGCAACAGTACAATGTTGACTATATTAACCAGCATGACCACGACGTCAATCATGGAGATCATGATCACTGGAATCCTTACCCTACAACAACTACATCAACTACTAGTAGTGATGTTCTTCAACAACCTGTTGAACATGCTCAAGTACACCAGCACTCTTCATCTCCAGAAGATGCTCATGGAGCATCCAGTGCTACGTTCGCCTCTGTTACCGCGTCTGGTCAAGAACAGAAACAACGAACTAGTACTGTTGCTGCTGTTGAAGGGCAAGGGCAACCCCAACAAACACATTCTAGTGCTGTCGTGACTGAACACAAGGCCGCATCAAAAATTGCTGCTCCTGTAGTCGCACCGCCAGTCATGGGCAATAAGGGAGGTAAGCCGCAAAGTAAGAAGGGATCTTTAAGGGTAGATTAAAGGTGTTCCTGTTACCGTTCGTTTTGCCTTTCTGAAGGGGGAAAGGCATAACGAACGGGGTAAACGAACACCAAAAGCCTACCGCTAAGATCAGCCCGCAATGCCTGGGGTGGAGCTTCAGTGCAGAAGGGTGGCCCGACTTACACTGATTTCCTGAAAGGCGCAATCGAACAGTCTTCTTGAGTATCGTAGGTACTATAGAGTTTGGTCATCATGATAATTAACAAGAACATGCTCCTCCTTCATTCTTTCATACTTATTCAAACTCATATTAAGCATTGTAGTTGTACTTAGTTACGTAACTCTGAAATCGCAATTTTTTTCAGATTCTATTTGTTAACATTGATGAACATATCTTTTCTTTAGCATTACTGGTACTGGTTTGTGTTGTACCGCAATAGCTAGTAGTTTTCATGATCTCTTCTATCTTCTCGTTCCTACGTCTATGAAACTCAACCAACGCAGTTTTCTCATTCATTAACACATTGATTCACATGACTGACGTGTAAAAAGCCCTATTGTTCATGGCACAATCAAGTTTAAAAAGTCCAATTCTTTCCATCGATTCACATACTTATTCGACAATTTACTGTTATCCACACGTTTCTTATTACTAAGGTTACAAAAACTACAACTACCATTGACAGGATCTATCTTCATTGCATGATGTCAAGCATTTCATATTTCAAATTTATTCCATCTTCAACTACGATACTATCAAATCATGATCTGATATAATTCATTCGGCGACTATTAAGTCATAATATTTACCACCTGCATGCAAGAACAGGAAGACAGTATTCTACTTTTATCTTACAAACCATCCCATAATTGAAAATTTCTGAATTGCATAGTTCTCAACAACTAGAAGTACGTAGGAAGTGTAAGTTCCTCGTCGTGCTCGTCAACATAGTATCCATGTGTACGAAAATGATTTTGAGGATGTACAGTCTTTATAATCTCTTTTGGAATCACAATCATCACATATTTCATGATCTGCATACGCCTACCGCCTATTCATAATATGTTCTGACATAAAAATCGCAGAAAAAGTTTAGAAAAAAAAGTTGCACTCTGCAGGTTGCAATCCATGTGAGTAATACCATCGTCGATTCAATAACTTGTTCCCAACCCCTAATATTTGTAGCTGTACCACAATATGTTCATAGAAAGGTAGTCCTAACAACTACTACATGCCTTAGGTAGTCGTCCGAAGTCTGTCCATCGTTGACTTCGCAGCTGCAAGAGTCCTTGCCCACGGCCCGTTGTTGGAATGTACCTCCGCCTCATGCTAGATTGACCTATTTTTGAAGACTTAGAAGAGTCGCTTAATTCTTCAAAACTACAGATGACAGTATCAAAACACCGTTACGTAGGATATTGTTTAGGCGGGTTCGTACTATGCTAGTCGTACTAGTACCTTTTGGGCGGGTTCGTACTATTGTAGTGCCTTCTACTTGTACACGAAGAACTTACTAGGCTGAACCACCAACAGCTAGGGGTACAATTTCAGCGATGCTTTTCGGCTTTCGTGAGTTTTTAGAGGTTGCGAGAGGACGTTCGCCCTCGCATGCAGGTCAAACTGCGGACGGCGGATCAATTCCTATCCTATCCTAGGAAGCCGAACACGCGCGGGCGGTGGTCAGGACGCCGAACACACGCGGGTGCTGGTCAGGACGCCGAACACGCGCGGGCGGTGGACAGGACACCGAACACACAGGGGTGGTGTCCAGGACGCCGAACACACACGGGTGCTGGTCAGGACCACTGCGTCATGATTACAATTTCAAAAAAAGTGAGCTCTTCTAGATCGACGATGGACCCCTCGACGAATAATACTCTGCCTTTTGTACTTAGTTGTCATGATCATTACTTAACCTTATCATAATCTAAAAAGATACAGCCTTAGAGTTTGCGCGACAGAATTTAGAAAAGAGAACCCCATGTATTCTGTGACTGACAACTGTTGTTCCTAAGAAAACTCCCTTGTTACTCCTGAAGAGGAGTCCGGTTCCATCTTCAATCACAACAGAGTGTGGCTACTTGCAAGAACAGCGCCGCTACTGATCCGGTTTAGAACTCAAAGGTCCGGTTCGCTGTCAGTTGTGACGAGAACACAAACAGCGTAATTGTTATTGTCATTCGTGATAAAAGAGAGCAAGGAGAGGGAGAGAGAAAGGAGACAGAAAAGAGAGGGAAAGAGGGGAATTCTGCAGCTGATGCTGAGAGGAAATTCCCACATGCGACTCACATCAACGCTTCGTAGACTGAAGTACAAGATCCATGCTTTTTTGTAGACCAAAATCCAACCTTGGTGAAACGAGATGCAACCTTAGCGGAAGACAAAAACCGTTCTTCGAAAAAGAGATCACACCTGAAGACAAAATCCGTTCTTCGAAAAAGAGATCACACCTGAAGACAAAATCCGTTCTTCGAACAAGTGATCTTCACACCTGAAGACAAGATCAACTCTTCGAACAAGTGATCTTCACATCTGAAGACAAGATCAACTCTTTGAACATAAGTACAAGATCCACGCCATCTTCTTTTCTATGCTGTTTATCAACACTCTGCTCACCCTAGTAAATTGCGAAGGGACACCCTAAAAATCACAACTATTAATCATATTGAATTCCACATTGCAGCTCATCGCCTCTTATTAAGTACAATCTTTTTTTTGGTAAAACTTACTTAGACCCGTCTTCTGGATTTGTATATTCTCCTTTCCTCTCAATATATCACTTGCCCTGTCATTTGTCATCAATTGTGTTCCTTTTTTTATGGTAAATGTTCTAGGTTCTTTTGACACCACTTTTGACACTCACTCTTTTTTGGTATACAATCTTTTCGGCTAACTACTTGCCCTCTCATCTGTTATCCACTGCGTTCAATTATATCTTCTGACGAGCTCTTGGTGACACAAAAATACTTGGTTCGACGCTCCTAGTCCTCACCGTAATCCTTGTAGTCCTCGCCATCGATCTTCGAAATATATACAAGAAATATATATAATTTTCGTTATAAGCTTAAGCCGTGGTGTCGCGGTCGAATATCATTCGCTTAAGTCCGTATCCACAAAAGTAAGAGGACAGAATGAGGACTCATCATCACCAGCACCTAACATCTTCTGGAGGTCGTCTCGTCAAGATGTTATTTCTTACAGGAGCTGCACAACTTGTACTTGCCTCGAACGCTCTAGCAGCGACTCCAGGTTCTGCTCTAGTAGCGCGTGGCCCTCCAAGCTCTGAAGGTGAAGGCTTAGGTGATGATGCACGAGTGCTAGAAGCGGCGAGTGACGGACTCAAGAACGACGCTGCGTTTTTGTCCGAGCTGCTTCGCCGCGCGGAGGTTTCTTCTGGCTCGGGCAGAAGTACAACTAGCACTTCAAAGATGACGACACGGACAGAAGCACTGAAAGACGTTTTTTCTCGCGCGGGCGAAAACCTTAGGAACGACGCTGCCTTTGTCGCTGATGTTATTCGACGGTGCGGAAGCGACGGCTTTGCGGTCAAAGATATCTTTATCGCGACGAACTCGGCGTCACTGAAGGGAGACCCCGAGTTCGTAGCCAAAGTCGTGCAAGCTTGCGGGCAAAATGTCTTTGCGGTGGAAGGGGTATTCTTTGCCGCAGGAGAGGCCGCCCGGTCGAATCATGAGGTTCGTGAGTTAGTCCGCGAACGCGTCCTGCCTATTCAGCAGCCTGGGGTGCTCGACTACGCTGGGCCTGGGACAGAGGAAGATGGCGAGGTCTTCTTGGTGAGACCTCCTTCATCTTTTCATGAAGAAAACAGGTCTCGAAGGCTCGCTTTTATTCAGGCGATGAAAAGACAACTTTTTTGTGAACGGGAAAGCAAAAATGCAACGGGAAACCAAAGCTGCAATGCTGTCTTGGGCGCACTAAAGATAGCAGACGACACGGTAAAGAACGATCCTGCGATTTTCTCGCAGCTTGTCGAGCCCTTTTGCTCCAGAACGATGTATTTTGACGCCATCAAAAACGTATTTTCCACCACAGCTTCAGGCAAGCTTGAGGACTCGTTTTTAAAGAACGACGTGGATTTTGTCAGGGCACTCTTCGAGTTCTACCTGCCGGGTCCCGAAAATGACTGGAAAGTGCAGCAGCTTTTTCTACACCACGCAGGCGACAAGGTTCGAGCAGACGCGAAACTTGCGACCGAAATAGTCCTCACGCGCTTCTCGTCTGACATGGACGGCGGTGCCCCCGGGGTCTTCAACCTTTTTCAAGCAGTGTCCGAAGAAGTGAAGCAGGATCCAGCTTTTCTAAAAGCAGCGCTCGCTAAGGCAATCAGAGTGGACGTGGTTCAGATTCTGAAAAGCAACTTTGTTCGAGCAGACGCGAAACTTGCGACCGAAATAGTCCTCACGCGCTTCTCTGAAGAGGACGGCGTTGCCCACGGGGTCTTCAACTTTTTTCAAGCAGTGTCCGAAGAAGTGAAGCAGGATCCAGCTTTTCTAAAAGCAGCGCTCGCTAAGGCAAGCAGAGAGGACGTGGTGCAGATTCTGAAAAGCAACTTTGTTCGAGCAGACGCGAAACTTGCGACCGAAATAGCCCTCACGCGCTTCTCTGACAAGTACGGCGGTGCCCAAGTGGTCTTCAACCTTTTTCAAGCAGTGCCCGAAGAAGTGAAGCAGAATCGAGCTTTTCTAAATGCAGCGCTCGCTAAGGCAAACAGAGAGGACGCGACTCAGATTCTGAAAAGTAGCAACCTTGTTCAAGCAGACGCGGAACTTGCGACCGAAATTGTCCTCACGCGCTTCTCTGAAGAGGACGGCGTTGCCCACGGGGTCTTCAACTTTTTTCAAGCAGTGTCCGAAGAAGTGAAGCAGGATCCAGCTTTTCTAAAAGCAGCGCTCGCTAAGGCAAACAGAGTAACGGAGACTCAGATTCTGAAAAGTAGCAAAGTTGTTCAAGCAGACGCAGAACTTGCGAGGGAAATAGTCCTCACGCGCTTCTCTGAAGAGGACGGCGTTGCCCACGGGGTCTTCAACTTTTTTCAAGCAATGTCCGAAGAAGTGAAGCAGGATCCAGCTTTTCTAAAAGCAGCGCTCGCTAAGGCAAGCAGAGAGGACGTGGTACAGATTCTGAAAAGCAACTTTGTTCGAGCAGACGCGAAACTTGCGACCGAAATAGTCCTCACGCGCTTCTCTGACAAGTACGGCGATGCCCACGGGGTCTTGGTCTTCAACCTTTTTCAAGCAGTGTCCGAAGAAGTGAAGCAGGATCCAGCTTTTCTAGAAGCAGCGCTCGCTAAGGCAAACAGAGAGGACGTGGTACAGATTCTGAAAAGCAACTCCGTGCCAGATTTTTTGCGCGACAATCCAGAGTTTCTGCGCAAAGTTTTTGATGCGCGGAGGGGCCGGTCTACGGCCGCCGTCTCAATCTTTATCCACGCGGGAATATCCGTGCATGACGACGAAGCTTGCGTGTTGGCGATGCTCGCAAAAGCGGAGCAATATGCGCTCCGCGATCTCTGCGTGCACGTACCGGGCCCGCTTGGTGAGGTAGCGAAGCGCTTCGGCACAGCGGGTGCGGCCCCACTTCTAGAGCGCTGGGCAAGGAATGAAAAAGTTCTGCGTGCAGCTGTGGAAGCCAGCAGGTACTGTGCAGCGTTGCTCAATCCCTTTCCCTTGTTTTCAGAACCTCAAGTGGAACTGACCACGGGCTCCCCAGAAGGAGGTAGAGCTACCCCTGCCGACTCTCATCAAGCTCAGAAACATCCTAGTAGAGACCTTCTCTCACCAAAAGAGGCGTTCGCGATTGCCAAAGATGCAGTGCAGAAGCTCCTGCGAGGACCACTTTCCGTCGAGCTGCCGACGCTGTACACAGACGACCTGCGTGCTCTGTTGGACCACTTGCGCGGCGCGTTCTGGTGCGGCGGGAACCTGCAGACGGCCCAACCTCCAGATCCTGAGCACGTGGCGCTATCGCAGGACTTGGTGGAGACAATAGTTTCCGGAGTTGAAGCGTTTCTTGCTTTGCCGCAAAACATGAGAGTAATCTTCAACGAACATCACGACAGGCCTGGAATTCTACTGCTGCAGCGCCTGCACGACGTGAGCAGCCCCCTCCGGCATAATGCGGAGCTGCAGCGCCGGGTCGGTTTGAACGCCACGAGGGAGTGCGCAGCGTGGCGTGACGCCATGGGACTAAAACTTCCTCCTTCACACATGATCAATAAGCAAATCGTCATGGCTTCGGAGATGATGTTAGCGCCGCCGCGTAAAGAAAAAGGCCGTGGAAATGGAGACGGCTGGCGCGAAGAAACCTATAGGTGCGTTGCGGCCGCACCAGAAGAAGAAGAAGGAGTAGGAGACGCAGCCTCTAGGTTTCAGTTTGTTGTCGAAAAGCTCTACGCGCCGCAGAGCCGTGAGACGTACCATCACGCGGCTGCGCGGGCACAAGACGGGCCGCCAATAGGTAAGAAAAGCCAGATGCTTGCCCAGCTGCGAAAAATTTTTGAGGTTACAAAAACACCGGAATTGCAAGCGCTGGCGCTAGGAGCGCCAGCCCCGAGCGAACCTGCACGCCTTTCGCTTACCGACCGACGGAGCGGCCTCCACCTGAGTGACATGCTCAACACAAGAACGCCCGCACAAGGAGCAGAAGGCTGGCAGAAAACTACAGGCAGCAGCACCTCTGGTCTAGCGAGTTTGCGTGGGTGGGTGCCAAAAATGTCATCGCTTCCCGGTGCAGGAGCTAGAACTTCGAAGTCCTCGACCGAGGTCTCGTACGGAGAAGTGTACTACCTGGCCGCGCACTACTCCCCTGGCGAAGACTTGCTGACTGCGGTCGCCAGTGGCACCATACAGAGGCTACTTTTAAGACTTACCGTATTAATTCATCCTGAGGCTAAGAAGCATCTTTGGCCATCCTATTTATTTAAAGGGAGAAACAAGGTGTCAATGATGGTAGCCAAAGAAGATGAATTAAGGTTGTACTAAGGTCTAATACTTGCGGCAGACAAGAAACGTGGCTTGGATCCTTTTGTGATTGGCATTGTCACAGCCCTTGCGGCCATTCAGGATGCAGAATTCGTGCATAATCGGGTCCGACCTCGAAGCGTCATCCTGCGCCATAAAAATACGCAGCTTGGTGTTGCAGATAGGAACAAAATGGAGATTCCTCGAGGACCTCGTGATCGTCAAACTGTAGAAGTACCACCTTTTCGAAGTAAAGCTGGGCCACCAAATGAAAGAGATGAGTCGGCCGTGAACTACGGTATTGAAACTTTCTCTGATACTAAAGAAGTTCTTGGGGGAGCTACTCTGGTGGACTATAGCCGCCTGGGGCTTCCTTGGAGAAACTACATATCGTCGAGTACTTTTCGGGACCCAAGTCAACGGGATCGGAACCTCGTCACGGGATCGGAACCTCGTCACGCCAGCGCGAAGAATCGTGACTGGTATGCCTTCCTAGCACTGTACGTGGGTGTAGCGCATCCCGGAACCACAGCGTGGCGCGACTTCGTACACTACGAGGTATTTGGGGTCAACGCGCAACGCACGTACAAGGGGGGCAACGAGATTTTTCGTCCGCCGCGGGGCCTCGAGCAAGGGTTTTTCCCGTCTGGCGGGTTCGAGTCGCGCCAAGCGGCGGCAAAATGGTGGCTGCCAGCGTTGGTCGCGAAAGCTAAAGAAGATGGCCCCACGTCCGCGGCGGACTTCATGTGCTGGGTGATGCGCGCGCTGCTTGCCGACGTAGAAACTACACAGGATGTGGCCAACCTGCTTGACATGCGTATTGTATATGGGCCCTGTGACTGTGGCATGCAGTCTTCAACACTGGGAGTCGGATTACCAGCCGCGTCTGCAGAACCCTCGAAAGGACAGAGTTTCTACCACGGTTTCCTCCATCTTTCAGTGCAGCGTCGTGACCGAGACACCAGCACACGGCTTTTGCGCGAGCACCCGTTTCTTCAAAGGACGAATCTTTCTCGGGAGGCGGAGAGTCAGGGACGAGGGACAACATGAGAACCACGCAGGCCAGGACACCATCAGGACGACGCGGATGACGTTGAGGAAAAAGTTGACTACTATGTATAAATTTTTGGGGGTGCAACCTGAAGCCAGCACAAAGGAAATTGACACGGCATGTCTCTCCAATCAAACGTTACTACTTACTAAATTGTCTTGATGGGCAGGGATATAATAATTACAGTACGTCATCCACTATCCCATCTGCTCGAAGATTGAACACTCACTAATCCGCACTGCGCTGTAAATTCCTTACCATGAGTTTACCTCTGTGTAAGTTTTGCTTCTAACACGGCCGGTTAGGGTCGGCCTTGAAGTACATGACCATGACCATAGACTCTAGTTCATGACAGTGGCAATTCACCTGGAGCGAGTAGAGTGCGACTGCGGTATAAGAATATGCAGCCGGTATTGCTCTGTACTAGGAAAACTGTGTTCATCCTCATAGCCCCCAGTACAAATTATATTAATTGCATCAAAGAACTACTTCTATTCGGCTCGATGAGGATGTTTGCCGATGAATCTTCCGAGAGAGAGGGAGAGAGAGAGACGAGAAGCAGAAGCGAGCAGAAAGCTCCGACTTTTTCTTTCTCAAGGACGATGGGGTTCATAATCTTCAGGGACTACATTGGGGCACTTTCAATACATACATTTTATACTTCCTGAAATTTCGACTTTAGTAGGAGTCAGTGAGATGTTGAACGTGAACCACTAGAAGTAACATTGAAGTGGTCATGTACTCGAGATTCAAGAAAGTGGTCATCGGCTACATCGACGTTGACGTTGTACTTAAGTACTAAGAAATAATTTGTCGTGCTGCTCACACAAGATCAAAGAAAAAGCAAGATTCATCAGCTTGAGCATCTCCATTTGATTTTAAAGAAAGGATGCCGCCAATTCGTTACAAACCGCCTCTGCCCGTTCGGTTCAAAGTGCGGAATGGTAATTGGATACCCCAACTAAAGCATCCTGAGACTCCGATCGGAAAAAGTCTCGTAGCTGCGATGACGCAACGTGTCACGGCGCATCATCTAGAAACAGGCCGTCGCATGTTGCGCAAAGCTTTGGGGAAAAATAAGCCTTTTTTGATGAATGTACACGCGACATTTGCAGGAACTAGGAAGCCCGAAGGAGTCAAGATGGGGAAAGGTTATAGCTTTGAGAAGTTGAAGTAGAAGGGGTCAAGATGTACCGCCGGAGTAAATGTGATATGATGACCACCTCCTTCATGCAGAGAAGAGAGCGAGAGCTCTTTATGATAAAGAATGCTGTTACGGTGCAAGACACCTCAGTCGGTTTCATCATCCTTGTATCAATTGGGCTGGTCTTTTCGCCTGAATCTCTTATTGCCTCCACATCATTACTCACTCCCACCAACGCGCTAATTGCACAGCGGTAGTGAGATGGCAACACCCCTCAGACGCAAGCAATCCCAAGTGGATCGCTGGCAAAGAGGAAGATTCGACGGAACCGCAAATTCTCTAGACCTGGATAACAAATCCCTCGGGAGCCGTTCCTGTAGTGCATCGGAATATCCGCTGAAGAGCACCTTTGAAAAGCGAATTGGAAAACGTCAAAGAAAGCCAAAAAACGCAGGCCCTGTTCAATCTCAGCACCACTTGAACTTCTGTTCTTTCTCAACCTCACAAGAAGGACCCATCAGTGTACATGACTCGACTAACAACTCATCCCATGACCATGGTAACTCATATGACTCATCTCAATAACACAGTGGTGTTACCTCTCGTTACTCACTACACATCACTAGTTGTGTACTAACCGTCAACTGCACTCAATTATGATGCTTCTCGCACGTTTCTCCTACCAGATGTACGCGACGGGGGTGTCGCTAGCTGCAGATGCAACAGATTACGCACATTTGCGCATCAATGAAGCGATCCGAGAAGCACACCGTGTGCAGCTGACACCTCGGCGCCAAGTACAACATTGGGTGTACCTCCTCACGTTCTACTCATCCTCGCTTCTTCGTCTCTGGATCCTCTCAGAAGTAATCAGGTTTGGCAACGGTGGTAATGACGATCTCGCTTTTGCCAAGGCTGCTGCCATTTATCTGCTCATGCAAATCGCAGAGATAACGCGCATATGGCGCCGAATCCTAGGAGCAGTTGGGTCAAATCGCGACCTTGCATCTCAAATTTCGACCATTATCACCAGAGCAGCCGTCCCAGCAGAGCATCAAGTAGAAGCCAGCACCAACATGCAGCATGCAACCAGTCACCAGCTCGAAGTTGCTCCTCGTCGAAGTGTTGATTGAACATTTCTTGACAGTGTCCAGAAAGTATGCACATCAGTAAACTCATCAAGTCCAAACCAAGTGAGCATGCATTCATTTTCCTGCAGAACAGTCTTCTTAATCCACCACTGCAACTATGACCATACAAATGAAAATTAGTATTGCTGAGTGGCCTTCTTAAACTAAATGCATGATGAACAACAACTCGCAATACTGCAACCACTTACAAGAAGTGCCCAAGAGAGGAAGCTGGCCAACAAGCAGTCAAGATTTACTGAACACCGTTTGAGAGAAATGATGCCTCAGTGCTCATGTGGATGAGAGGCACCCCAGGGAGATGAGAGTGAGTATCAGGTAGTGCAATAGCTGAATATAATGAAACTTTTTAAAAATTCTCCTACTCAAGCGAACAACATCATCAAAATACGAATACTGAAACAAAGAAAAGGGAAAACGGCCTCATTGTAAGACTACAACAAAATTGATGATAGAAACAAGCAATCACTGATCTCAAGCTCCATAACACCAAACACACGTCAAAATGAGTCAGCAGAAACCGCCTTCCGACGGTAGCGACCGGCACCCAGCGAACAGGCCGCCCCCCACTGAAGCCGACTGGGATCGCATAGCACGAGAATGGGGCGTCACGACCCACGGAACAAATAGCAGTACGAACAAGGAGGGTCATGCTGATATGAAGCCATCTGGTCCCAGCAAGAGTTGCTCCAGACCAAGAGCGGATGACCCATCAACGAGGCCCTCGCAAAGAAACTCAGCCAAATCTCGCACATCAACGGACAGCAGCAAGGAGGGAAAGAGTGATCAAGACCCTACGATTGCTGCAGGTGACCTAACTGTCGACGATGGTGACAGAGCGCAGCCCAAGGAAACGCTCGTCAAGCCTGACACCGAGATCCTCCCGACCCCAGCTGCAGCCAAGACATCAATGTCGAGGAAACGGCAGGCAAGCGCTGAACGAGCACATCAAGAGAAGAAAGGGAAACATGTCAGGTTTGAAGACTCCAAGACACAGCACGAGCAAAAGGTAAACTCCTCAGTATATGATAAACTGCACCTGAATTGTCATGGCATCAATCTAAAGAACTCACTTTCAACAAACTCCTTCCCAAATGACATGACCAGCTACTGACTCCAACTCTAGAGAAAGAGCAATACAGAACAATCTAAACCAACATCAACTCTTTCCCATCAAAACGAGCTGCAATCAACACCAAACCCCAACTACAGGATGCAGAACCTGAACTGCAAGAAGTTCCTGACAGTGCCGAGTCGAATGCCAACGAAGAGCAGCAACAACGAGTCAAAGCAGAAGAGTCAAAAAGTGCGAACAGGAAAAAGCCACTTTCAGAAGCTGACCTAGTCCAACGGATTGCACAAGAAGAGAGGAGCGGTGCCAAGAAAAACGAATACAGGTCAAGGACGCTGAAGAGAAACCCAATGGTGGCTCCGCCTATCACTTCAGTCAAGATGTTGGAGCCGCACTATGCGAAGCCGAGTTGCCTTGACAGCCCAGCCTTGAGGAAATTCGCAACTGATTTTCCGTCAGTAATGAACGCAGAGAGCTTTGCAGGCAGGTCTCTAGCAGAACTACTCGACTTTCTCTGGAAATGCAGCAATGTGGTTGAAACCCCAGCACTACAGCACCACATGAAGGAATTCTTCCCGCAGAAACCACTGTGCAAAGATATGGAATCGCCGCTGGAGCGCAGAGCGGTTCGCGAGCCACGAGCCGTAGTCCTACAGTTCCTCCTTGGAGAACTACTCAACCCGGACGAAGTTGCATCCAGGACGACTATCAACACTCTCACCGACGAAGTCTCAACCCAACAGAGCTTCCGAGACCACAGCGAAGTCGCAGCGGCCCTTCAAAGCCATGAGAAAGTATGTCCACAACATATGAATTGTTAGCACTTAGTGAATATGTCTTTCTCTCACAACACTCACAGAAAGTAATATGCTGAAGCCAACACGTCTCATTGAGCAAGAAACCTCGTCTATCTAAATTTTCTAAATTTTCTAAAGGCAGCAATCACAAACAACACAACAACTCTCAACTACAGGTACTACCAGGGCTAACCCAGCATATCCTTGGTGGTGACGTCTTCACAAGAGTCTTGCTGCAGCTGATCCTCAACTTCAAGTGCAAAAAAGGAGCTGAACTAGAACCAGCACGAATCATGGCCCTCCTGCCACGCTCGATCAAGACCTATGTCATTCTCCTACGCAACGCTGTTCTGGTAGCTCACTACCAGTTCAAGATCCTGCCACAATTCGTACTCGACGTTCTCACCGGTGACTTCCCGCTCATCGCAGAGCAAATCCGCGACTCAACAAGAACGGTCCACCCAGAGATAGCCGATGCAATCACTGAGACCGCAGAAATCCTGAAGGCTGTCATAGCCAAAAGCGGCACAATCGACGAATCATGCTGCTTTCAAGAAACGCCTTTCTCAATCACCGCCTCGAAAGTCATGTGCGAGATGGCAAATGAAGCCCTTACTCATGCAGCGTCGAAGCACACGACCCAACGACTTGCTGCTGGCGAATTTGATGACTTCCTCATGATCTCATATGAGGAACAATACCAGAATGTAGTAGCACATGAAGATGCGTTCCAGTCACTAGTCCTGGACTGTGACACATGGACGCCTCTTGCTGGAATTGAATCCAACGCCACACCAGCAACGCAAGGCCAAGGCCCAGAAGACCAAAAGTCCTCGCCTGCACCCGCCGAGTATGGAGATGGAGATGACCAAGACAGCCGGATCAGCAACGATGTTGCTGAAGAAATTGCCGAGATAGAAGAAGACAATGATGACGAAGATGACAAAGCTGAAGCTCTTCAAGTCGCATTAGCATCCGGCGAAGCATTAGGTGATGATCAACAGCAACTTGATTCGGTGCAGATGAAGATTGAAAAGGGATGGCGCCCGAAAGCGCACAGACCTGGCTCAGCATCAACCCAAAACCGAGGGTCGTTCAGCCTAATGCCAACTAGCACAACAACGCTTAAGAGGAAAAGCTGCGACGCTGATCCGCAACAGAGCCACAAAAAAGCCTTCCTTCCACAGCCAAAGCATCACATCCCAGCAAGAAGAATAGCAAGGAGCGCCATCAACGAAGCTCTCATCAGTGTCTCCGATGGACATCTTGTCAACAGTGCTCCTGAAGCATCACCCTCGTTTCCTGAAACATGCAGTCGCCATATAGCCCAGATGCCACGGATTGTTCAGAAGTACCTCATGCAGAACAATCTTTCGGTTCACTCGCAGCCAAGCACCAACTCAGCCCCGCACCAGAAACAGTGTCACTTTGCTGCGGCATCACGGCCTCAACATGCTCTCAAGTGTGACACGATGCCAGCGGACCTACCATCTATGACACCAGACCAGCAGCTCTCGCTTGAGGACCAAGAGGCGAGTCGTCAACATCAAGCAACAAGCCTTTTTACAAACACAAACGCAAGGAGAGCCGCTGTCAAAGCAAGGCGTCAAGCAATTTCAGGAATCCCAGCAGATATCCACACAGAGCAGAGAGCGGCGCTTCATCAAGGAGCTGCAAGTGCCGCAGCCGAAAGAACACAACATCTCAGACCTGAAGAATGCGACGTAGCACTTGCCGGAGGCAGGGCGATAATAGTGGGCCCGCTAGCCCAGAAATGCAGAACCACAGGTCTACCTCTCTACGAAGATCCAGATCCAGCAAACTTCGATGATGAAATTGTAGACCCACTTGACGAACCGATTACTCAGCTGCCAAAAATCCACCTCTACCAGTTCATGCCAGGAGCGCTTAGTGGACATGCAGTAAAGAAGTTGCTAAACCCAGTCGCATACCGCATCACCAGGAGATATGTGAAGCTAGTACTGCAAATCGGAAGCGTAACAGAGGACGACCTGCCAGAAACGCTTGATGCAGTAAAAGCATATCAAGGCTTGTCGCTAGTTCACAACCAACAAGCAGTCAATCTTATCAGAGGAAAAATCAAGTTTGCAGCAGATCCGGAGATCTATGTCGATGTCTTCACCATGCTAGTCGCGAACAAAACCAGACCGTCGCAGCTTGCAGGAACCTCAGCTGACGAGATCATCAAGCAGATGCATCTTATTCCACATGCCGCGGTAGACTCAATTGCCGTCCTGAAGTCAACACTCGAACTCCTTGGCTCATCGGCAATGTGCAAGAAGTTCAAAATTCCGCCGTCGTTCTTCAATATTCAGTCCGACGTCATGAGCAACCTCCTGAAGAACACACAGATGGTCCAAGGAGCAGTGGCAGCGTTCCAAGACAACCTTGAAGATTTCAGCACACCGCACCACGCCAAAATCATTGCTCAAATTCAAGGACTAGACCTAGTGATGTTCACGATGTTCACAGCCAACGCCTTCGAAAGAGATTTTCAGACCTACACCGAGCTGAGAAGGGACATTGAAGCCCTAAACGGAGTCAAGAACCATCTTGCACAAGCAAAGCAGTCATCGCTCCTGTCAGCATGTGTGAACTTCCTCGCGAACGAAGCCGACATCTCAACGCTAACAAGGAAGCAAGTCAAAAACTTCCTGTCAAACGATGTCAGAACATGCGTGCAGTGGGATCCATCCAGGGCAAAGCAGAACGCACTCCCAAGAACCAACTCATCGACAAGTTACAGTCAACGCGGATCGAGCACCCTGAATCTAGTGCATGACAAGAGGCAGAAGCACAGCAACGTTATTCAACATCGGACAGGTGGTAAAGGCGCCCAGCACCAACACCATGCACGTCAAGACAAAGACTCGTCAGCCTTCAAGGATATGGAGAAGAAGGCAATGACCAAGATCAAAGCCGAGTACAACGTCAACTGGATCGACCCGAGGCAGATCTGCCCTCTTTACGCATGCGCGCGGCTAAAACTCCATTTGCAAACGCCGTCTGGAGAATGGAAAGTTCCGTTCTGTGGAATATCGAGCTGCCAGAGGCATCGTCACACAGGCATCACAATCCAAGCCTGGACCAAACGTGATTCGAGCACTGATGAAGTAAATCCTAATGGCCACGGTGGTCAAGACAACCATGACGAAGAAGTCAACGATTCAGCAGGGAAGAAGGGCGGAAAGAAGAAAGGAGAAAAAGGGGCTGGCAAGAAGAAGGGAAATTGATCGCCTGCTGAATGCATTCATCCTCAGAAGTCAAAGTCAATAGTGAATCATCATGCATCCAGTAGCTCCTAATTAGATTTCATGCACTCACTGTTATCATCAGTTCTGCAAATGCAACTTGCTTCATCAACCCATTACCTACAGTGTTTAGTGGAAGTAACCACTCAGTCCCATACCCATCTCAGATAAAGGTAAACCATAATAGGAAATGCCAACCCCCTATCACTAAGTGTAGGACTTCTTCTTAAAGTATCAACTTAGTAAGAAATCAGTGACACATTCCTGAAAGACAGCATCTACTTGCAGAAAGCAAGCATGAGCACCAGTGGCAACAGCCGAAGCTAGAGCACTAATGCAGTCAGTGCACGAGAGAGATTCCGCGCAGCAACATGAGTGGCAAATCACCAGCACAACTAAATATCTGAGGGATGAGTGAGACATAAGCTATCCAACCCTCAAGTAGTGCTGTGTCTCCCAAATTTTCTCCAAAGCAATATAGCATTGAAACTCCACTCACATATACCATCCACAAAACCAACAATTCTCACAGGAACTCATTAATAACCGGCAATTGAAGCAGAAGCAAAAGCCACCACTTTGTGCGTACCCGATGAAGAAGCGGAAAGTCGTCTCAGAACAACCATGTTGGCCGGCCGCCCCACTCATCGTTCCAAGCGCTGACCCACACCACTATGTACCCGAGACAAAAGAACAGCGTCGTGAGCGGAACGCAATGGAAGACGAGGACCGTGGGAACAACCTCAACTCTATGCACGGTATGCAGCAAGCCATTGAATGGCATGCGAGAACAGTAGCTGACTCCAGAAGTTCGCCTGATGCCCTTGACCGTGAACGAGAAAGGATGCTAATGCAGATTGAGGATATCAGGTCGAGCATTGCTCACTCCGAGAAGATGCAACAACGCATCAGTGAAGACAGAGCCGCGCAGCACCCGAATGTGCAGAAACTCAACGAGTTCTTCACTGGTCACAAGTCATCGAAATGGCTAACAGAAGAGAAATGCCCAGCAGTATGGGATTTTCTTGCGAGGAAGTCAGGATACCTCAGTGACGCGAAAATCAACGACCTCTACGGCCCTAGCGGAACTCTGAATCAAGGCTCGAGAACAGACGGCCGAGTCTACAGGTTCCACGATGGTCATCAATTGATGCTAAGTAGTACAAATCGTTGCCAGCTATCATTGCTCTACTGTAGCCTCACATGTAGACTCATAAAACGAATCTCATCAAACACTACAAGTAAATACCAATAAGCGCCGATCTCAGCACAACAGTCTCACTATTACACATCTCATCCTCAACATACAGATACACAGCATGGGCAGACGCGAAACCTCTCTCGGATCAAGAGCTTGACCGCCTCGACAAATGCCCAGAATCACGCGAAGCTCTCCGAGAAGCTCTCAAGCCGGCAAACAAGCTCATCTACAAGCCAATGGCGCACGAAACCGACGAGATCCTGCGGCGTGGATTCGATGTGATCAAAGCCAGTTCATGGCCAAACGCCCCAATTCTCGACGTTCTTGAAGAGGTGCCGCAATGCATTGAAGGAGAATTCTTTGTTGGGGAAAAGAGATTAGAAAAAATGATACCCATCTTTAGCATTGGACAGAAATACTCAGTAACAGAGGCATGCTTTAAGAAAATTCGCAACATTGCAAACGAAAAAGCGTGCAATGACGCAGCAAGCGCTTTGACAGAACATATTTGTCTACCACATCTTCCAGTCATTATTGACTCTCTTGGACAGTGTCTCAACCCGAAATCAACAACGCCACATCTCTATACCAAAAAGCACTTATTTAGACAACTATCTAAAGAGAGAGTCGAAACATCTATCTGGCAGGATGCGCAAACCATTTCTGGTGGATGGGATGAGCCATCACACGACCAAATAAATGAATGGTTCCTCCCCGTCGTCTCAAAAGTAGATATGTACTCGGCTTACTTCCAGTTTGCGAACTCCTATGAACCAGGAACGTATGGTCTTTGCTTCTGGAATCCAGAGAGTCAGCAGGTGCAGGCGGCAACGTCTCCATCGCTGACCTTTGGAAACTTGCACTCCATCTTCACATTTACAGGTCTTGTATCTCGCTTCATAGAAACTGTTTGTAGAGTAACGCTCAAAGTGCCCGTGTTCTGTTATGTTGATGATGTCATAATTATCTCATGTGCAGAACTCGCTCCACATTGCTTTAGAGCAGTCAAAATGCTACTAGCTATACTCGGAATTGCGCAAAGCGACCACAAGGACATTATTGGCCGCACAGGAGCCCCCACTGACACACTGGGGGCCCAAGTCACTGCATGCAAAATTAGTAATGTAGTTTCAGTAAATATGGATAGAAATAAAGTCCGTGATGCTGTCGAAGCAGTCGCCATTCTCAATAAGCAAGTTTGCGAAAGAAAAGTAACGCTTCTGCAAGTACAAAGAACGCTAGGACTCCTAACATATCGCCTTTTCTTCAGACGCTGCATCTCAGTTGGGCCACAGATAGCCACCCTCCATCGACTCACAGATATTAGTAATATCAAAAAGATTAATCATCAACAGTTTGCAAGTAGACGAAAAGTTCTCTCGGCCATCCTCTTCACTACCGTGCAAGTTCTTATTCAAAACGCCCCTCTCAAATTAGACCGAGCTATTCAAACTGCAACTGGTGTCGAGATTTTCTCAGACGCAGCTCTCGCTAACAATGAGCTGTGGATCGGAGCAGTCATTCTTATGAGTGGCCAAGCAAGGCACTTCTCAGTCAGCTACACTTTTAAAAAGAATCATAATCAACTATCTCCCGTGCAACTTCGTGACAAGACAATTGGTTTCTACGAATGCCTCACAGCTCTCGTTGCGCTTGAAGTCTTCCGCAATGACGTATCTAATCGTAGAGGGATTATGTTTGTAGATAACGTAGCTGCTGCTTTTGCTATCGTTAAAGGGATTTCCAACGACCCTGGCCTTGCAGCCATAGCATCCATCATCAACCTGTTTTTCACGAGGGAAAAGTTCTTTGCACCAATCATGTATGTTCGCTCAAAGAACAATCCTGCAGACGCTCTCACAAGAATGGAACTCTACAATGACTTCATATCTCGCACTAACAGCTTCTCTATCTTCAAGTCGCATCGTGAAGCTGTTGAAAGTTTGCAACCATTAATGAACAATGTCGCTCTCCGCTTCTCTCATGCAGCACAACAAGCAGCAGCAGCGGCCTAATCTAAAAAAGAAAGTCATTCCACGTGAAGATGCCTTCCGCATTCCTGAGAATGTTGAGAATTTTGTGTGGCCCATGGAAATCAGTTACATGCAAAGTTCAAGAACTAGTAGACGCAGCAAGTGGGCTGCTTTTCAAACATGGTGGAACTCTTCACATTCCTGCAAAATCAACATCTCTGCTGAGACCAAGACGGCAGAGGAAGTAACCTGCCCGAATGTCAGGTATGCGACTGACCTGTTCCAGTACGGTAGAATGCTTCTGCAATACGATCTCCACAAATCTTTCCATCTTCACCTCTCGCTTGTATCTCAGAGATTAAAACAACTCAACTGCTTAGAACGAGGGTCACCTTTCGGAAATGACAACCAGAAGCTGATGTATGCTGCCCTTCACCGTATGAAACAAGATTTCAAACGAAAGAAAGCCAAACCTGTCACACTCGATGTCATCCGCAGTCTCACCCCTAAGCAATGCGAGATTGCCAAACTCTGGATCGCAACCGCCTTCCGTGAGCACTCCTTTGCAGCCGTAAATGATGACTCAGTCGAGTTCGTGCCCAACAACCCGCTGTGGACTCTTCTCACCACGACGCTCATCAAGTTCAACCCAGACGAAGAAGACTTTTTTGCCGTACTAGTCCCGACCTCGTTAGTGACTCGCAACGCAATCTACGCGACGCAAGCAGATCTCAGCAGAGTTTCCGCCGCGTGCAGAACATCCTCTCATGGGTTCAGACGCACAACCGCAATAGCGCTTCGGATCCTCCTCGCGTCTGTTGGATTGGACAGAGTTCCCGACATTCCACTCCAAACAATGTGCAAAATTGGAGACCACATGGGGTGGAGTGCAAGAAATCAACGCACAAGGTTTGACGAGTATTCATCTGATTGGCGCCAATGGGCAGCACGTGAGTTTTTCCTTCCTTTTATGACATCCCAACTGATCCTTGGAGATGTCCTCCCAACTGATCGTCCTATGATTAACATGGTAAAACTCTGAATCTTTCTCCTGCATCTTCACATCCCAAATTCTCTAAGTCCATTAAACCTCGAAGAGGCGAAGCCTTCCACGACCACAACACCCAGACGTCCAAGTGTTGCTCACTTTCTGCTTCGCGACCTCCGCTTAGGACCAGATCGCACCATGCACGTATAGAGAGCAGATCTATCATGAATGAAAGATCCTTGTCTGTACGATCTGTTTCTGTCACGGTGTGGAGAACTGAGCGTGAGGCCAATGAAAGCCAAGGCTTTCGCTCTATCTGGAAAACAGGAGTACGAGCGTGAAGGAGAGTGGTCACAGATAATATTTGTACCGCCGGAGTAAATGTGATATGATGACCACCTCCTTCATGCAGAGAAGAGAGCGAGAGCTCTTTATGGTAAAGAGTGCTGTTATGGTGCAAGCACCTTTGTCGGTATCATCATCTTTGTATCAATTGGGCTGGTCTTTTCGCCTGAGTCTCTGTTTCTTTTCCCACCCTTCTACTCCCTCGACTCCCAAGGTGTCTCACGAGCAGTCCCATCCCTGAGAGAGCAGATCTATCATGAATGAAAGATCCTTGTCTGTACGATCTGTTTCTGTCACGGTGTGGAGAACTGAGCGTGAGGCCAATGAAAGCCAAGGCTTTCGCTCTATCTGGAAAACAGGAGTACGAGTGTGAAGGAGAGTGGTCACAGATAATATTTGGGCAAAGGTTGTCTTTTCTTGATGAGAAATCGAAATGTTATAATGTTTTTCTTCGCCTTCGTTAAGAAGCAATCGACATTCAAGCACCTATTTTCAAGCAACCAAGTCTTTACCGGAGTCAAAGCAATAAAAAGAAAAAAATATACGAACAGAACTAAAGCATGATATTTATAATCTTCATCTTGCTTCATCCTCGTGAATGCAACAACCTCCACACCAGGTCGTGGCCCTGTCTCCTATTTCGTCGCGCGAGTACCAGCAGGAAAGCCAGTTTTTACTATTCCTTCGCTAAGTCATTTCCCGGGAGTCCCTTCGAACCTGTACACTCTGAAATGCATTGGGGACTTCATTTATGAGAAAGTTAGTAACAACCTAATTGGACGAGGTTATTTACATTTACTTCAGACTTTGAAGAGTATCGGAGAAACAGAAAGTACCTCCACCAGCCTACGCCCCCAACCTTGATCTTGTTTTGGAGTATCTCTACTTGGCTATATTAGTTGCTGCCTGCTTGTCGTTGATGCTCTTCCTTAATCTTCATGAATGTTCAACACGATTCCCGCTAAATAATTCTGTTATCATGATGTTCAATACATCTTCTAATTCACGCCACTAAAAGACACTGTTTATGAATGCTTAGAACTCTACTGTACTAGTATTATTTCTTGGTCGTGCCATTTCTAATCCCCGCCAATGGCATGCCGACTGCGGGAACAGTACAATCATTTTCCTGCTATGCGAAATCCAGAGCAGCCTAAAAAGGATCATGAATTCTTACCGTTCTTAAGGCTTCCCCTAATCCATCTTCTGGAAGCATCCCGAAGAGGCTTTTCAAGGGCAAGGGGCTAAGGGGCCTAGGATGCATTCTGTTTCCGATATGGATTAGGGTGAGCGCTAACATTCACTTCGAGTAGTAACGAACAGCAACGACAACTAAAAGAATCGTCCACGAGTAGGTCTCCAACGAATGATCCACAAAAATCGTCTGGGAGTACTAGAGTTGTACCTGATGAGTGTGGCGGGAAGATGACGAGTACTCTTGCTTCATCTTCTCCATCCAATCCCATGATTGGGTACACTACTACTACTAGTACTAGTTCTGCTTCTGCACGACAACTAGAAGTACGAAATAACACGGTTAATAGGACCTCTTCTACTTCTTCTCCCCCAGCTGCAAGAATCCTCGACGACCGAGGTTCTCGGAAAGGCAAAGGACACTTACATTCTGCAGCGAACGACGACCACTGTCCTGCTATGCTCGAAATGCAACGACCTTATAGACCAAGACAGACGTATGTGTCACCTGGCAACAGCATTAATTATGGCAAGAACCAAGTAGAGAGCATCCTAAGCATCATCCCTGGCCTCTTTTTCAAGGGGAAAAAGAATCTTCCAAGGATATGGGTCTCAAGGACGATGCGAGGCGGTAGCTCTAACGTAATAGTGCTGGGCGAGATCATGGGCATGGTCGTGAATCTCAATCTTCTGTGAAGAGGAGTAATTTAGGTCTTGTACAGCTCACTCGTACAGTAGGAGGCAAACCGACGCCGAGTCCTGGGGCTCAGAGAACAGCAGCTGCCTTGCAGGCAACAGTGAGCAGATTAGGAGGTGGCACTGCTAGAGTGGGACTGGGAGTGAGGAGATTTGGTTCCTTCAGCAACTCAATCTCGATAACTTCCTCTTGTTCATTGGGAGCGATAAACAGCGAACCTATTTTGTGTGGATTTTTCTTACGGTGGTTTTCCACGACTTGTTCTTGTGTGCCAACTGAAACTCAAAATGATGGAAGACTTGCAAGTGTATTTACTGCCTTGTTAGTGTGATCAAAGTTTCATCAAGGAATATCTTTCCTTCGGTGGAAGCACGAAGTAGTAGATAGAGGTTATCCGTTGATGTTCTTCCCTTAGTCGATCTGTCGTCTGCCTCTAAGTAGGACTAGGAATGCTCCTCTATCTTCTACTATCATTGTGGACTCGGTATCGGAATACCCTTTTTCCTCTCAGTCAGTGACTGTGACAGCCATTTACTAAATTGTGTCTTGTTCTGAAAGGTAACTGAATCTGTTTCAGACGATCATCGGTGACGAGATTGCTGAATAGGTACTTAAGCAGATGAAAGAGCGACATTCGAGTGGACATTGTACTGAGAGCAAATAGTAGTGACTGTTTCTAGTACAACTGAGATGAAATAGTAGTGACTGTGACCCTTGACCTTGAGCGGAGAGGAACAAGAGGATGAGGACAGGAAGAGAGCTCCTTTTCTGCGACTAAGTTGTCCTCCACAACCTGAAAATGCGATTGTTAATAGCTTCTTGCTTTTCGGGGCTTTGTTTGAAGATGAGCCCCCTAGTAGGGGAAGATTAATCTATTCTCACCGCTGCAACCACTAAGTGAACAAGACTTCTTACAAGTTTTAGATTTCACCTACTTACTTGTACAAGAACACCAAATCCCAAAGAGCAACAAAATGTCTCCTAAAAAGGGTGGTTCATCTAAGGGCGGGTTGACCAGCCTGCTGTTCGGGGACGGTGAAGCCGAGCAGAAGGTGGAAGCGCGGATGACCCAGAAAGAGTTGGAGTTATGAGCAGACCAGATGGAAGACGCATAGGAATTTTTCTATTTCTAAAGAATAAAAGAATAAAGAATCTTCAAAGCATGTCAGTAAAACAACCTCCAGCTAGCTTTCCCTCTATCTCGTAGATTTATCCCTTCAAGCAATAAGAAATGCATGATTTGTACATGATGTATTACAGGTGGAGGAAATGAAGAGAAATGCATCTGGATCTGCTTTATAGAATCTTCCTTCATGAGTAAGTAATAAATTGTCCAAAAAAAAAAAGTTGTACCTGTTGTACAACGAGGACCACTAGGATCCAGATCCTTACATTTCAGTGAACAAATAGGCATGGACGATTCGGATACTTACACAACATCTTAATCTTCATCTTACCCTTTCTCCCTCTTTCTAATAAAAGCGGCAGAGCGCATGCGGCAAAAGGAGGAGAAAAAAAAACAAGCATGGAAAGACAGATCTCTTGTGAATTTGGCCAGCGTGCCACTCAAGAACCGCGGCGGAGGCTCAAGGGAAACTTTGAAAAGGCTCACGGAGCTAGTTAAGGCTTTGTTAGAAATGTGAAGGTGTTGTCTGTTGTCACGACCTCAGGAGCGACAGTTGTACCCTAGCCTATACATCGACTATAGTACTTACACCAGGACACGACCTCCTGAAGGAAAACACCAGCGCTACCTATTTCTCTAACTACAGCGGACACAGAGAGCGGACCGGAGTGGATGAATACACGATCGGCTTTACCATCCACGAAATCCGGGATATTGTAACCAATGACGGCAACTCCTGCGATCCTGTAGTAGTGGTGCATTGTATGGGTACAACTCTACTGGTGTCGTTGTTGTTTCTAATTCTTGTTTTCCTCTAGGTACGAATACTATAGGTCACACTTGCTTCATTCTCTGCCAAAGAGAAAAGTCCGAAGTTGTAAATAAACAAAAACAAAAATGGGTTTGCAACTACAAAGCGTACAAGTCGTAACTACAAAGCGTACAACTCGTATCTTCAACTCTTCAGGTAACACCTACGTCTCTGCCAAGAAGGAGAACAAGAGAGACCACGTCTCCTTCGAGGAATCACATACGTGGGCAAACATTAATTAAGGCCCTTGAGTGGAGAGAAGAGAACAGGGGAAAACAAAGTAGGGAAAACGCTAGGTAGGTTTAGGGTTTAGGGCCCTTCCCGTTCAGGTCGAGAGGTGTGTAGGGGGTCTCGTCCCTTCAGAATGATCTTCAGTGGCTGATGTTGGTTGTCCTCGACCTTTAAAGTAAGCTCCACAAGACGCAGTTCGACGCTTGCACGTTGATTTTTGAACTTCAGAATGCGAGAACTTTTGTCAGAAACGAAACTCTCGGGAGTGCGCCAGTTTCATGTGCATTAGTGAACCAAAGGAGAGGGAGACGACTGGTCAAGAGATGGGTGGACTTGAGGTTAGGGAGCTTATTGAGAAATCAATTTTACAAAGTGAAATGTTAGTTTAGAATCAAATGTGATTTTGACACGTCGATCTGCTGAGACGTTATAATCACTTACAAGCAACAAGGACGGAGAGTCAGAGTTGCTGATTGACGCCACGTTCTTCAAGAAAGAACAAACACAAAGAAAAAAGTACTGGCGCGACGCTTTTTACAACAGTCACTGTAACTAATATATACAACTAGTTGCCTGCCTCCTCGCCCTCGCCTCTAATGTATGACGGCGTGAGACATCGTGGGCGAATCTGCGTTTCCATAGTAGCACACGGAAACGAGGACGACGCTGGCGGAGACTCCGATGAAAACGGAGGAGGTGATGGGGAGAATGGACAGTATGGCATTGTGACGAAATAGTAGCTATAGAACAAATTGAGGCATCTAGACTACATTATTAAGGCTCAACTTTCAATGGTCATCGGGGTTGGTCACTGAAATCGAAGAGAGTCCCCTTGAGAGAACAGGGAAAAATGAAGGGAAAGGGGAGAGCCTTGGAGGGGGTCTCTTCCGTTCAGAGTCAGTGACCAAGGAGTGCTGAGCTTTCATGCAAGTAATGGCTTAGGTATAGTATTTTTTTTGTCTTCGGAATTGGAGTCAGTCGGTCTGATGTCCGCTGTCGTCCTCAACCTCACTTGGTCACCCATTGTCCCCTCAACATCCGCCGACGAGAACTACATAAATCCCTATAAAGAACTACTTTCTCGAATAAGAATCTCTGGCATGTTGATTTGAGTAGAACAACATAGCGCTAACGATAACCTAGAAGTAACTTCTTGAATAAGAGTTCTTTCTCGCATTCGAGTAGAACAACATAGTCGATAACCTAGAAGCAATTTCTACTCCCCTTCATTCCCCAGAGGATGCACAAGGCGGTCAAGACATCAATGCTATGCTGGAAAACCTAAACTTAGCTGTGATTTCGCAAGTAACCGATGCGAGTATCACAGCCCAAATGAAGTTCCGGTCTGCATACTACATTGTGGTGCAGATCCATCGAGTAGAGCACTTGGGTGGCAGTCACAGAGGCAAATTCAATCCGTACGTGGAAGTTTCTTTTGTTATGAACAAGATGCGGATTCCGATCCATAAGCTAGTACGAATGCGCATAATTTATTATCGTCCATAACCTAACATGGAGGCATTAGGATGAACACATGGTGCAGTACTCAAAAAGTGACTGACCACGACTGTGCGATTACCTTTATTTCTGCGTTAAACCTAGTATAATGACCTCAGGTACTTAAGTGTTTGTCAGGAAGACCAGATGGGGCTGCAACATCCCATCACTCAGAACCACCTCAACAAGAAAGGCTGTTTTCCCTAACTCCTCAGGCTTACGCCTTTCTTCCGCCGTCGCTTTCCAGAGCAACACTTCTACGTTTACAGAAGCCTTTCGGATGCCAGTGATAACGCCAGTTTTCGAGGATTCTATCGTGGTCAAGATCAAAGACTACCTAATTGGACGCGAAGATAAAACTTTGATTCAAGGACGACTGTCGTTTTCCTCTTTGAGAAACCAAGCCTTACAGCCAAGGTACTACAACTTCTATAGCTTTCCACCAAATGAGATCAAGGATCCTGCACAGTTTGTACGTGACACCGGCATTCGCAGCGAACCCAATGACTTCTTTGGGCGTCTATTGATCAGCGGAAGAGCGGAGCTGTTGAACTCGTTAAAGTTAAGACTACTTTTTTTTTGGTAAGGTCTTGTACATCTGGACGATGTGCTGGATGATTTATTGTCGCTGAGAAGTTGTGAAGGGGCGGGATCGATGAAGAGTTGTATCAGCGCTCTACAACTGTCTCAGTATAATGAAATTGGATATACTTGAGTAATGAAATTGGATATACATATACTTGACGTTGAAAAATCAAAGAGTGTAGTACACCTCAACTGGCTTGAAGACGAATTGATTTCAATACGAGAAGGTCTTCTAAGGACAGAATGTCAAGAGGCGAGAGTAATTGCGTCTGGCATGCGAGCGGAAGAACCGCCACAGAGGGTCAGGAAGCTGGTCTTTGACTGTTTCAAAGCCAGTGGCATGCCAGGAAGTCAAGTGTTTATCCGGGTATCGTTGGCTGGGAAATCGTTGACGAGCTTTTATGGCTTGAATTTTGGATTCTGGATTAGATTTTCAAAATCCATCTGTAGTACTCTAAGTAAGTAACCGATAAGGATTTAGTCATCTGTCATCACGGATAATCACCACCAACTTGGTAAAAAGTACTTAAATAAGTAAAACTTAGTTCTACCTTTTTAGCATTAGCTACAACAGCTAACTTCATACAACCTTCATGGTCTACGTCTAAATCTCTGTAGCAGAACGTGTTTTGCCAAGTGAGAAGAGCAAGGCAAAAGAGGACGCAAAACGTCGGTATTTGCCTGGCGTCCGAGGTCTAGAGGATACCACGAAAGGGGACAAACAATTACTTGCGGAGGCCATAGAGCTTACGAATGAGGAGGTTGATTTTTAATGATACCTGGTGAGAGACGAGTGTGTACTTTTAAGGGTTACCACATTGCATTCTTCACTACCATACTTGACTTTTTTTCCAGTAGGAAAAGGGTCAGGGATGATCTGAAGAATGCAATGTCGCAACCTCTAATACTTAGTTTCGGATAGTACTACACACGAGAAGAAGCTGTGGTTCGCAGAAGTGCCCTTCTTTTCTCGCATCTGAATCTTTGGTGGAACTAGCACTGCTCTAAGATCCGCAAAAACAAGGAGGTGGCGCGAAAAGAGAAAGAGGGAAAAAAGTTGTTGGGCGATTCGAAAGGGTCCAAGCTTATGACCCTCCGACTCCCAAGTTAGATCTCAAAAGTCCGTTCTTGAAGACCCTGTTTATACGCCAATGTCATCTACCAGGAACACGGACATGAGATTGAAGCTTGTTGTACATGATTGAAGCTTGTTGTACATGATTGAAATCTATCATGTACTA